GAAATGAATAATCAACGTGGGCAAGATATAACCGGGGATCACTACGAAATTAGAGGCTCCTTCACCGCGCGATTAGCGCGACACCATGAAAACGGTTTATGTGACGTAGTACTAACACCACAGGGAATTTATGATTCTCAGATTCTGCCAGGAGGTCAGACTTGAGCAGCAGCTTATCAAGTTTGTTGATGAGAGGATCTTGAACTGCCCACATTTCCTCCATGTGTGTCCGCTCTTCATAACAAAGGCCACTTATGGATCACACTTTTGGAGAAATTTTATCTTCTTGTTCTCTGCTTCATTGTTGAAATTAATGGACATATTTGTCACTAAAAGTGATTGCATCCTCTGGCATGCTGTCACAACATTTTTTCAGAATGTTTGTCAATTTTAAAAATCGTCTGTCAAACCCATTGTGTTGCAAACATAATCACGAAAAGGGGGTCGTCCTCAGTAAACTCAACAATTATAACTTCCCCCCCGTGTTACTGGACTGAGTGGTTGCACAAAAACCACACACATGGGGTTGCAGCCAAACCTTGAGAACACTTTTTGTAATGTTGTTGTTATTCATATCCATAGAAATGATCATCATGCTGGTTTCGTCAAATGCATAAAATGTGTACGTAAGGTCTGTAAAGAATGTTGATAATTTCACAATCCTTGTACCCATTTTTTAATTTGCTGACTTGAATGTACACATGCCCCCCCCCATTTGCTTTTGATCTCTTGACATCTGGTGCTGTAATCCTTTTGGAAGATTTTATTCCACCTGCAACAATATCAGCATCTGACACACCAGCAGTCACCAGTAAGCAATAATATTTCTGAAAATCTGCCATGTCTCTGTATTTTCTTTCTGTCTATCTTTAGTTTTAGGTTTGAAGCTTTGATTACAATAGTAGTAGTGTGATCTACTAGCTAGTAGTAGTACTAGCAGTAGTACCTGCAAGTAATTTATATTCTTTGAGGAGGAATGTGGTGTTCTTGTTGTTTTGAGAAACTCAGAAAATATGCCATCATTTATTGCAGATTTTTCTGCATTGCTGTATGTTGCATAAGCAATATCTTCTGGGAGTTGATCCCAATGTTTTACAGTTGTTCTTGAATTGCTGATCATTTGAACATCATGCTCTTCTTCTTGTATTGTTGGTGGTGGTGTTCAGCCAACAAGCCATGATTTGTTGTTCTTGTTCTTAAATCACCAAGAAGCTTCCCCCAGACTACTAGTACATGTGCAACATGATTTTTAAAAATGCGGTTTGTTTACAATAATGTTGCACATAATGAATTACTTTTGATTTTCCTGTACCACCAGCAATTGCTGCATGCTATCATGGTTGATTGACAGTCTGTGCACCAGAATAATACTAGTTGCAAACTACCTCAGTAGATTTTGTACTGTGTTATACTGCGCTAAGGATGGCATCATTAAATGAACTAGATAGTCCAGTGCACCGTAGCCAATTTTGACGCTTACAAACTTTGCCACGTGTTGTTGTCAACGCAGTTTTTCTGCACGACTGGAAAGAGAAGTCTCTTACGGCAGAGTACAGAACGTTTTGAACGTTGTACCGGTACGCTGTATCTATTCTACTGCTATCTTTCACAGCGGATGAATTGCATCAAATCACTGAAGTCGGTCAAACAATTTGGGGAAACATGATCCATTGCAGTGGGCAGAGTGAGTCCACAAAACAAAGAGTTGTAATTCTCTAACGCTCCGCAGTGCCACAGCAACAAAAAGGGTTTGTATTGGAATCACAATGGCATCTTCAACCGCCGTCACCCCAGATCTAAAGCCGATCAACTACGTGAATGTGATCGCGTACTTGTCGAATTTCTTGGTTGTTTATGGTTCTAGTCGGGCTGGTCTACCGGACAACGGAACTCTATCAGCGAAATACCAAACATTGGTAACTCCAGCTGCGTACGCCTTCTCGATTTGGGGCATCATCTTCACGGCAGAATTGATTTGGACAATTGTTCAGCTTCTTCCTTCCTATCGCAGCAAGGATATTGTGACCAAGGGTGTAGGGTACAACTTTGCGCTTGCCTGCTTGGCGCAAGGCTTATGGACGATCTTCTTCGGGTTTGAAAAGATTGCTCTATCCCTCGTTGCAATGATCTGCATATTGGTTCCTCTCGTTTCAATCTTGCTTCGGGTGTCACGAGCATCATCCTCAACATTTGAGGAATTCTGGCTGCTAAAATTTCCTTTTTTGATCCACGCCTCTTGGATCATGGCAGCAACTCTCGTCAACACTAACGTCGTTGCCGTTGCGTACAAGGCGTCACCAAAAGTCCAAGCCATTATCGGTTGGCTTTCCTTGGTGATTGTCTTCTTTGTCGGGACATATTTCACTAGTACGATTTGGAGCAGGAAGAAACGTGTTTGGGTGGTACCAATTGTGCTGGTGTGGGCGACCGTTGCAATTGCATCCGAGTTGTCCAAGCCGAAAGATCTAATTTCGGGAACGTTTTCGGATAGAACTATTGAACAGACCAAGGGTGCATCTGAAACTGTTGCAATTTTGTTGCTGGTGATTGTCATTGTTGAATTCATCAAAAGTCAACTCTCTAAAGATACTGAGGTCGGAGGAACTACCGAGGAGGAGCGTGAAATACTCGATACGGACGAAAATGAGAATGGCACTGTGCATTATTCTGCCTTGAGTTAGAAGCCAATCACCTCGATAATGAAGGAAATACTTACCGATTTATTCTATCTCTTCAACCAAAAATTGAGAACCTGAATTCGATTTTGTCATATCGAAACCTAGACATATCTACCAACTTCGTGCAATACATCACTTTAAATATGATCTTGATAATTTCTGTTCTAGCAGTGCGATAAAATCTTCATACTACGATACTCTCTGTTTACCAATATCATTTATACATTATCATTATTTTGAAACACTGCAATTTTTCAACTTGCATGATGCTTCCAGAAGCGACGAGCTCTATATACACAACGAGGTAATGCATACAAATTGATTTGATTATCTTCAGAAGAGTCTCACTCGACCTCGATGATCTAATTCCTATCGGTATGGACAATTTCATATTTACTGTGGTTTTGGCACTGATGTCAATCAATCATCGATTACATTATGGAATCCTTCGAGTCAGGTGCAAGTGAATCAAACAAAAATCTGAAATCGATTTTACGTACAGTACGGTACTCGTACCGCTACGAGTACTACTCGCGCTAAGAAAATTGCGAAGTTTTTTAGTCGTGGATGGCATCAGACATCAGAGAGAAAAGATCTCTCATCAGACCCGTGGCGCACACGAGTTTGCAATCAAGTTCCGAAAATTTGTACCGGTATTGCGGCATTAAGATCGGAAAAAGGATTACTGGACCGTAACATTCACAGAAGTGAAGAAGGCTGAAAGATTCAAGAGAAAGGCCTACGGTATGATGCGGTACGGTACGATACGCGTACCGTGTGGTGCATCGAAAACACCAGAACCTCATCACTTCGTCGCGATGACGTTCTTTTGCGTACGATGCGAACAATCATCGCTTACTGTACAGTAATTATGAAACGAGAAGTCGTGTCAACTTCGCGCTTCATGAAGTCGTAGGTAACTTATTCGAAACACATCCTGATAAATTCTGTTTTGCATTTCCTCTGGATGATCAAAGGAAACATTTGATCCGTTTGGCATTCTGAACAGCACACAATCACTTACAATGAATCATTATCATCGTTTTCTTTCCATCGTTGCCATCGTAGCATCACTTTTCGTCGTCAATGGAGTAGAGATTCTTCGCACTCCCTCGGCGCTTCGCGTCGAAGAGACTGGCTCTACCGAACCACGCGAAGAAGCGGAATCCGGAGAAAACATCAATATCGGAGACGATACCGAAGGCCGCCCGATGAAGGGAACGATGACTATCGCGAAAGGCTTTCGATGCAAGGCAGGAGCCAGTAAACGCAAGAAGGGGCCCAGTAAGGAGTGCGAGGGAGGTTTCAAGAAGACAACGGGAGTCGGTTTCGGTGCACAAGAACTTGCCGAGGACATCGCCAGCGAACTGGAAGACATGCATAAGGGCATGGCGCCGGTACAGAAAAGCCTCTTGCCTAACGATGACATCATGATGGAACTCGTCAGCTTGGACGAGGTGCATGATATCGATTTCGACGATGAAGAGTGTTCGGACGAGAGTTGCAAGAAAACGGTTAAATTCGGTGGCTATTTCAAACTTTTCTGGGGCTGCAACGTTACATTCAGTAAGAGAGGCCGAAAGATGAGCAAAACTATCGCTTGTGGCGGAAAGAGTTTTGAAGGCATGGGCAAGAAGCAAAATGGAGGTGATAGGTTTGATCCAGAGGGTCTTCTTGCAGAAATCGAATTCTGATCATACTCTGACCGAAATTAGCATCTATCCAACAAAATAGTAGGTTTCAAGCTGCAAGTGTTTCGAGGTGTTCAGGTTGTAATTAAGCATAGTTTGAGAATCTCTTTCATTATTGGAATGTCAAAACTTTATCCTGAAAATATTTTTGATGCAAGAGCTCAACGCGAAACGATAGAGACAGAGATTTCTTTACTCTGTGTTCATACTAATAGTAGCCATGTTGTAAGATCGATGCAACTCTTTAAACATCAAGTGTTACATAACGAGTGCCCCTTCAATATCGCGTCGGAAGCATAGTCCAATAATGAATTCCAACAAAGAAATTTGTACCTTCTCTGATCCTTTTCACATCGTTTGTCTCTTGAAATAGTACAAATGGGGTTGCGAACCAGCTCAAAGTCTATTCTCTCATCTGAACAATTTTGATCGTACTACTAATATCTATGATTACACCAGAAGGTACTGCCCTAATGCGATAGGCGGAGTCAACCTTTGACCGATTCATTTTGTGAACAGTGATTGGATTCAGTCGGTCAGGAAGAAAGAACCAACCTGATCTCGCTACAGCTGCTACCGCAACTTCTCTGTTTCATCCCTCACCAGGAAGCCAGATTCTGTTCCCTCATCAACGGTCAAACATTCACCGACTGCTGCTTTCTTCAGTGTGAAGTTTTTGGCTGCATACGCAATACAATGGCAAGGCTTTTTAATGTCAATACGTGAATGAACTGCCAAAATTTTAGGAACACGCATGCACTCGCACAATTTATGAAGAAAGTAAATTCTAAGAAATATAATATTATCCTTAAAACGCCAAATCTAGAGCATCCAGCTCTGTTGACATCATCATCGCCGATGACATAAATGATCTATCATCCTGGCCAGGAACTGCTGCTGCAAGCAACTGTGTTGATGATGCGTTTGACTGCATATCTATCAACGTGCCAATCGACATGGCACTAGAATTCCGTCCCCAATCCCTGTCTCTTCCGTCGCTTTCCTCGAGCAGGTTCAAATTGCCCTCTTCTTTCCAATTATCAGAGCCCTTCATTATGCTGCTTATGTCTGAAAAGCTGTTTGATCGGGCTAGCGAGGGAGCAAAACCACTTCGAATCGATCCATTGATACCGGGTCCACCAGCGCCGATGGAATCGTATGTCCTTATTGAGTTTCCCCCTCTCATGCTATTCCTCCGTAGACTACCGGTAAGGGAAAAGTTCGATCTCAGGGACATGTTCATCAAGCTACTAGTAGGATTGTTGGCACTTCCCATATTCGAGGAAATCACCTCGCTAAGTCCTGAAATTGTGCTCAAGGTATTATCATCTCCCATCATTCTATTTGGTTCGTGGAATGTTCTATCGAAGGCAATATCTTGATTTTGCCATCCACCTTGTCGCGGGAAAGCATTGTACTGTTGCTGCTGACGAACAGGTGGACTAGGTTGAGACATCGCATCCATCATCCTCCTGGAAACCATATTGCCATTGTTCGTCGTAGATTGAACTCCTGGATATAACTGGTTAGAAAAAGAAGTCTGGTTTGGTAGAGCACCTTGTGGAAGTTGAATGTTTCGAGTCTGGAATCCTTGTTGATTTTGTAAACCATTATTTTGCATAAAATTTTGTTCCTGATGCATAGAATATCCAACCGGGTACGATGTCGAAAATGCGTTATTATTGTTCCTGTTCGGCCGAAATGGTGGAGGCATGGACGATTGCGCGTGATAATCTGACATCGACTGTTGAATATTGCTGGTATTGTTGTTCAAATGTTGCTGGGGCCAAATAGATCGAGCATCCTCCAGTGATAGATTGACTGTATTGTCCTGAATAGCATTTCCTCTCTGTATCATGTTCGGCGAAAGTCCGCGACTCTTTGCAACGTTGGAATCTGCGACTTTGGTGACACATGGTTTCTTTTCATCTCCAGAAGATTCGGCGTCTGCATCAATAACTGGTCGGATACCAGGTGCATCTTCGCGAAGTGCTTGTCCAGTCTTTTTTATTGCCTTTTTGTCGCCAATGTCATACCACATTCCATCAGATTTTTCCTCCTTCAAAAAACGGCCAGGAGGATTCATCGACCTTATGTCGTTCACGATTCTCGCCGCGATATGGGCTTTTTCAAGCTTTTTGGTCGTTGGAGCCAAGTATTCTTTTTTCATCGAGTGGATTACATTCCTGAATTGCACGTTTCCCGCATGACTGTTGATGCGTCCTCCTCGCCCGCAAAGGACATCGTTCTCGTTTGGTTCAGATATAGGACCGATGCCTTTTGGCGGTATGTTGTAAGCTGGACGTGGTTGTGCAGTTGACTTTCTTGTCGGTGTGGAACTGGTTTTGGTATTACTACCGCCATTATTCGATGTGTTCTTCCCGCCATTGCTCCAAAGAGATTCCACTATTACAGCCGCAGCCTGTCGCCTCTGGCGTTTCCGATTAAGCTGTTGAGAATCACAAAAGGGGTCCAGTTGGTTAGCAATATCATCGTATGGATAGTTGAATTGGTCGAACGGATAAGGACGTCGCATTGTTTCGGCTCCTTTAAACGATTGCAAATAGCAGAATATTGTAAAATAAATTGGTTGACCGGTGTGATACGTTGAAGGTCACGTTCAAAATGTTCGCTCATGCAGAAACATAATGTGGCACCAGCGATAAGGTAGATATAAATCTCGAGTCGATACAGAGATAATTGATTCTGAACATCTCAGAATGTCAAAGTAGTCGAGAGAAGAACGGAATGTACTCGTCCGAGTACGTACTCGTACATGCGCTCCTAGTCGTGCAGCATACGCATCGCACCACTTCTTTCTGTTCAGGAACACTCGTATCACCCCTCTTTCAGTCCTGTCAAATCTGTGTTCAACTAGGCTTATTTCTATCCTATCTTCGATGACTTGTTCCATTTTATCCTTAACTCCAATGAAAGACAAGATAGTTCGACTCGACCGACTAACACGAAAACATCGGTACCCCAATTCATCAAACAAAGAAACAAGCCAACAACACTCAAGGCGATGGGTTCGCTTACCATTATCAAAAGTGTTGTTGTACGACGATGCCTTGATTTGTATCAATGGAGGCGAAGTGTCTCTTACGAACGGCAATAAAGAATCTTCGATTTGATTCCCCGATGATGAAGAGAATTGAGTTTCGTTAACCCAGGTGTTCGAGGCGGAAAATGTCCCTGGGAAAAACACGGTATCAGCTCTGATGGTGCACCACTGGAATGTAGATGGATCGGCTGGAACTTAAGATTTCGATTTATGTCGTGGTGAGTTGTTGTTTGTTATCGGAGTCTTTATGATGTACTTGTAATTGCACATGAATGATTCACGGCAGTTTTTGTTGAATGTGAGAAGCACTTGCTGTTTTTGTTTTTGCCAGTGAACTCCTTCGGTTCGGTATTTTTCTGTACTGGTACTGGTACGAGTACTGTGTACCGATATGGCAATCTACAGCTACGTACTGTACCAAGTACTCCTACTAGACGCCAAAACGACGAAACGACAACAAAGACAAGTGAGTAAACAGACCCAGGCGGGCGTAAAACGAGGAGGGAAGATGAGAGTGTTGTACGATACCGTTACGAGTCGTACTGTTGTTACGTAAGTACTGTAGTGAACTTCAAAAATTGCCTTAGTACAACGAACTGAGTGGGTATCGAGGGAATGGAACGCATGTCGCGTGCGAAATCCGGTCTGTTTCCACCGTAGCACTCCAACGAGTACGAGTACCAAACCACGTTTCTGTCATTTATCCTGAAATTTCTCATGACTATGCTATCATAGTGAGATGTACGAAACTCGTACGTACAGTATTGTATTCGTTCCCATCAAAAAATAATCACAGTATGAACCTACGTACGAGTATTAACGTAGTAATGAGACTAATTCATTTTTGTTTTTCGTATCCACAAGTTAGGAGTTACAAGTCCTGTATGTATGGTACGCGTACCGTTATGTACCTGTAGATTTGCAATAGTAAATACCATGGTTGTTTACAGTATCACTTTTATTTCAGTTCGTACCGATTAAATTTGGGTTTTCAGGAGACGCATGACGGTTGGCGTTAGAGAGGGTTCTTCATGGGTCCGCTTCACGAAAAATCTTGATATTGTGTCCAGAATATGAAAGATGTGTGCAACCACGATATATTGCATTACTCGAATGAAACTCCTAATGCTCATTGTTTTGTCATGGTATCGTATGTTTTTGCTATTAATTGAAAGCTCTCCCTCGTACAATTTTAGCACCGAGCAAGATTGGTCGAGGTTGCCCTGCCCATCGAACAAACGTACCATCACCATTCAGAACAACAATAAACATTCCATGCATGATCTACGATGAACATGGAATGGTATTTTGAACAGCGGAAAAGACACCGAGAGTGGCAACGGCAAAACAAACGGAATGGTGACCAACCACTCTGTCCGCAACCAAAACACGCAGGCAAGAATACGAGCATCGTGTGCCAAGCGAAGCCTAAAGCGCCCAATAGATGCAAATTGGCTCTTTCGAAGCTATCCCCACCTCGATTTCAGAGACCAATGTACCATCCCATGCTGTCATATCCAATGGATCCCCCAAAAACCCCTCCGTCGTTTTCGTCGTCCTCGTCTCGCCGTGAAAACAGAAACTCAGAGCCGACATCCCCCCCTAATCCTCTTCGAGTGGCGGGTACGAACGAAACACGCCATCTTCCGAGACCAGACATAATCTCACCGTTCCACTACCGATGTTACCCATCACCAATTTGTTTTGAATACGTGGGTCACCCTTCCCTTCGGGTGTTCAAGGTAAAGCTCCCCTACCACCTAATCGCAGGACCGCTCGATGCCATTATTACGGCGGCCGAAAAGCACGCAGATTCGTTGTCAGGTGGCTGGCGGACCGAGCTCTATTCACTGACAAAATGCGACATTGCGTGCAAAGACATTCCGAACATTTCTGTGTACGTCAAACCTATTTCGGCATATATTTATCTCGCTATAAAGAATTTGTATGGTTGTCCAGGGGTAACAGTGGACCACAACCAGCCACACATTCTGAAGTATTCTGCAGAAGATGGCTACACTGGAGGTAAGGTAGAAAGCTCAGTATTGATTGACAATCCAGATTTTTTAAACAACCGATGATTGGTCACTGGGTCGTAGGAAACAGTGAAGTAAGTATATTGTCACAACCGAATCCATCTTTCCTCAACACTTGCTCTTCTTTAATATGAATCTCGCAGTAGAATTGCATCACGACCGCTGCGACATCACGGCCAATCTAGCTCTTTCGAAAAGCAACACATACATCGGAGGTGGTACCTATATCGCTGCGATCAACCAAGTCGTTGTTTTGGAACAAGGCGAATTTTTATTGCATCCAGGATGCCTGGTCCACAGTGGTAACCCGATCACCGCGGGCACCCGATATCTCTTGGTTACGTTCGCTGATCTAAAGTGATCAATAAAGGAAAAAGTGATGGGTTGGGTCAAAATGGGTGAAAATATGTTACTCGCCATTCTTTCATGTTTATGGTTTTGCACTGGTCAACAGTCAAGACGGGGTACACAAAAATTAGCACGGACGTGTTCTGATGTATAATATCCCACAGCGTTAGATTGTATTAAATAAAAATATAGAGATCAGACTGAATTCTTCGGACATTTGGCGACTTGTATGATGATTATGGGGCAATCTCATCGAATCGATAACTCCTTTCTCCGGATTTCCGAACTTTATGCTTTAGCTGTATTTTTATTTATTTTTTAAAATATCAGAAGATGTTCATAATAGTTCATGGCTTGCCATACTAATTACAAAATTGGGAGTCTCTTGCAAGAAAAGATAGTACGAATAGTCTTTCCCGAACATGATGTAGCGCAGTAACAAAATTCGATTTGTCACTAGCTGCATCTTGTGTCGATCTCGATTTCATAGCGTTCAATTCCGTTGGCGGTTGTGGAGCGATTCTTGTGGAGGGGATTATCTATGGTTTCTGGACTCCGTCCCGTGTCCCCTTCTGCCTTCGTCGAGCAGGCGTTTTCCTTTTTCTCCGGATTGGATACCGTAGCTGTTTGGTTTTGGCTGGGAGCACATCCATTGCCTTCCGCGTTGTCGAGCCCGAGGTTTGGTGGCTCCTCTTTTATGGGAGGAGCGGTGATTGCCAATTCTTCCCCCACCGCCAGCAGCTTCGATGGTTCTTCCACCGAAAGGTTCGATTCCGTGGTCCCCCTCCTTCCCTGGTGCGGGTCTTTTTGAAACGATCGAACCATCCTATTTTCTTGTTGGATATGTGATGTAATGGAATCGTTACACACCAAATCACACGACAAGCTCACGGCCAGATCTCTGGTCTTCGTTAGAATGGTATTGGGGGAGGTTTCGTCGATTCTCCCCCTGGTGCCCGCTCCGTGTACAAAGTCGAACTGCGTCACGAACTGATCCATAATGTACATACGATCCAACCCCGTTCGTATCAACGGAGAGGGATGAATGACGATGGATCGCTTGCTAGTATTGGCGGCGGCATTGTGCCCTTTCTCCTCCCTGGATTCCCCACCATCGTTCTCTTCGACCATGGTGGTGTCTCCCATGCCGCCATTGTTCCCCTCGTTCCCGCAATCGCTGTCCCGAAAGTCCAGGGCCCCAAGTGCAAATTCGTCCCTGGAAACTAGGGCCTTGGGGTGCCAGGCGTTTCTCAGGGGAAGCTTGTTCCATCGCTTCACTCGATCTCGTTCCTCGCGTTCCGCTTGCACTAGGGCTGCCATGACCTGCTTGTCCCTCGGACTTACACGGAAGGCACAGCCATGACCGGTCATCCCCGTTGCTGTCTTGTGGTCGCTGCTGCTGCTGCCGCTAGTTCGTTTCTTGGAGGATTTCTTGCCGGTGGGACTGGTTTTGCCCTGGTTGGCTTCAAAGACGTTATAGCTGCTGCTACCGCCGCACTCTTTTGTTTCGGTAGGTATGTGAACCAAGCTGTATTTTCCGTACCCGATGCATTCGGCTAGTATCCAGTCTTGTTCGAGATACGACCCGGGATGCACGGGCGCGGCATTGCCAACCAAGTTTTTTGCACCATTCATCCTGGGAGCGTGTTCGCTGCTGCTGGGTGGTTCCTTTGGATCAAGCGGATCGAGGGAAGAGGTCTCGATGGGTGCCGGGCTTTCGTCGTCCTCCTTGTTTTCCGTTTCGCCGCTGGTGCGGTGGTTCCACCACGGAGAATCCTCCGAAAAGTCGCGGAATCTCCGGTAACGGATCTGACCCCTGGCTTCGTCCAGGACCGCCATGGACACGACCAGCTCCCGGGAGGATCTCATCCAGAGCTTGGCGGGCATCCAGCGGTTTCGCTGCTTCTTTTGCGGTGATTTTCTCCGTTTCGTCTGGGCGTTGCCATCGTCGTCGGTAGAATCGCCGTTCACCTCAAAGACCGCCCACGCTAGGTCGGGGCAAGCGACGGCTAGAGAGTGCTCCTCCAGACGAATCCATCGCGTGACGCTCTTCTTTCGAAATTCCCGGCCCGCCGGGAAGCGGACGAGGCATTCGGTGTCGGTCTCGTCGTGGTGTTTGTGGTCGCCAGCGGGTTCTGCCCCGTCTTCCGCACGGCCACGAGCAGTAGCATCGCGAGGCAAATGGGGGTAATCTCCGTCGTAATCGATGGCTCGTTCCCTCACCCTTAGGATTCTCCCGGTGTGGTACATATTCGACTTTGTGCAAAAGAGCCGGATGGCGCATCCTTCCAGGACGTGATCGTCTCGAGCGTCTTGGTGGCTCTTGCCGTGGCTGCTAGAGACGTAGGGAGACGGAAAGCGTTTCCGTCGCCACTCGCTCTTGTGAAAGACCTCGAGCTCGCTGACCGGTGGTCCCTTGCCGCGGACATCGCCGCAGATGCCATTTTCTATCTGGGAGAGGTATTCGGATTGGCTCTCTTCCAGGTCCTTGTAGATGAGCTGGTCCACAAAGGTGTAGTTGTGCTTGGATTGGAATTCGGATTCGTTTTTCTTGCCGCCGTGGGTTCCGGTTCGGGTCGGCGGCGATCTCGTTCGCAATGCCGGCGATGAAGCCTGCGCATCGTGGTTGTACAGGTGGCTCTGCGAGGTCCGGCGCCTCCCCCGGGTGGCAACGGGCGTTGCCGGGCCGCCGCCGGGCGTCTCTTCCGCCGGCGATGCTCCCGCCGCCGCGTCGCTCGACGCCGAGCGGTCTCCCGGCCACGGCGAGCGCTCCTCGTGGTAGGCCTCTCTGTCCCGCTCGGTGCCCTCCAGGTACTCCTCCAGGAGTGCCGCCGCGTGTCCCCCGCCCGGGTGGCAATCGAAGCAAAAGTACTCGTCGTCCTCTGGGACCTCCCTGAGGGGCGGCCGGCAGCAGGAGAGGTGGAACTCCCGGTTGCACCCCGGACCGTCGCAGAGGATCAGCACGCTGCCGGGACCGCCGGCCTCGCCGATCCCGCACTCCGAGCACACCCCGAGGACCTTCGGGGGGACTGGCCGCCCAGCAAAGTGGCTCGGAGCAGCCCTGCAGCCGTACGAGGGCCAGCCGGCGGGGGTTCGTGTTCGAATCTCCTTGTCGTCGTCGCTCTCGTCGAACCGGAAGCGTCCAGTCCGGTAGTCCTCGGGGGGATCGTACAGAAGAGACCTCGGCCGTTTGTAGGCCGGGCCGCCAAGCTCGTACCGAGGAAGCGACACGCCCATTGCCGGCCGGCAGCCGTGTCTGCTCGGCTCCTTCCCCTCCGATCGTTCCCTCGCTGGGAAAGCCCTCGTTCTGGCTGGGTTTCCGTCGTTTTCTTGGTTTGGACTCGGTTGTCTTCCGGTGGATCCGGTGTTGGCGGGAACACTCAACTGTGCAAGATCGGACTCCGGGGGAACCGAAAGATACCTGCCGCCGCGGATTTTGCCGGTGTTCCCGTCCGGGTGGTTGCCATTGACGGCTGCAGAGGAAACATTCGGACTCCAACGGGGCGACGACGACGACGATCTCCTGGGCCGACGATTCCTCCTGGCGACGGGTGTCGTCGTCGTGTCAGAGGTTGGAGCTGCCGGAAGCATGGGTTTTGCCGCCCCTGCCTCTGTATCCATGGCACCGGCTTTCCCCGCCTTGCTTTTTGTGCTCGGAAAATGCGTGCTGTGCTGTGCTGTGTTGTGCTGTGGCAAAACGCAAGGTACGTAGCGATTGCCCGATGAAAACCAACTACAGTAATACCAAACAACAAATATTGCAGCGATATGAAACACCGCAGGAACAATAATAACACGAGCATCGGTTGGTCCAAACAAGATGTTTTGCGGGCGCGCGAAAAATACGAGTAGGAAATCAGTACATACTGTAAGCTTTTGGCTACAGTACAGTTGCTACTAACCACGCAACAGGGGCTGTTTCTGTTTCAGCGCTGCTTTGATATCCCAAATGCAGCAATAACATAGTACTCTATCACCCCTTGGAAAAGCAAGGAGACAATGCGATGATACTAGAATTATTGTTAAATACATTGTACCTTGCAAGGACAGAAGGCATCAAAGGAACGAAGCTCCTCCAAGAATTTTTTTCAGGCCAAAACCGAAGTTTTCACCCTCGCAGATAGATCTGTTGCCATGTCTTATCTTTTTTTTCGTAGTCAATTCGAACCTGTTGATTGCAAATACTACTAGTGTATAGTTTTTAACTCTTTCATCCACCGAAGATTTTTTTGCACGGTTCGGTGAGCACATACTCTAGAAGCCTAGGATGTTAGGCCTCGAGCTAAAGTAAAATATTAATTTTGAGCGCAGCTGTCGTTTTCATTCTTTTTCTATTGGTATCAGTTAGTTTTTAATTTATTCTTTTTTCGTTCGTTCGGGAAACAGCATCTTGGTTAGCATTCGCTTCTTCCCACTGACAAAAAGACGGGACAACGACTCGATGATAGCTGCTTGCTTCCCCATTTATTTATTGGTTGTATCTCCCGCGCGTGCTTTGCTGCTGTTGTGTGCTTCAGGATGCCATCCGAGATCGCACAATAAAAAAGGCTGGTAGAACTTTCTCCGTGCGCCTCTTGGATCACACATTTTTGCAACCGCGAGAACATTCTCACACACAAACAGACACACAACCACACCCACACAATCCCATCACCGAATGCGATTCATTCATAGCTTTTCGCACTCCTCCACTCCCACCMGCTTGCAACGACCGCCATTCGACTACCGTGTGCACAGAGCAGTCGAACCGCACTGTCTAGCAAGAGAACCCGGCCGCCACGCGCACTCTTTATATGTCCTCCGTATCTTTTCGGTACTGGATCATATCGACGATGCTGGTCAGGACAAGTCCGTGCTTCTTGGCAAAGCGCTTCATTTCCGGGAGTCGCATCATTTCCGTGGGGTGTTCCTCCGAGACGATTTCGCAGAGGATTCCGGCACGGGAACGCCCCGCCAGGTGTGCTAGGTCCACCCCGGCCTCGGTGTGCCCGTCCCGGGCTAGGACACCCCCTTCTACGGCCCGCAGCGGGAAAATGTGACCCGGCCGGTTGAAATCGGCGGCAGTGGTGCTCATGTCGGCCAAGAGGTTCATCGTCTTTGCGCGGTCTACCGAGCTGATTCCGGTTGTTATTCCTGTGGTTTCAGAGACCGAACAACAAGAACGTTAGAATTCCAAAAATCAGAAAAAATACATTTTTTCCCAAACCAAAGATCAGTCCAAAAGGAACGAATGGTTTTCGACTGGGCACAAACGATCCGTAAACACAATACTTTTACGTACCGTGCTCCTTGGTGGCGTCTACCGTAATCGTAAAGGCGGTGTTCTTTGGGTCTTCGTTGTTGGTAATCATCTGGGGGAGCTTGAGCTCGTCCATGCGGTGGCTGTCCATGGCGATGCAAATCACACCACTGGAATACCGGACGATGAATGCCATGTCCTCGGGGGTACACAGATCGGCAGCCATGATCAAATCTCCCTCGTTTTCGCGGTTCATGTCATCTACAACGACGACCATTTTTCCCTCCTTCACGGCGGCAATGGCATCCACGACCGATTGTCGGCCAAAGCAGTAACCATCGTCCTTGGCCAGGCATCCTTCTTCGTTTTCGTCGTCAACAGACTCCTGTAGAGACTGCTTCACAGCGTGTGCCGCCATTCCTTCACCCTCTGTGACATATGTTTCTCCAACAATGGTATCGTCTTCGGAATCACTGAAAAGGTGGTCGAAATTTTCGTGAGCCATGCGTTCGTGCTTGGCCTCGATATACCGATGGTTGTAGGGATTCGTGGTTGGGACCACCATGGGAACGGTTCCATCGATTTTGACACCCAATTCTTTCAATCGGTTCACCTTGCGCGGGTTGTTGGTCATGAGCTTAATGGAACCGATTTTCATGTCGTGAAAAATCGACGGAATGGCTCCGTAGTTACGGCAATCCTCCGGGAAACCCAAATGGAGATTCGCATCAACGGTATCCAGACCAACATCCTGAAGGGCGTACGCGGCAACCTTGTTTGCGAGACCGATTCCACGGCCCTCTTGCTGCAGATAAATAACGGCACCCCCGTGTTCGGCGATGTGTTTCAACGCCATTTTTAGTTGGTCGCTACAGTCACATCTGTTGTTGTATGATTTTAGTACCGAAAGAGCCATCGTTGTTATCCACGGAAAAAGTCGACGAGAAACAAGAAAGTTTGAATCATTAAAAACGAATTGTGAGAAAGATAGGAGAATGCCACGGTAAGAAATGCTTGAGTTAACCACCGACGACGCAACAAAAATAAGCAAACCAGGCACAACGTACCGTTTGCTTCCAAAGACTTCCGATGTCAGACACTGGTCGTGGATTCGAACGTGTACACCCTTCTTCAGCTCTCCCTCAACCCCAAAGGGAGACTTGTCGGCGGCGTAAATCACCGAGGGCTCCCGTCCGGTGTATTCGTTGGGGACCTGATCGGCTTCGAGTCGGTAAGCCCGAAGTCGAAATTGACCCATGTCGGTGGGAAGGGCGGTTTCCGCAACGAATTCTGCTGGGATGGGCCGATCTTCGACTTCACAAAGCTCGCTAATAGCGGTTGCTGCAATGTTCTCGGATGCGAATCCGTTTTGTTTAAATCCATTTGTCTTATTCCTTTTTGGTGGCATCCGGGTGGCACCCAATCCTTTCCTTGCTGTCACACGGATCTGCTTGACCGGAGTCTTGGTCTCGCAGTCACCGTTCGCACAGCAATCTTCGACAGCACCGTTCGTGGTTCCGTTATCGAGGGCTTCGTCGTCCATGTTTAGCGTTGTGCTGCCGAACTTAAAGTTCTTCCGTTGTCTATCGGCATTTTTCGGCGCGGCCCTAGATTCTCCCCCTCTTACAGAAAAGAAAGCGGGATTGGGCACAAGTGCCTCGGCGGTACAAAAAGTCACAACCAGGGAAAATGCCAGGCACGCCAGTTGGAACCGTCTATGAGTATTCTTATTATTGTTCATTTTGTTTCTATCGTTTCTGTCGTTGTTGTTGTTGTTTTTGTATTGATTTTGCGTTGATAATGTTGGCAACATTTTGTATTAGCGGAGTCAAGTGGATATTATATTCGATGCAACAGAAAGAAGGAATAGAGTGATTGGAACGGGGATCCGAAAGATATATCCGTTGGAATAAGTGGATGAGAAAGCAAGTAATCGGATTGTAGGATGCGCTGGTCGTCTATATTTCTCAGATGGATTATCGGCAACCGTGGTTACTTCAAAGATGTAATGTTTAATTTGTTGGATAAAGCAAATTATAATTTCATCCGTATTTCCCTTTCGTTTTCTTTTGGTCCTTGGATCTTCAAATACTGTGTCCGTGCCGACTTACCATTCTATTCTATCGGCTCCAAAATCGTTGTGGCTATGGTACGTACTGGCGAGGTCGTTGAAAAATGGATTTCTTCCTTCTTTATTTCCTTACAACGACTGAAAGGCCTTTTTTTCTTGATGTTTACGTGTGGTTGCTGCTTCGAGAGGAAGAAATCGAGCGAATGTGGTGCAAGTGCGTGAGCAAATCTGACGCGCGAATTTGATGAGATTGCAGAGATGACGGGAAATACCTGGTAGTTGTTGTCCAGCGATGACAAAGAGAAGACCGTGGATTTTAATTGGTTCCCACAGATTAAACGCGCATAAAAAGCGTGTATTCTGTCGTAGAGTTTTTTTGCACGCAAAAAGCATGCTTCGGGCTGCACTTTTTTAGGCTTCGAGACCCCGTAAGAACTAACGGCGCATGGAAAAAGTGAGAACCTTTCTTTTGCTTCCAGGTGGCATGGATTTATTGCTTTGCGCACCGAAACGAATTCTGCGATGTTGACGGATCTTTTGATTCGTTCGACTAAAATGCCTGTGGTGTTTTTTTGGTTTTGGGACTAAGTTTAAATTCGTGATCTAATGCTTTCAATTTTTCTCGGTTCGGCAACAATTTCGTGTACCGTACAAGAAACAATCGATCGATCATAGAATCTGATGCTACCGTAAATGATGGACTTGCTTCTCCGTTATGATTTCCTACACCGGTACTTGCTAATGAATGCGAAATAGAACATTACACGGCTCTTTGTGTCTGTAACCACCAGCTAGGAGCACCTGCAGTTGTTTGGTTCCGATTTCATTGAACCAACCGACCAGAATTCTTCTCGAGTTACTATGGAGCCGTCGTCACGACTTTCGCAGCATTCGCAGGAGCAACTTACGAAGCGCCTTCCGCCTCAACTCCAGGGCCCACGATTTACTGCTGTAAGATGTAATGCGTGTCGAAAGCCGTTGTCTTCAACGGTATTCATCCTTGCGTGCAACTGCCTGATTTGCGAAGGTAAGCACTCGCAAAAAAATATATCTCGTTGGCACGCTTCGCTTTGGATCGTTCCCGTTTCCTAACTAGTAAACCATCGCGTTGCTACATTGTGGAAACCACAAATGGCCCAAATTATTTTTTTGTTCCACTGGATGGAACTATATTCCAGAATGTACTACTTCTCATTTCGCGACAAATCGGGACTGTCCCATCTGCCATCAAACCATGAGAGAAACCGATTTTAAGGAACTGATGATTGCACGGCCTCCCACACGCGACGAAGAAAAGCAGTCCATACTCAAACATATTTTTGTCAAGGCCTCTTCGCGCTCTACAACGCTGCATTTGGACGACCTCTGGAAGCGAATCCAGAGACAATCCCAGATGCATCGAGACGGGACCAAGTTTATTCTTCGACAGTTTCTCCGGGAAAACGTCGCACAGACCCGTAATTTTGTGCGGATGCAAAACACGCTTCGGGGAATGAAAAACGAACAAAGCAGCGTGAAACAAGAACTCAACAAGCAGAGGGAGGTTGCGGAAAGCTACAAAAAAGAGTTGCTGGTGGCAAGAGAAAAAATAAGCGAGAAGGATCGACAGCTAGCACACTTTCGGAAAATCTTCGAATCACGGACTCCTCAATCTCCTAGTAGCATTGTTAGCGGTGGCAGCCGCGGGAGGCGAAGCATTGGAAGCTCTGGTCAAGAATCGTCTCTCCTCCTGGGACACGACCGGTATATTGCTCCTAGAAGGCCAAGGCGTGTCAGTGATCAATACGATCGAGGAACGACTACTACCGGGGTCGAAAACTTACAACGATCATCTTTTGGACAACACGACTACCGTAGGGCTGGACAATATACACCGCCGAACCCTTACGAACAACAAGTGGGCAGTAGAACTAGTGGCAGCATCATACCTCCTCCTCCAATAAACCCATACAACAAGCGATCTTCTGAAGCTCTGTCACAACAAAGTCCCAACCGACCAGTGCCAAACAACAATAATTTCGCCGTGCGAAATCCATACCAAAAAACAATGGGTCCCTCTGCCCCGTACCATTCGCACCCCTCAGACAGCACGGGGCACCATTCAGGCGCAATGACGTTGAGCCAACCACCGCTCCATCGGCAGCGATACTCCACCGGGAGCAGTGGCGAAAGCGTTTCTTCCCGCCGGAGCAACGGATCGGGGGGGAGTGGCGGACGGATCCGGAACATCACGGCAGCCACGGGGTATTTCTTCTCGGGTGGTGCGCCGGCCCCTTCTGTCGATGCCGGACGGAAACGCCCCCTCTCTCCCGGTGGCGCCTTTTCCGGGAACCGGGGTTCCGGCTCCTATCGTCCCAATTCGTGCTATCGGCAGCAACACCGTGCCTCCGGGGGACCACCGAGTTATCACCAACAGCGGCGATACCAAGACGAACAACCGCAATTTCTGCCGCGTCCACGATCGCAGTCGCAATCGGGGGAGAGGGATGGCTATCGGCGCTGATGGAATTGTTCCGCAGTGCTAGTTGCTGGTGATTCCATTCGAGCACGGTCCGACGCCAAACAATTCGGGGTGGAAAGTCCTCCGTGTGACACAAAGCGAACTCCTAGGTCGGGAACAAGCAACAATATTGAAGGAAAATGACGCGAAGATTGCTCTTGTAAATAAAAAGTGAGTATGACTGTTCGGTAATGAAACTAATTTATTTCTCGTGTGTAAGGTTATTTCGGTCAACTGCGCATCGATGATTCATTCATTCGATCATTCCAATTGACGTTGGTACGTGAAAGGTGTTGAGAGTCTGCTGGTGATTCGTTCGTTTCTCGACAGACATCGCATTCCATCGATCCGCCCACTCCCGTCCCTTCACTTCGTTTCGTCGGTTCAACCTTGTTGCCGTGCGACTCGATCGGATAGAGCTCCGTGTGTCCAACCCACTTTAGTTGTCCCGCTGGCGAGAAACGTCCGGCATGGCCAGGAGGCCCTGCGAGTCCACGCCGTGGACGTTGCCTTCCTCGTCGACCGGCAGCGCGTACATCTGCGTCGCGGCCACGTTGATCGAATCCGCAACGCAGGCAAACATGGATTTCTGCTCCGCCGTCCGGGCACCTCCTCCTCCCTCGAACCCACTGGCGTACGTCAGGCCTTCCTCGCCGGTCTGCGCCGAAACCAGGGTCCTCGATCCCGAGGAAGAAGCTCTCGGGCTCGGGCTCGATCGGGTGGCGGGAGCCGGAGCGGGGGCCTGGGATCCGGTCAGCCAGTCGTACCAGGACTGGCTTTCTTCCGACGATTGCTGCTCGCCTCTCTGCTGTTGCGTCTGGTTGCCGCTTCGCACCCGGTTTCGTCGCTCCTGTGATTTGCTGTATTCCTCCTTCTGGAGTTTTTCGGCCAGTTCCGCGTCGGCGATCATCTGAGCGGTTTCCGCATCCAGTTCCTCGCCGCTGCCGGCCGGGGGCCGTCCGCCGCGCTCGTACGAGGCCGCCACGTTGGCAACCGCGGACGTGCTGCGTTGGTCAAAGGCCATGGCCCTGGCGGCCGCTCCGGAAGCCTCGTTGTTCGCCTTTTCCTTCTCGATTTGCTCCAAGATTTTCCGCTGCTCTTCCAAAAAGGCTTCCCGTTCCGCGGGTTCCAGTGCGTTGAGTATGGAAGCGTCAATGTCCAATTCGGGCGGAGGTTGTGCTTCCATCGGAGGAGGCAGTGGTGGTGGGTGGAGTTCTTGTTGTTGTGTGTGAAGGTCTTCAAACATGGGTGCCGACGGAGCCGAGGGCGAATAGCCCATGTTCATCAGATCGGGCGGGGGCATGGAAGGCGGTGGCAAAACATCGTTCAGGGGCGGTGGCGGTGGGAGAACGGAATCGATCGGAGGCGGTGGAAGAAAGTCCGTTGGAGGTGGAAGAAAGTCCGTCGGCGGTGGAAGAAAATCCATCGGCGGTGGCAGCTGTTGCTGCTGCTTCCGTTCCAAGACGTCAAAGGACGGGGGAGGGACGTCCTTCAAAAAATTTGTGTCGTACGCGGGCGGTGCAGGCTGCGCAGCCGGCGCGGGCGCATCGAAATCCATCAGCAAATCGGTGGTGGTCGCAGAAGGTGCTGCCGCTGGGGGAGCCACCTGCTTTTTCTCTTGCTTTTCCTTCGCCGCCATGATCCTGGCCTGCGGTTTCGGGAATCGCGTCGTGGTGCGTTTCGGGTTGCATTTCATTTCATCGGTACGGGGACGGTCGGGGTTTGATCCGTGTTTCGTGTCCGCGGGGGGCAGGGAGATCCAGAAAGTCGAAACAAAAGGGGTGAGAACAAAGAAAAAAGAACCGGGAAAAAGGCCCTAGGGGTGGCAGGCAGAAAGAGGCTCGTTCGTCGTGCTTACCAGCAGGGCGTTCTTTCCCCCCTTGACGGCGGGCGCCGCGGCGACTGGGGCCGGAGCCGGAGCTGCCACCACCGGGGCAGCCGGCGGCGGGGCGGCCGCCGCGGGGGGTTTCTTGTCCGATCCCATCAGCGCCAGGCGGCGTTCCAGGTCGGCGACGGATCCCACGTCGAGCGTTGTTGGGGGGGGTGCTGTTTCTTCCTCGGTGTCCTCCGGGGAGGGCTTGGACATCATCATGGTTGGATGTGGTTGTGGTTGGATTGGATTGGATTGGATTGGATTGGATTGGATGGCTTCGGTCCCGGTGTCGGTTTGTGGCTCACTGGTGTTCTCGCGGCGAGAGGGAGTGCCACTCTGGTCAAATGTACAAGTATTGTTTTTGGTTGTGTCTGTTACTGACATGTGTTGGTTGATTTGAAATTAATCGTGCCCTAGGAGTTGCACTGCGGTCGGTACGTACTCGTACTCGTACTCGTACCTTACGTAATCGTCTTCTGCCGTGCCTTTTTTTTCTATGATGTTCTTTTCTCCGGTTCTGTCACTCCCCGTAGGATTCTGTACGGTACATTCAGTAGATTTTATAGAGGTTCGTGCCCAGGTACAATACCCGTAAGCAGTTTTGTCTGGAACATCCTCTTTGCCCCTATGTTCTTCCCGGGACTCAACGTGAAGGAAAAAATCTTGCCAAACCGCTGACCAACGAAGAACTCGGATACATATTCATTATATCTATTTATAATAGATATATAGAGTATGATGAGTACTCCAAGGAGACCGAGGATTCCGTCAGTCAGTCGAACGAGTCGTTTCGTGTCGTTTGGAACGGGATCGCCGAGAGAAAGCAAAACCAGCTTTCCCATTTCTTTTTTCCGGGGAGGCGGATGATTTCATCAAATTCCATTGGCTAACGAAAGAACTTTTTGGGTCGGATCACGACCGATTTGTTGATGGCAAACCATCAACTTCGCGTTTTGGCTGGGATGGGATTGACATTGGAATTGACCATTTCTTCTCCGACTGCCATACCGTACGGTTTGGTATGGTACCGTGCCGTACGGAATTGTACGGGACGGGGCCTTTTTCGAAAGCATTCTGCATCGCCCTAGCCCGTTGTGACAAACGGTGTTCGCAGTTTTCGCCTTCCAATGCCCATCAAAGTGTCACATTGCCAATGCCATTTTGAAGGAGCCATTCGAGCCACAAACACAACCTACCTACCGTAGCCCTTTCGATCCGATCCGATCCGAGTGCAACAGCATCCACCCTCCTCTCCTCCTCCTCCTCCTCCTTTGGCAACCACCAAGAGCACTAACTCCATTTCTTTCGAACCCACCATGAAGCCGACGCCCTCCCTCCCCGCCGCCTGGTTCGCCGGCCTGTCGATTCTGTTCGGCGGACACCTCTCGCCCGCGAACGCCTGGGTGTGCCCCGCACAAGGCGGCACCATCCGGAAGAACGAAGGGTCCCTTGCGATCGGAAAAGGCCGGTTCGGGGGCGGCTCGGCCCTCTCCTACTCGTCCGGCTTCTCGGACGAAAGGGGCGCTGGCAACTCCAACAGCACCTCGCCGGTGCTGGAACGCCTGCGGATCAACGGGGTGTCGGTGTCCCCCAAGGGGTTCCACGTCCTCCTGGAACCGACGACCGCCAGGAAGACCGGGACCGAGCACGCGGGAGCCACGGACCCGGCCTGTGGCGAAGGCGAAGGCAAGCCCTCCCCCATTGAACTAGGCCAACCACCAAAGAGACAGATCGTTCCCGGGGCAAGCGACGCAGCGATCGCCCCCGGCGCCAGCGACGGCGAAACCCAGAGGGAAAGCGCCGAGAACGGCGCCGGCGGGCTGCTCCTCCCCCTCAAGGTGACGAACGACCCGGCCGATGCCTTTGCCGCTACCTCGCCGGAGTCCCTCACGCTCTGCCAGCTCCTGAGCGGGGTCGACATGGCCGGGGCCATCCTGCCGCCGGAGCTCCTGGGAAAGATTGTGGTTTCCCACGTCGAGGACAAGGTCGACTCCATGTACGACGACGACGACGACGACGAAGAAGAAGAAGAACAAGACAACGCAGCCGTCTTTGTCCCGGTCTTGTCTCCGATCGAGGGAAAGCTCTGGGAATTCCTAAAGAACGAAGAGGCCCTGTCCAGGGAGCAGCAGGCCTCTGCCTCGTTGTACGCGTCCTCGCCCGTCCCGCCGCGGATCCCGCAGCTGCCCGAGGTCACGCTGGACCAGCTCACCCTGGTTCCCGCCCACCACCGCGAAGGAAAGGCCGCCGGCGGTTCACACCCGTCGTGGCTCTGCCGGCTGGAGTGCGCGCTGCCCCAGTGGAAGGACTTTCTCACGGTCGACGTCCGGGCCGACCTGCTGGCCTCCCTGGCCTACAACTACGATCCGGAGTCCTCGCCGCTCTTCACCTGCATCGCGCTCGCGCTCCGGTACAAGGCCCCGATCGTTCTGGAGGAGGAGCTGCGGCAGGACGCCCCTTCGGGCGGCGGCCACGCCGGCAAGGAAACCGAAACCAAAGGCGAGGCCAAAGCCAAGAAAGCCCCGACCGAGACAGAGGGTGGAAGCGGCAAAAGCAACAGCAACAGCAGCAGCACCAACACCAACACCCACAACGGCGGATACTGGTCCTCCCCCGACGACCTGGACCGCGACTTTCCGCAGCGGACGACCCTCCGGTCCCTGCGGCAGCAGTCCTCCCGCGTGACGCAAAACATCGAGCGGGGCTTTGAGATCCACAAGCTGACGGGGGCCCTCGAGATCGCCAGGCGCCTGGGGGACGACGCCGCCGCCGAAAAGATACGCGCCAAACTGGACGAGTACGACTCGATGGAAGGCCTGCCCACCCTCGGGGACGCTTCGGGCGGAAGGACGACCGGGGGCGACGATCGCCTCGACGACCTGGAACAGAACATTCTCCAATAGTGTCCTTTCGGATCGTGTAGTAGTAGTAGTAGTAGTACCAAGAAGAATTGTAAAAACGTGGTCGTTCATACTACAATGATAGTTCTCTCGATCTTCTCCTCTTGCATCGAACTTGTTGTTGCAATCTTTAACCGTGGCTACCGGCTATGTTTGCTTGAATTGCGGGCATCGGTGCATATGTGGGTGTGGGTGTGTGGCTCCCTTTGCCGTCGCTCACCGTTGGCGGCAACAACAACTAGTAGAGACTGTTTCACTACTACTACCGTACTACTAGCAGCTTTTGTTGAGAAACACTCGCGTCGAAAAGCCGAAACTCCGATGCAAACGTATGATGTAATGTTATCAAGCATATGTTATCAAGCATGTGTATGTACGAGTGTACCGATAACCGATACCGTTTGGGGTCGGGGTGGTTCGTTTTTCAAAAGCACCTACGGCAGGTCTGCCTCGCGTGCGATACGGTTTTGTGTCACCGTTTCGGACATTACGTACGAGCAAGTACAATACCGGACGTCACGGTTCGTATGATGCGATGCGATGACCTCTGCCGGTTCGTTCGGAGGTTCGTAACAAGTACTTTATGTACTGGAGTTCGTACGTAAGAGAGTCACATAAAGCACTCCTACTACCACACGTACCGGTTTTGTCGTGTTTTCCATTTTTAGGTACCGTAGATTGGATTCTCCCGAAATTCCTGTGAAACGAAGGACGATTACGAAAATAAGGGGAAGTACCAAGTATTTTGAAAAGCACCCGACGAAAACAACAGGAGACCATCCTCTCTGTACTGTGCAGGAGGCAAAGGTTGGATTGCGCTGTCGCTACCAATTCATCAATAATTGCAGAGAAAAGAAGAAAACGCCATTGATACCGCAACCAGTCTAGCACCGGAAACGCAGTTTTTGGGGGGGGAAGCAACCACCGGTAGACGTCAAATCATTCCAGTCGACCCAACCCTGTAAACCGACCCGCCATGGCCTTTCGATCCCCCGGGTCTCGCACGTCTCCACGGGTCCCGAAGCAAACCGTCGCGGAGGGACCGATCTTCGATTTTACGCTGGTCATCGAAAAAACAAAGCCGGAGGACTGGAAGAAACGCATCGCCGCCCTGCAGACACTGATCTCGGAGATCCCGACGGAGGACAACCAAGGCGGAGACGCCGGCTCCGACGACCCGTGGTATCGCTCTGCACCGACGCTCCGGCACCTGGCGATCCCCGTGTCGGACCTCCTGACCGACGCCCGATCGACCGTGGTGAAGCGAACCTGCGAATCGATGAGCGAACTCTTTTCCAGGTGCGGATCGGACGCCCGGTACCTCCTCAAGGACCTGATGCCGGCCGTGTGCCAGGTGCACGCCTCCACCGTCCAGGTCATCCGGAACTACGTCCAGGAGCTGATCCTGGAGACCCTTCCGAAGGTTCCCTGCAAGATGACGATGCCCGTTTGGCTCGACCGTCTCAAACACGACAAGTCACGAACCGCGAGAGAGGCCTGTTCCCTCTATCTGGCTTCGTCCATGGCCATCTGGGGGGCCGCGAGGGACGACAGCTTCGAACACGAAAACAGCGGGTACCTGACGCGGGAAATCTACCTGCAGGTCGGATCGACGCTGGTCCGGACGCTCCGGGACCCCTCGCCGCTGGTCCGGCAGAACTGCAAGAAAGGCCTCTCCGTCCTGGCGGCGCAGAACCGTGACGTCCTGAACGAGCTGATCGCCGACAAGAGCCTGACCCGGGACATGCGGACCATCAAGCTGCTGCAGCGGCTGCAGGCGGGGGAGCAGGGGATCGGCGACGACATGAGCGTTTCCTCGAGGAGGAGCACCAGGAGCCGCGGCGGGGCGTCCGTGGCGAGCGCCCCCGTGTACCGGGGTGGCGGCAGCAGCAGCCGGAGTGTCCGGTCCACCCGACGGATGGGGGCGCCGCCACGGGCCCGCCGGCGCTCGATGGGAGGGGGCATCGGGGAGTCCGGCCCGGTCCCCACCACGATCGGGGTCAGGTCCCCCCGGTCGGGTGCGGGCGGAAGCAGCAGCTCCGGCGCGATGGGGCCCCCCCGGCGGGTGGTCAACGGGGCATCGTCGTCGTCCTCCACGCGATCCATGCAGACGGTCGCGAAACCAAAGCCGGCGAGCCTCTCCCCGGCGATCCCCACAAGGGAACCGGCGTCCCCGGGCGGCATGGCGCTATCGACGCCGACGCAGAAGCTGCTGGGAACGACGGCCGAGGCCGCGACGCCCGTGACGCCGCTGGACCACGAGCTGGAAATGACGAGCTCCAAGAACGGCGACGGCACCGAGGAGGAGCTGGTCGAGCTCCTCAAACACACCACCACTGCTGCCCCCGCCACGCCCAACAAGTCCTTCGACTCGACCGAGACGGACGTTTCGGTTCTGAGGCCGATTGCGAACGCGGAGGAACTCCGTCTCCAGGCCAAGTCGAGGACGATGCTGGGGGCGAAGACCAAGAGCCGGCGGTCCAGCATCCTGCTGGACCGGTTGCTGCGGTCCGCCTCCAAGTTCGATCCCGACGACGCGAACCACCAGAGCACCAGCACCGCCGGTGGCGGCGGGACCGCCGGGTGCGACCCCGAAAGGCTCGCGGGCAGCCTGATGGGCCTGGACGTGGCGGACCTCGACGAATTCGGCCAGATGCCCTTCCACACCAAGATTGCCTACGAGCTCGTGGAGGCGCACAAGCTGCACATCGACCAGGTCATGGAAACCCTCAAGGTGGAAATGGACGCCCTCAAAGACTTTGAGCTGGTACTTCTGGAGCAGGGCCCGGTGCGGCCGACCGAGGAAGAGGTCGTGGAATACTTCGAGAGCCTGGGGCTGTGCCTGGAACAGCGGAAAAAGGCGGGGGCCATCTTGCAAAAGAAGATGGATCGCATCAGCCAGGGATAACAACGGATGACTCAGTCGAGTAGTCCGTCAAACAATAACGAATGAATGTTACAAATGAATGTTACACAAACAAACAATTATGAATTATAGAAAGCGTGGTCGAGCGTCAACTAGTGCTAGGTTTTCTTTGTGATCGATTCGAAAACATTGTACCATATTGCAAGCAAGAGCGAAGGTTTCGTCTGTCGCTCCGCGTTGAGTCTTCTCCCGGAACGCAAAACACGCATGCCTACAGTGGATATTGTTCTAACAAACAATAAATTGGCGCAACAATTGGTTTGTGTTTTCTTTTCTGTGACCTTTCGAAGCCGTTGCGAAACTAGAAAACCCGCTGCGGTCACTCGAAACGCTTCTCGTATCGTACAGTGCGCAACATTCACAGACAAACAACTCATGCGATGCCTACGTGCAGCTGTATTTATCACTATTATTGTCGCCGTTGTCGTTATTAATTTTGGGCCAATCACCGAGAGCAAAAAATGGAAAATCCCATTCTTGCCCCGTCTGATGGAATTTGACTACTGCCATTGAATCAACAAAACACCAAACGAAAATAACCACTACACATCCATCCATCACAGCGGCATCTTTCCGGTAATTGTGCCAAACTCGTGTTTGCGGGTCGCAACAACAAATCCAACACGACCTACCAACACACAGCCCGTTGCCAAAAACTATGCTCAGTGTGTTCTTTCACCGATGCGCCTCTCGTCCAAAGCTCCCTTCCTTTTCGTTGTTTTTTTTCAATCGCAACACTGGTCATACTCCAGAAAATCGAATCTATCGATGGCCACATCATAACACCATACGCGCCCTCACACCATGATACCATAAACAGTTGAGGTCGTCGCGTGCCGGTGCTTGCACTATAAATAATGAAATCCACGAACCAGTAGTGGATCCTTTAGTATCTCTGGGGCTGCTGTCCGTAGTTGTATCCCTGGGGCGGGTACTGCTGCTGGGGTGGCGGCGGTCGTTGTTGCGACGGGGGCTGTGCAAAAGACGGGGCCGATCCGTAGCTCTGGTAGCTCGCCATGCTCTGGCTGCTGGGGCTGGCCATGGTGGAGGGCTGGTTCGGATCAAAGGAGGGGGCACCCCCTCCCGGAGCGAGGGCCGGCGGGGGCTGCTGCCCGTAAAAGGATCCCTGTCCGGGCGGGGGCGGCTGCTGCTGCCCGTAGTAGGCTTGCTGCTGTTGCGGTGGCGGTTGCTGCCCGTACGAGAAGGATCCTCCCGGCTGCGCGCCGTAGGCAGCGGGTGGCGGCTGCTGCGGCTGGCTCGCCACGGACGACCCGAGCGAGTAGTTGCTGTATTGCGGCTGCTGCGGGGGCTGGTGGCCGTAGGCACCCACGGGGGCCTGCGCCGGAGCCGCGTCGAAGCTGAGCAGGTCCGCGACGGGCGCCGGTGCGGGGGCGGACCGTTGGAGGTCCTGCATGCTGGCCAGCTTCGCCGCGGCGATCGCCTCCCGCTCCGCCGGGGAGACGTAGGCTTCCTCGTTTCTCTGGCCGCCCGAGTAGCCGCCCTGGGTCTTCCCCTTGCCCTTGACGGGGCGGACGATCATCCGCGGGCCCCCCAGCTCGAAGATCTTGGGCATCGCAAAGTAGGAGACCCCGTTGAGGCGGAGGTCGAAGGGTTTGATGTGGGGGACGTCCTTGTTGGCCGGCTGGGTGATCAGGTGGGCCCGGAGCGGGCCGGAAAGGCCAGCCACGCGGACTTGGAAGTGGTGCTGGAAGATCTGGTCGGCCGTCCACCCGTTCTGCCCCGTTTCGGAATAGTGCACGTCCTTTCCGTCCAGCAGGATCTGGCGCTTCCCGCTGTTCAGGGACCACGTGAAGATGACCTCGTGCTCGCTCCCGCGGCAGTTGGCCCCGTTCTCTCCGTTGGCTACAGCGGGGGGGTTGGCGACGCCGAACTTGAAGGTGATCCTCTTTTTGGAAAACCCAAAGGTCTTCGAGGTGTTTTTGACGCTGTAGTCGATCTGGTAGGGGCTGAAGACGTCCGACATGGTACTGCGTTGTGTCGTGTTGTGCTGTGCTGTGTTCTGTTGTGTGCTGTGTGGGTTTAGGTTGTAGTATTGGAATGGCAACAGATACTGTATGTCCAAAGTCTGCAGGATTCGTGATGAAGCAAGCTAGATGGATTTATCACCTAAGTTCAGCAACCTCTTTTTAGAATCGAATTAGGTGAGGCAATGTCTCTGGAACGGTTTTTATCGTGTTTGTTTCCAACTTGATGCAGTAAGATGGATGAGTTTGCTCACAGCCGTGAGTCAGGCGACAGCAATACATGTGAATCTAAAAAATCAAAAAATACAGTATCCCTTCCAAATTACCTTTACCTATACCGTACAAGGAGCACTGTACCAGCACGTACAGAGCGACTCAACACCGTCATACACTAGTATTACTCGTACTCAACTTACGTATCGGTACTCGTACCAATCTTGCTTGTTTTCGAATCGATCCGCACGGCAAAATAATGACCAGCCGATGCGATGAGACCGTTAGGTTCATCAGTAAAGTACGTACCGTACGATACGAAACAGTACAGGTAGCATTGTGAGGTTTCACCGCCGACGAAGCACATACCACGCTAGAATGTACGGTTCTGAACTACCAGGCTCTACGAGGTCATTTTTTGTTTTCATCGGCATGCGTGCATGCATGCAGTTCGGTTCGCTTCGATGCAGAAAATCGAAAATCGATTACGGCATACGGTACGTAGGCTTTTTGATTGGGGGACTGGCTTTCCGCCGGGGCGCGTGCTGGAGCGTGCCCTCGGTTTTTAATGGTGGTTGCGCCAAACGAGCCAATGAACAAAACGGAGGAGTTCTTCCTTTTTACTTTACCGTAGATACGTAGTTCTTGTACAGGTTTGCGTTCACTCCCTTCCTTGGTACCGGTACGAAGTACTTAAAAGTATTCAAAGTATTTCGTAGAGTAGATGAAGTAGATCCCACGTCTGAAATCTGAAATCTTCAGTCGGGTTAGATCGTGCCCCTTCTGCTGATGCCCCTTTGACACTTTGATCCACAACTCATGGAAGGCATAGAAACATGTTCCTACATGGAAGATCCCGTACCGCAGATAGCACACATCCGCAGAGGCAATAGTCACAACTCCGGGTATAGGTGAGTCGCAGCGTACGAACCGGGCACGATTCCAATCCAATCGAATTTAATCGAATCGAATCGAAAACGCACCATCGACGAAGCGCCGGAGAGGGGGGTCAACCACACCGCAGCGATCGGGCACGGCCATCGCAACTACGAACGATTGCAGCGGCGCCCGGCACTGCAGAACAATTCAGCGCGACGACACCGGATGGAAAGCCTCCGGTGGAGGAACAGAGCGTTAGAGAGAAACGAACCACCGGTGCCAAACGAGGAGGATTGGTCCATTGAACCCCCGGATCTCTTGCCGCCGTAAAAAAGACAAACGCTATAATAATCACGATGCTAACAATTCTGCGTGTTAATTAGGATCCATTCGACAACAACATTGGTCCGGTGAACCGTTGCAAAAGTCGTTCGGCCCCGTTGTTTCGATATTTTATGGTTGATAAAATGGAGCCAACCGGCTCCCCGTATCCAACACAAATGGTTGCTTCGACACCGCAACGAATTCGTTGTTTCCGTATCCGAACCAGGACCAAGGATTCCATCAAAATCCTTGCTGCTCTCTCCTGCGCTGCGCAAGGCAAGGTTGCGTTCGTGGCGGCAGCCTTCCGCAACGCGAACCAAGCGTGCGGACGGGGCAGGCACGTTCGGCGGCGAAACGCGCATTCGTCGCACCGGGCACCATCGGCGGTTTTGGCGCTGGCGTCGGCGCTGGCCGTCACCGCTTCCCGCCGCTCCCGGAGCCGCCCCCCAGCAGCGCGGACACCGCCACCACCGCCGCCGCGCCGACCGCAATCCCGGCCACGGAAGACTGCAGGACCAGTTTCTGTCTCCGGGAGGACTCTTCCTCGTCCCTCCGCCTGGAAGTTTCGTCGTCGGTGGCTTCCCCGGCTTTCTTTTGCTTTCGTTTTTTCCTCCGTCGTTTTCGTTTGGGTGGTTCCTCCCCGCCCGGGGTGCTGCCGGTTGCCTCGGTAGTTGATACCGTGGTTGTTATTGTTGTGTCGTCGTCGTCGTCGCCGCCGCCGCCGTCCTCTCTGGGAACGCCAACAACGCCCGCCGGCGAACCTCCCCCACCACTGCCGCTCTGGAGTCGCGCCTTTCCTCCCCACACCATCTTGTCCATGCGGCCGTCGAGGTCCGTGGTCTGTCCCCGAATCGCAGCCGACAGCTGTGGGATTTTCGAGTGGGCCTCCTGGGCATCCCGCAGGTACATCTTTTTGATGTGACCGTCCAGGTCGCCCTCGTCCCGGCGATACTTTTCCGTGTACCAGCCTGGAGTTAGCAAAGGAAGCACAAGAGCGCGGGGCGGGTGTTTGGATAGAATTCGTGGTCGAACGGATCCATCGCGGACACCATCGCAACGAGATCCAAACCAGTCGCCACGGGAAGAAGATCCATGCATCTGTGAGTTTTCGAAGATTTTGGAAACTCTCAAAACCACTCCACTTCTTTGGATTCGAGTCCGTTCGATTCGGAAGACAACCGGTCTCTTCGCTAGAACCACACAAAAAGCATTCGACTCTATCGAGGCGTGATAGTCAGGCAACGAGGGGACTCCTTTTTCACGTACCGAAGGCACAAACACTTCCCAATATCACACTGTACAGAGCGATTTGTGGCTGAATTCCAACACTGATTCTTGGGCGTGCCATAGTTCTTTCTTTCGGTACTCTTCCTGATGTTACTGTGCCGTGCTCACTTGTCAATTGGTCGTATGAGTTCCTAGTCGACTGGGTTTGGAATGAGAAAGAAGAAAACGAACACAGTAGTACCCGGATACGAGTACAATACAATACTGTACTGTACCGTACCGTACCTAGAATCGTACTGTACTCCAAACTGAGGTATCGTTCGCCACAGATTCCAGGGAGGGCAGAGAAATGGGTCATTCCCGATAACATATATCTGTGTAAATTTTGGCACGCCCGGCTCGCATTATGACCCAAAATACATAAAAGTTGGTTGTGGTGGTCCCACGGCAACCAAGAAATATGTAATTTACATATTTTTGAATTGGAATTCTTGACTTAACCATTTCAGTCTCGGGAGCAGGCGCGCCCTTAACTGGCGCCAAACTTTCGATTCAATTGTCAAGAAAAAAGCACATGTTCTTTGCTCCTTCTTCCCCTATGTATTTATGCAGGATTCCAAATTCCAAAAATGGGGGGGAAATATGTAAGTTGAGCTGTCTGTCTGTGTCTTCTGTACCACTGAATGTGATTCCCGAAAACATACCGGAAAATATGTTATCGGGAATGACCCAATTCTCGAAAAAGCAAGAACCCAGCCGCTTCCGATGGGTTTTCGAGCTGCAATTTTGAAGTTGAAGAATGCGAAAGCTTTTGGTACCGTACCGTACCTCCTTCGACCGGTTCGAATCAAAGCTAGAGTAGTACTGTACGAAGTACGAACGTACTGTACGATGTTTTTGTACGATTACTACATCCTACAGGCAACGCTCATACAAAACCTGCGTTGCTTTGTCTTCCCGTCTTCAAACCCTGCAACGACTCCATCGGCACTGAAGTCAAAAAAATATTGGTACCGATGCGTATTGGAATACTGTACAGTACAGTAAGTAGTACTATTATTATTTTGTTTCTCCTGATTGAAATCCAAAACACTAAGTACAATATGGTGTTGTAGTTTCTTGCAAAACTCTGAAACACTTCAAAAGCCTGGGTGAAATTTACAAAAACACACAAGGAAGGCGAAAGGACAGCAAGAGTTTCATGCCACTAGACCAAACTCGGCGGTTAGTAGGGAACACCATGCCAACGATGTGTCTGCTGTTTAGCATGAATGTGAGGAGGCAGCATGCTGACTTCTTGGAGTAGAACTTCATAGAACTGCCGCAGGCCGTTCCATTTCATGTATTTGATTGTCCCTCCGCAAAGTGATGAAAGGATCAGTACGTAAAGAAGCACGAAGGAGTGATTTCAATGTTGGCATACGCCATCACCAATAGTCATTGCTTTCCTCTACTGGTACTTCCACTTGGCACGATGTTCGTGCAATCCTTTTGTTTTGTTAAATACGTTCAGAAACATGTCAAATTCTGTACAACTAAATAGATTTAATAAAAAACACAGAGGGTGGTAAAGGCACTAACATGGGTCGTCATGTATCGCGAAGTAGCTTGCTCCTTCACGTTCTGCTGTTTTCCACCTCTATACCAATCATGCAAAGAGATGATGTTGCATGGGTGTGTAGTAAAGACTGATCCCCCCGATGATTCCGAAAGCATTGCTCGCCTTTCATTGGATGGATGGCCTCAATTCGTTCCGTTCGATCGTTTGTTCGTTCGCCTGTCCATTTATGACAACACGGGGTCCTCGAGCTTCACGAAACTGTCATCCTTGGGTTCATTCGCAGGGCGTCTTTTGCAAAGATACTTGTGATAGAAATCGATAAGGTTGAAGCCTCTGGCGAGCAGAAGGAAGACATATGTACTAATGGCTGCCATCAGCAAGAGAAATACCAAAGAAAACGTTGACGCAATGGAGAGTCCGGCGTACTTTCCAAAAATCTTGATTCCGCCTTCTCMCTCTTCTTCAATCACGGGTTCTTCGTCGTCGGTGTACATCTGGACGGATTGCCCATCCCAGTATTGATCTCTACMGTTGTAAACATTGGCCTGGTAAGCAGAGTTCGAGTTGTAATAGGTGTTGTCGTCGTTTGAATAGGCAGAGTTGCTGTTGCCGTAGTCTCCATCATAGGTTGCGGCATCGTCTCCGTTGTTGTAGCCTCCATCGTCTTGATAGTTGCCGTCGTCGTTGTTACCATACGAGCCTTCGTAAGAGTTCTCTTGATTGTTTTCGGCGTACCCATAGTCACCGCCGTACGCATTGTTGCCGTCGTCATTGTTGTTCGCATTGTTGCCGTCGTCATTGTTCGAATAGTTGTACAGTCTGCGGCGTTTTGAAGATCGAAGGAAAGCACTTTTGGGTGGTCTTCTTCCACCGTTCAAAACCGTTTTCGAAGAATAATCCACTGCGACCACGAGTAGAAGCGCTCCGATGGTCAGAACTAGAGAAGCGACAGTGCCAGCTGCTAATCTCATGTTGTATATCTCTTCTTTTATTAAAAGCTTGGTTTGCAATAATGGTCAAAATCGGAAAGCTAGACAGCAGCGTTTGGACAACGAGTAATACACAGATGTTTGTAACAGTGCCGATGGCAATAGATGGTTTGATAGGGCGACTGGATTATTGTCGGGAGCAAGTTGCAAGTTGTTGTGATGCGGCTTCAGCTGGATAGCCTTCGTGGCGAGGTTTTTCTAACTTCGTACCTTCGATGAAATGAAATCTATCCGTTGCGTGACTGCGCTAGTAGCCAGAGAGTAAAGCCTCGCTGTGGTTTTAGTGAGTTAAATAGGCGAGGATCGTCGCTCAAACATCCATCAGTTCTAAGTAAGTCGAGACAATTCATAATCATTTTCTTAAATACAGTCGTGCAACTTCCTTAATTAATCCTAGGAAGCCGAGGAAACCCTTCCTCTGTGACGTGCTACGGCGCCTTAGTATCGAATTGAAACAAAAAGAAATTCAGCGATAAAACACGTGTCCTCGGAGAGGAATCATCCTGCAGGTGGTAGTGATTGATTCGTTCGATTAAAAAATGATAGCTTTACCGTAGGTAAACTTAGTGGTAATAATACGTAGTAGTAATACAGTACAGTATTTCTGTACGAAAGACGGCAAATTGACACAAAAAAATGGACACTTCAGGGTTCGAGAATAGGAAAGTTTTTAGTTTTCTACCGTGCGGTACGTACCGTACCATATGTCTGGCTGGTTTTAATTTTGAAAAGAATTCTGTATGATTCCGAGCGCGCCTTCTTCGTGCCGATTTTTAAATCGAATTGGCGAGTCTACCGGTCATAAGCTTTTACTGTGCCCTCCGAAACCAACGAGCACAAATTCAGGTCCTCCCCCCTTTAATCTATCACAAGCAAAGTGACCCGCATTTTTGGTCCCCAAAAATACGGAGTGCAAATGGGTTTCACTCGGACATCACGTTTTATGGAGAAAGATGAATCAAGCACTCGTACCGGTACGAAGCTACGAGTATCGTAGTCGCTCCGAGGGGCGGCACCTTCAAAGAGGCACGACCAACTGTCTTCTGAAAGATTATTAGAAGAGCGTTGTTCGAGCAACAGAGTGCATTAATGGCAGTCCCTTGTGTACAAAAATCCTCGTAGTTAAATCAGAAAAAGCGCCACTTTCTAACATATCACTAATCCTTGAAAATAAGTTATAATTTCTTATGTGTTGTGGTATCTTTGATGTGAACTGACGAGAAGCATGGTTCCCTGACTGGAAATCCAAACATGTAAAAGTCATGAACACTATTATGAAGTTGAGCTGGATGATTGTGTTCTAATGGAAAATTTGCCTTTCATTAATTGCTTCATCTTTTGTTACATTTTGTTGTGAAAACCAGGGAAACTGTCCCCGCTGACTATGGTTTCTTGTACCAGGTACTATGGTTGGCGCATCTATTCCCCCACGCGAGGTTGCACTCCAACGAAATGGCAACCCTATCGATGGAGAATAGGGGAAAAGAAAAATTTCAATACTGTGTAATTCTAGCTTTATTTTACAATCATGTTGTTCATTACATCACTTTTTGGAGTTCCTTGATCAGCTCCGATACTTCCGGATCATTCTGATACTTTGCAAAAGCGGCTGGATTTGACATACACTCTTGCATTGCTCTCATAATTTTAGGATTTCCTTGAGCTTTCATCATGAGTTCCATCACCTTCGGGTTTTTCATCAGCTCTTGAGCTTTACCCATTTGGTCGCCCATGCCTCCCATACCGCCCATACCTCCAAATGGATTAGCCCCACCAGCAGCTCCACCGCCCATGCCGCCCATATTTTTCAACATATCGGCGATGCCTCCCATTCCTCCCATGCCGCCCATTCCTCCCATGCCGCCCATGCCACCCATGCCACCCATGCCGCCCATATCTCCGAACGGACTAGCACCACCTCCAAAGGGACTACCGCCGCCTTGCTGTTGGCTGTCACTCTCCGAACGCTTCGGTCGTGGACCCGAAGCATCGTCTGTAAGCACCTCAACGTTTGTATATTCGGCGTATCCCTCTTTTTCTTTCTTTCCAACACCGTCCACACGGGCATCCGCGAGGGCTTTGACAAAATCTGTCTTTTCGAAAAAGGACTTAGTCGAAATACCGATGCCTTCTAGTTCCTTCTTTAGCTCGCCCACTTTCATGCCCTTGCATTTTTCCAATTCTTCTGCAAGTCTTTCTTCTCGTGGTCTAGAGTCTTCTTCGTCATCAACATCGACAACATCCCTGCGTTTCTTTTTCTTTTTCGTGGAACCCGCCGATGCCGCCGATTCAGTGCTGCTACTGGCCGTTTCTTTCGGTTTGAGACCGTCAGCCCTGGCCTTTTGTAGTGCCTGGACTAATTCGGATTTTTCGAACAATGCAGCAGTTGAGATCCCATAACTTTCGAGCTCTTTTTTAATTACCCCGGCCCTCATGGAGGCAATATCGTCGTCCGTGTCGGAAGACGCAAAGATGGCGGTCGTAGATAAGGTCGAACCAAATGCCACCGGTGGAGTTTGAATCAGCTGCCTTGCTCTGTTCAAAACTTGCATGGGAGGCTGGCTTCCTTTGACTCTCTTTGCAGGAACCAGGCATACGGAAGACTTGAAAAGGCCGCACACGAAAAGAAGAATGAAGGAGATCCTATGCAGTGACATCATCTTGGTTGTTGACAATTATTTCGTGGATTGAATGGGGACAAGTGGCCATAAACAACAGACGAAAGGAAAATCGGGGGAGAAATTTGACCTCTCAATACAAGTCTACTTGGGGTATCGTCGGCTTCTTCAGTGACAACCGACTCTGAATCTTTGAATGTCTTGTGGCCTGAAGGATTGACTGTCAAAAATTGATGCTGTTGAAGATTTTCGTCGAAATAAGTCTCGGACGTCGGATGTGATTCACTCATTCACATCATTCATTCAAAAATCATTCATCCTCATTCGTTCATGTTTGTTCCATACCCATTTCTTTTACGCGCCAGAATTCCCTTGTGTTGCCACGTGGACTGAGTCAACCGAAAGATTTACTTTGCAACTTGCAATAGAAGCTATCTTTGTCCCAACTTGTAATCGGAAAAGGAAAAAATCTTGTGTGAAAATCTTAGAAGTAGGGTGCTTGGTACAGTACGTACTTGTGGTACGTACTGGGTACGGATATGTACCGTAGAACAAAATGATTTTTACAGTTCTTACAGTATTACGGTACGAAAGATGAAAAAGGTGCTTGTACCTCTGTACTACTACTAAAAGCTTTTTTTGCAAGCATCAATCAAAATAGTGGTGAAGTATTGAATGTTTTTTGGTTTTCTGCATAGGAATTATTCAAAATTGGCATCATCACTCCTTCAGATACTCTAATGGAGAATGCAATACACACCAGAGATCTCATTCAGATGATTATGAGGAGGACAAAGTCTCGCTTTTTGCTCCCTTCTTGTCCATATTCAGGATGTAGATGGTGTTGGCAGTAGCAGTAGCAGTAGCCTCACAATTAAGTTTTCCCGTAACCGGGAAATAGAATAAGAAAATCATTGCATATCTTCGAAAATAATGGCTCCTGCGACAGAAGACGATCGCTTCTTTGCCTTTTTCGTTGTTTTCGTCTCCCTGAGAAGACCAATAGCTATTGGGGCAGCACTTTCATGAATACGCCATTACTTCCATTTCCTCAAGTGATATAAAAACAGAAACGATGGCGAGAATCAGGATTCATGCTGAAGTGAGCCGAATAGATTCATCTATTGCAGTTCTCTACTGAAGCAGCCGTTTCTCCTTTTGCTATTATTTTGCGTTCCTCTGGTGTGAAAGATACCCCGCTTCTCTCAAAGCCATTGCCGCCACTCCTCCATCGGATATAGTCTGCAACAGACATTCCCCCCAATGCACCCTTAAAATTTTGATTGTTTTCGTTCGTTTCCAAGGATTCCCGCACATTCGCATTTGGGTCCGCGAAGAATGCAATGGACGTTCTGGAATGCTTCGTGGCTTCAATCAGAACTCGCCTATCGCTACCACTGTTCAGGGATGCCGGCCCAGCCACGCGATGCAGAGTGGCTTTCAGGGCCCCATTTGTCCACCCAGCGAGCAAAGAACCCACGTTCACTACGAGTGCTCCCTCGATGTACGGAACCGGTAGCCATTTTGCTTCTCCTTCTTCTTTGGACGACAACAACTCCAAACCAGAAACACCGTCAGTCGACAGCAACGTGATTGTTCCATAATCCGAATGTTCCTTGCATCTATTGCCAGTAGTTTCCGAAAAGGTTGGAAAATATGTTATGATGCGCAAAGTATCGTTGTCTTCGTCGTGGAGTTTTGCAAAAAAGTCGACGTCGTCGTTCATGCCAAGTCCGATAGCGATTAGGCGAAGAACCTCTTTTTTAATCGACCTCAAGGCAGAAATATAGGCACTTATCACGTGCGTATCGGATTCCACCAATTCATACTGAGCTTGAGAACTGAGCATCGCGTAAACCTTTGGATCTGTAGGATGCGGTATGACATCTATTGACCCCGGCTTTGTTTCATTCCCGTCTTCGTTTTTGGAAGCACTTCCATTCTCGGAGGCAACTTTTGATTTTGTCTCCTTCGCTAGAAACTGACTCGCAGCTCTGAGCGCTTCTGATTGGAGCTCTTTTGTGAGGAGAGGCGATCGAACGAGCGCAAATCCACTGTCGCGTAGTGCCGAGACTAGACTCTTCGACGTTGTTTCCAGTGACAGAAGATGCGCGGAGCTTTTGTCCTCTACTATCGGAATATCAATGAGAGGAACGACTGCGGAATTTTGTCGCTCGACTTCTGCCTTTTCGGAACCTCCTACGGCTGCTACTTCTGGGTCGCCATCACCAGACGTCATTTTATGGAGCACGACGGATCCGTTTGGTGATCGGTACTCAGCAAAAGACAACGCAGATCCAGACAAGAATAACAATGTTGCTTCGAAGAATAGCAATACAATTGCCTCGGAAACCTTTCGGTGCTTAGCGGGCCGATTCATACATTCGTTGATTTCTCTATTAGCTGCTCTCCCTTCGATAGATCAGTTCTCCGGATCCAAAGCGATAGGGCCAGAGATTGTTGGGTGTTCGGAATATCCTTCTCATTTTCAGTTTGCGCGCAATTTGAATTACTCGTACCGAAGTACGTACTGTTCTGTCCTACTGTCAGGGGTTATGACCCCGCCCTGCCTACGAGTTCAGTACCGCACTCTATTGAGACTCAAGACTCACTATTTTTTCAAACACGATTACGAATAGCCAGAACTAAAACAGTCGTACCGTAGAGCAAAAAACTCTCGACATCCTGCATCCAACAGCAACATTGTGATGCACAACAAGAGATCAGCTCTCTCCCATGCATTGAGATCCGAAACGTCGTCTACCCTTTGTGTCAAAGACTACCTTTACGCAACATTTCAGAAATTTTAAATTCTTTTTCGGATATTCCAACGAGAAGTGCAAAGGTCCGTGCGTGCGTGCGTTTGTGATGCAGTAATGGTCTATGAGAACTCACTTGCCGTCGATTGACACGAAAGATTCAGTTTCAAGTCAGAATTTTGCGAAACAACTTTTCGTTGAACTAAACAAAATACCCGACACTTTCGCTTTCGTGTAGATCGGACTCAAAGTCTAAGACTCACTCGCAAGCAAAAACAATACGCAGTGAACTACTGCAGTCCATTCTGAAGGAATAGTAAAACAATAATGGAATCACAGCAGCAACCGAAATCGGTAACGGCCTCGTCTGACCAGTACGTTCCCGAGACTATCCGTGAAGGATTTGAAAAAATAATTGGACAAGGAGCAGCAGGGTTCGTTTTGGGAGGCATGGCAGGAATTGTTTTGTCCCGTGGTGGTTCCTCCAGCGCACGCAGAGTTTTGGCAGGATTCGGGGCCGGAGTCGGAATGGGTTCGGCTTGGACACGAACATCGATGGACATCGAAGAATTCACGTCTACCTTCAAGAAATCATAAGTCAAAACAAGAACATGATTCAACACAAGGGTTTTGAAAAGACTATTTACTGCGTGTTCGTGACATGATTGGTTGCTGCTTTGTTGTCGTTGTTGATCCCGGCACACAAAGAAACTTGCAGTCAAATGAAGCCTCAATGTTTGCGGCGCATAGTTGACTTCACGAATGAACTAAACTTTATTGATTTTGAGACGGCAGCTCGCACAAGTAACAAAAACTATTTCAAGATTCTTGTCACTTGTATCGATTTATTATTAATATTTTATCGTAAACGAAAAGGCTGTCGAAAAAGAACCTGCCAATCTAAATAATAGCTTGCTGCGAGTCACTTTGCCACGGACAAAGTGAAGTTATTTCTCGGTTTTGTTACCCCCTTATTGCAATAGTTTCCGTTTCTATATCGAATCTTTCTGCCCATGCCCAGAATCAAGATCCTTTTGGTTTCGATGTCTGAAGTACCGACTTCTGAAAATTCGTTTTGACCAGTGACCATGTACTAATCATGAGCCTGTTTTTGCTGCAACATATGTTTTGGTTATGTTTGGATTGCATTGTTGAGTTTTGAGTTTAGCTTGAGCGCCATAAAGATCAATTTGGCAGTATTTATTGTTCAAGGCAAAAGACAAGACACGGAAGCAAATAGACACATGTATGCTGGTAGCCACTTGGTGGAAGGACACAAGGTTGTTAAAAAACTCAGATTTTGAATCAAAAAACCAACAGAGAAGGGAAACAAATCAAATGATATGAAATCAAAACCACTGACAGGCACAATTGCATGGGCAGATGTTGAATCAATTTACTTGGATAATTATCTTCTTCCTGGAGACTAAAAGTAAGGTAGGTGGAGAAACAAGGCTATCCCAACTGCTGATCCAATCATGATGGCATCAGAGCAGACTCCTCCTCACCACAAGAATGTGATGGGTACAAGGGCTAATCTTGCTAATGAATTAAGCCTGGCCTCCATTGACCTTTAAGAAGATGGATATGCCAAAAAGCCACCACAGCCCACTAGCACCAACAAGACCCAGATTTTTTTTTGAGGCCCAGCTCCCACCAGTTCTACCATCATTTGACACCCCCTTGCTGCTAGGAGGATCTAGATCTCTAGATCAGGAGAAGAGTCAACAAACGAGAGAATTCTATTCCGGTGTTGGATGAAAATCCTCTGTGCCTCAATGGGCAGGCAGGGCAGCCATTTGTGACCTTGTGTTGAGTTGAACAATTACTTTTCCAATACTTTTCCACTCTTGCCTTACTACATTCCTACCACCACCACCACCCCATAGTACAGTGGTTTTTACAGCACCTGTCATAATATCAGCAGCACTGGATGACTATCTATTGGGGCTTGCTGATAATCATTGTTCCCTGTGTTCAAGCTTTGCAGCACTTTCTTCCTGAAAACCACAATTCTTCGTCTTCCATTCAGTAAGAAGTGTCAACTCCTCCTCTTGTTCTTTACCTGTGCATAAGTTCAAAGAAGTGACAAGGTTACTGATGTTGAAAAACTGAAAGGTTTGACAGCATGAGCAAGTTGTGCTCTCAAATTAACCTCTTTAAGTTATCCATAATCATGCCCCTTAAGTTCTAGAAAACATACTAGTAGTAGTGCTAGTATTCTACTACTAGTAATCTTCATGGTGATCATCAGACTCTTTCTTGATGCCAATACTATGGTGAGAAGAAAAACAAACTATTCATATTGCTTAGTGCTTGTACTACTAGCACAGTAATAATTGTTTCAAAATGTAGTGGTGAGGTACATGGAAATAGTGTTTGCAACTAGTTCTACCACAGCAATGTCACAAAAATTAAAAAAAATATACATGCAGCTTTATCTTTATTGGCTCACTCCCCTGAACCAGATGACATGAATAAAATGGAGTAGTATTCAAGTCCCTTAATTTTGAACTTGTTGTTGATAGAAGAGGAACACTGGCATGGAGAGAGAATGAGAAGAAAAATAGGAGGATCAACCAACCCTACAGTAAACATTTTGTTCTTTTTCTTCAACTTTGGTATTGGTACTTGCTGCAGTATCATTACTAGTAGTAGTAGTAGTACAAGCTTCCTTGGACTTGTAACCATCACAAGAACAACAAGAAGTGACATTGCCACCAGCAGGATGATAATCTTGAAAGCCTCCCATCATGCACCAGTAGTGGTAGAATTAGTGAAAAAGAATCCAATAGCTTTGGTAATGTTGAAAGATCCCCCATAGTAGTGACAGTGCTCAAGAATCCAATATTGATTAGTAGTTTATTTGAGGAACAAGATTAGTTCTACTTGTCTTTCTCTAACCATATACTAGCAGTGTTTATTAGTACTACTAGTACTAGTAGTTTTGCAGTGGATTGGAGAACGGCTAGTAAACAAATGTGACTAGTAGTACTACTACTAGTAGTAAGAAAGTTTTTGCTCCAAAATCATTTTATGCCTGATAGTATCTTCTTGCATTATTTTTCAATGCTTGTTTTCATTGCTACTACCAAATACTCTTTTTCTAGCAGCAGTGTTGGTTATGTTCTTCTTGCCATGTGGTGCTGGTAGCAGTGCCTTGTTGTACTAGGATCATGTTGCCAAAGAGAGAGAGAGAGAGAGAGAGAGAGAGCCACCAACAGCACCCAACAAAGTATTTCTTTTGTTCCCCTCCTTTCTATGCCCCATAAATATCTTTTTATTGAAATAGGCTCAATATTTGGGCAGTTACTAGAGTTCTTCTTTCTGCACTTCTTAGTCGTAGTAGCTAAAAGATCCAAGAAGAATACAGTACAGTTGTAGTAGTAGTAGTTTGCAGTTATGTATGACACAGCTACCATTGTACAAGAAACTAGAGCCATTGAAACAGGGCCTGTTTTGTCATATTATATTCATTTTACATGTTAAAGGGTTCTACTGGTCATTGAAAGGCTGGATCTGGAGCAATACTAGAAAGCAAGTATTACGTAGTACTTTCTAGGCATTATTCTGATTACTACTAGCAAGGACGACAACTTTCTTGTTCTTGTTATTTTCATTCAAGAGAGGAGGTGTTTGGTACCATTGTCAATATTTTTTCCCTGTGTTCTTCATAGAGTGTTTATTTTCATGTGCAAGAGTATTGTTTTTGTAACGTGCACATACTCAGTTCTGGTCTCTACTAGTACTAATTCTACATATTCTACAAAGTTATTTGTGGAATACAACTGTCAAGAACTCCAAAAATCCAAAGTAAAAGTGGGGACACATAGGAACAGCAGCAAAATGAGGACAAAGCATCACACTGGTGATGGGAACAGAGGAAACAGCACTTACTTTCCATCCCAGCACAAGCAAATGGGAAAGAATGGATTGTTCTCCACCATAGTACTAGTACACCAATAAGAAGCACAAAATATTGCTTTCTATGTGTTGCGTACTGCTGGTGGGAAAATGTTTCCAAATCCAGTGCTACTACTTTGGTAAAGTTATGACTACTCACAAGTTCAATAGTTATACTACTAGTAGTACTATCATTATGCAGTAAAAATAAAATGAAAAATAGTTTATGGGAAATTTTTCTTATTGGTACCACAGATGAAATATCTATTTTGACATGTTCTTGCACTCCCCTCTAAATTACTATGACCCCCGACTGTAGTATTATATCAGGAGGTCCAAAGGCATTTCAAAGCAATATCATGAAATCAAATGTTGCAATCAGGTGATAACAATGCTAAAATGCTGTTGATGCAAGTGTCCTATATCTAGTGCCTATTGTTGTAGTACTAATACTGCAAGAAGCAGTTCTTCTATACTTGTTCATCATTTCATTGAGATCTCAATTCCCTTTTGAGTCCATCAGCTGCAGTCCCCCTACTACTAGCAGTACCTCCTGTTGCTACTTTTACTCCTGTTCTTCCTCAATTAATAGTAGTACTAATGAAGGAAATCTTCCCTGATTGTTCCTGGTCATCCAGTAATATCAATGTATTGTATCATAGTTGGTGTCCAAATCTACCATGCAGTCTTAGATTTTGGGCCCTATCACTACTACTAGTTTAACCAAAATAAACAAAATACATGCATAATTCATGTGCTCTATTTTAGTGTTGAATTTGAATCTGACCAGTTCTTGTTGTGTGACTAGATAGTTTTGCGCACATCCTCAATGGACATTTTTGGCTTGGAACACATACAAATTGCTTAGTCAAAGTAGTCTTTACACAGTAAAAAGATAGCCCCAAATCTGCACACCAGCACGTTTTTATTTTAAACTGTATCAGCACTGCTTCAATCTTGCTGAGCTGACAGTTTGAGCTGTATCTTGGTCCCCAACAGTCAGATAAGAGTGATAGGCACATGAGTTGCAAGCAAGTTGAAATCAGAAACTAGTTGTGTGAGGGGTGTTATAGGGGTTATTGATTATTGCAAGGTATACAGGGATGTGCTTGTTTTGAAGGCCAATGCTATACTATACTTCTTCTTCTCTACTCGCTGCTGGAAGAAGGTACTGGTAAGAGTGTGGTTCTAGCTTACCTAGTACAATAGTGACGCTTCTAGCTATTTCATAATCTTACACTAGAAAATTTCAATATTTTTTTTAAAGAAATGAAAAGTAGGTCAAAGTGAATGCAACTGAAATACTTAAAGTGCAACACCAATATAAGACTCACTCAAGAAAGAAATGGTAACAAGAAGGCCTCAAATGGCATTTGCTGTCAATCCAAGAGCCCAACAAGCCATCCACTTCTGGAGAAGAAGAAGAAGAATTCATCAGGTGGTTTGATTCAACTATTACTGTTCCTGGTCATATCCACAGGCAAAAATAACTACTAGTAGTTCAAAGAGCAGAATAATCCTGGTAGAGACACTGCTGACACACAATTCACAAATCTAGTAAGCTAGCTACTACAAAAGTTGAGAAGGCCCTGGTGGTTATCATCAGAATGGAGGAGAAAAAAGCAACTTGAGAGTTGAAAAAAAGCAAAGAACACTCATAAGAGTTGTTCTATCCAGTGTACAACAAGAAGTGACAACTCATATTTTCTGGGTAAAGCCTTGTAGTATTCTGATTCTCCAACATCATATCTTGGGTCTTTAGAAAAGCTCAGAGGAAGATGATTGTCTGATGACCTTAATTGTCTAATTTCTTATGACAGAATTTGATGAAGCTTTTGTCAGGATGAAATTTTGAGGAGACTACTACTACTAATAAACAAAAACATGATCAACACGACTAATGCCAATTAAAATTTCATTTTTGAATGTGATCAATGACTCCTGCTGTGTAATAGGTTCTGCAGTACTGGAAAGTAGAAATATGCATGGAGCTTATGATTGCACTCCAGTACTAGTAGTATTCTTGTTGCTAAAACAAAAGGAAAAAACCATCATTGCACCTTCTTGTCATCTTTTGAACAAGAACAATGATCAATACTCCTCCTCCTCCTACTACTACTCCTACTACTACTACTACTACTAGTAGTAGTAGTACTACTAGCAGAACAAGAAAGTTTCCAGTGTATTTCTACTATTACTACTAGTAGTAACAAGATCAAGAAATATCAAAGTACTCTGATTTGATTTCTTACTATTCTTGGAAGCATGTCATCTTACAAGCAGTCTTCAAATGACAGCAGGTACAGAAAGACTCCTTCACCATCCTCACCACAAGCACTGTGATTCAGCTGCATTCTTGTTTTTCTTCTTGTCACCACATAGACCAGGAGTATTACTAGTACTACCTGCTGCTGTTGTCACTGGTGGTATGCCTGCATACTGTGACATAGTAGTACTACTAGCTACTAGCACTAGTACTAGTGTAATAGTAGTAGTACTAGTACTGCTAGTAGTAGTAGTAGTACTACTACTAGTAGCACTAGCTCTTTGTCACCAGAGTACAGCAAAAATAATAATATGCACTTGACACTCTTAGCAACACTGTGAACTACTACTAGTAGTAAATTGGGCTGCTGCAACTTAAAAGGATGTATTCAAATCAACCAAAGATCATTGAGCTTATTTCAACAGTGAAGGTCATAGGACATTCATTTTGGGACGATGGATGTAGTCATCTGTACTGTGGTTGATAAAGCACGAATTCACGAGTTCTGTCAACGAGTTACCATATCCAATGTCTCTCCTGTGTAAGGTAGTACGATATCGGTACGTAGCTTGTCACTTGAGGTTCGAGGGGCTTTCTCGTCGAAGCGAATCCCCCGCTCAGTTTCGAAGGTGGCGTGTGCGGTAAAAAAGCCATATCTTCAGTTTTTTTGCGAAATTTTAAAAACTAGAGTCGGCATTGCTTCATGACTGGAATTTTTTCGAGCGTGCCCGCAATTTTGTGTGGTACAGTAATGCTGTTTTCATCCTACGCGTCTCAAACGGCAAAACATAGAGAGCTGTACGAAGTGAAACCGTATGGACGAGAGTGCAGCAGGCAAGCAAGCGCACAGCGAGACGCGAACAAGTCGAATGCGAGAGAGATGCGTGGAAAAGAGCACCGCACTCCAGAAAGAGCCAAACTACTCGTACGAGGACTCGTATCAAGTTAATCCTGCTGTTTGAATAATTTGCCACTCGGAGGTCTAGTCCAATAAGAGTTGCTTCTAGTCAACTACAACCGAAGTATTGGTTACAACCGACTAGATATCAGAATCAGAAAGAGCGACATTAAAGGAGCCGGCGAACACAGAAGCTAGCCGTAAGTGCCAATAGGATACTTCCACATCGGTAGTGACCATTGTGGATCCAAACGGAGAAGAATGAAAGAGAATGGTGGATGACCAAACGTCCTTGTCGATTTCTTTCATGGCCAACATTGCTAACTAACACTCCGAACGCCGCATCTTGTCATCTCTCCAATAAACGTTCAATTGACTTGCTCCTTCCAAATCGTGCATTTGTTTCATCGATTGATCCATTTGATCGTACATTCGTTTCTTCCGATTATACTCCCACGGTTCTTCCTATATAAACAACACGGCCAACTCGGACTATTTATGTGTCCAGTTGGAAGTGACTCACTCAAAATTGTTAATACACAACCAACGCTTCTGTTTTTGTGAGAAACGAGGATTGGCGAATACCAATACTATTTTGTATGTTTCCAGACAGCTCGATCTCATCAATTTGTAGTCGCCGGTAATTTATCGGAAGAACAAGCATTGCACGTGGAGAAAAATCTCGACAGGACTTTGGATTTGTATCAATATCTAGGACCTTGTAATTGGTTAACAAATATTGTGTAAACTCAGCTTTTGCGCAGTGATAGCAAACGGGCACCAAGACTTAAACCCACGCAACAAAGGCAGCAGTGTATTGATTGGGACTCGTTTGGTTGGACAGGAACCAAAGCAACAACAACAATTTAAGCACAGTAGAACGAGCATATTAACTCAACATGGCAACAACGAATGCTGACTCGAGCAACAGAAATTTAAACGCCCTGGCGACAAACCATCATGCTTCAACAACATCCGCCAGTGCCGGGGGATCAGGAGAAAACGAAGGCTGGTCTAGAGGAGGAAGGCAGTTTGCTAACAGCCGAGAAGTATACACGAGATCGCTCTTCCGAGTCTGTCTCAAATTTACAACCTCCGAAGATGAGGATGAGGGTAAACCGGAACCCGGCACGGCATTTTGGACCCTATACGGAAGGCAGACTACCATAGGAAATGGACCTCCATCTTCGAACAATGCGGACGATATCTGTAGACGTATGGATGATAGTATGACCGGACCCTCTGCAGGTATCCTTGCCCGCTTGTCTGACTTTGATGGTGAACAAGCTGCTGGATATGCCCTTCGAGCAGGAATGACGACCGGATGGCACATTCGAGGAGACAGGGGCGATGCTGCAGTGAGGGTAGGAAAAGCGAAGGTATTTAGCGGAAAAAATGGCCCCGATGGTCCAACCCGAGAGGCGCAGATTTTATCCTTAGATGCCGATCGTTGGATATTGTGCAAGGGCGCCTCCTTTGCGGCCGGAAACTCTGTGTTTAACGTAGAAGATGTCAACGAAGGAAAACAAAAGATCACGATTCACTGCTCGAAAGGACCAATGAGGGGGAGACTCATCGATATTCACGCATCCAGGTGTCCCTTCGTCTTTGGTCGGGCCCATGAGGCAGATTTATGTATCATGGACAGAGAACTGAGCCGAAAACACGGTGCAATTGTCTATTTACCAAATCGGAATGCGAGAGGGGCACGGCTGAATGGCATCGGTAGTTTCGTTTTGGTAGACTTGGAAAGTACTGTAAGTTTTTCACTTCTGTTGCTGGGCTGAAAGTTCAAACTCTGTACTTTTGAATTTTAGAGATTTCATTTTTGGTGACATTGTGCACTAACGTTGCATGTCGGTTTGCTCGATAATTTGCCGTTTACATCAGAACGGTACGTATATGAGACTCGTGGGTCCATATGGTTACAGGGGAATGGGGTCTTTGGCGATCGGAGACGAATTCATTGTTGGTAGAACAGGATTTTCATTGAATCGATTTGACTATGGAATCTCTGAAGCTATTGGCGCCCGCCCCACGATGGAAGATCGAACTATTGTTGTCCAGAGTTTACTATACGAGCCTCAGCACGGTTATCACAAGAATGAACCAAAAGATACATTGCAAGAACTAGCAATGACAACCTTTGCGGCAGTATTCGATGGTCATGGTGGTGACGAATGTTCGAACTACCTAGTCGAAACTCTACCCCATCAAATTCGAGAACACATGTACGCAGAACGAAGTGCATTGAGTGCTGCGATTGAAAGTAGTCGATCAATGGCACGACCAGAACAAGCGACGGAAGATGCTGCATCGGAATTAATGCGGAAAATACTGAAGAAGGCTTATCTAAAGACGGACAAAGATTTTATTACTCCTAAAAATGCTCCTCAGAGTGGCTCCACCGCAGCTACTCTAATTGTCATGGGCAGACGGTTATTTGCTGCCAACGTCGGAGACAGTCGAGTAGTACTGTGCCGTGTGGGTGGGCAATGCGTCGAACTTACCAGTGATCACAAACCAAGTAGGCCAGACGAAGCCGCCCGAGTTCGAGCAGCGGGTGGATTTATTTTGCACAAACGAGTTATGGGCGAGCTAGCAATCACCCGAGCCTTCGGAGACAAATCTTTCAAAATGGGCATTAAGGCGATGCTAGAAGATGAAGCGGACGAGATTGCCCGAGGACTTAACGAGAACTCAGAAGCCAAAGACCTCACCGCACCGCTTGTAAGTGCTGAGCCAGAAATTGCATCACTGGTGATGAGTCATAATGATGAATTTCTTCTTTTGGCTTGTGACGGTCTTTTTGATGTCTTCCGATCACAAGATGCCATCGCTCTGGCGAGACAAGAGCTGATAGCGCATAGAGGCGAACCGGCAGAAGTGGCGAGAATTTTAAGTGATCAGGCTATTCGTGTTCGTCGGAGTCGAGACAACGTGAGCATTCTGATCATTGTTCTCCGCCCATTCTGGGAGATGTAACAATATTGATACAGAAAACCGAAAGATGCGACCAACTAATTGCGTCTAATGATAGGTTTACCTTTCGTCAAGATCCGTGACTTTCTTTTCATTTCGTCGATGCATTGCGGCCTGCCGTGTTCCATACCTCGTTGTACTGTAACATTAATTTTCACCTTTGATTCGGATGTGGGTGATAAGGGAAACCATTTCCCATAACACGTATGCGCCGAGTAATGAAATTCAAAAGACAGTCGTTATCGAGATACAATTGCAATGGCTTATCGAACGCAATGAATTAGTAACAACCATAAGATGGCTGATGCTTGCGAAGACCAATGCGATAGGGAAGGCCATATCAAACCATAACACTACTAGAATTGCAAAACATGGCGATCAGGTGATGACTGATTCACACTTTCATTCATCGAGTCACCTCAATTGCCTTTCTTTCAATTTCATAATGCTAGCAACCATTTGTGTTTCAAAGGAACCTCTCAATGACGGATTAAGGATTACTCTTCGTTGTAGCCAGCCAAAATGTGATAAAGAAGATCATAGGTTTGTGGCATTGATACCTTATTACAGTAGGAGGTAGGTACCACCGTAATAGCTGATGTGTTCATACGGTACTGGTAGCTATCGAGCTACTCGTGGTGCATGAACTCTCACAACGAGTGCTGTACGGTACGAAAACGCACTAAAACTGTACGACTATCAAAAGATTTCGAACCAGCAGTCCAATATTTTCAGTCGTGCTCCCAATGTTTTGCAACGACCATCGATGACGCAAGTTTAAAAAAATCGACGTTGGAAATGCACGACACATCATTGATCAATCTGTTTTACTGCATGAAATCCGCAACCCCACTACGAACTGTACCGCTGCGAACAGATCCGTTTGAAGTCGAAGCGTGTAGGTTACACATGATATGAAACAAAACCTAGAAAACAGAAACGAGGAAAGTGCTGACAATAACTAAAACAGACAAATTCCTATTGCAAACGCCCACAATGACGGCTCTTAGGCTAACTTCTCTTTGTATCGCAGCTGCATTGGCTCCGAACGCCAACGCCTTTACAGTCGCACCTCCTCTTGTCATCGACGTCCCGACTCCGTCGTTCTCCACTTCGTCATCGGTGATACAAACATCCTCCTCGAATTTGCCCTCTCAACTGCAGCTCTTGGACAAGGTCGGTTCGCTTACCGTTGCGGCAAGCGCTGCGACTGCTCCTGCGCCCGCCCCGGCTGCTGCAAAGCCTGCCAAGGCCGCCGCCCCAATCAGCATTGTTGACATTTCCTACAACGGAAACGTTCCGAGGACCGAAGCCGACGAATTCGTTGTTGTGAAAAACAACTCCAAGGACACCATCGACGTCTCCGGATACTTTATTTACCCGGCAACATCAGGCACGCAGGGTTCCACGTTTTATTTCCCGAAGGGGAGCGCTATCAAACCCAATGCTTCCGTCAGAATCTACACCAACGAGATCCACAAAGAGACCGGCGGATACTCCTGGTCTAGCGGAAAAGCTCTATGGAATAACAATGGAGGACTGGCAGTTTTGAAGGATAGCAATGGAAAGAAACTCGGTGAATACAAATACGTTGCATCCGACAAATAGTCGGCTTAGATACTGAAAATTTCATCCCGCTAAGACTGGTACTCTGCTTGCGAACCTCTAGAAGAATATAGTTGTGATGCGTACATTAAAAGAAAGCTGTAAAAAGATGACGATTCATTGCCACTATCAATATTTGCAATCAGCAGTTACTTTCACAACATTCTTTATTAAGTTATTCTATTTTTGCTTTTTTAATTCTATCTATCTACCGATACAGAAAGAATAGTATCGGCAAAAGCCACAACAGAAACACAATACCAGCAGCAAATCCATTCCACAGATTGCAGCGGTAGTCACTTTCGTTGTAGCTGCTGCTGCTGTTATTCCCCACGTGATCGTTATTCACCTGCATCTCGTGATATGTATTGTTGTTCACATTTCGATGGCTAAAATCGAGATCTAGCAAATCCTGGTGGTCAGTAGTGCTGTAACTGCCTCGTCCATGACCACGCGCATAATGACTTGCTGTTGTCGACCACATCCCCGAAAAAGCCCAGCCAAAAAAAGAAGCCGACGAACACCCCACAACCGAACCCGTGCTTTGACACTGATGGAGCAAGACCAGCACAATGGCCGAAAGAAAGCACGGAAACCGTCGATTTGGTCGCTGTATCCCCACGGCACAGAGAACCCCAGCTGTTGCCCAGCCGGCACATCCGGAGGCAGCCGGAACCATCGAAAGGTCGGAAGAGTATGGATTGTAGTCGTTGTACTTGCCGTAGGACGAGCCCGAATTCAAATATCCAATATCGAAAACTACCATCCAAAGTTGCCCCGTAAACGCAGACAGCAGATACACAATCAGCCAAGAAAGCTGCCATGGCGAAGAATTAGATGGCGATACGTTCCAAGAGGTAGGGAGGTACCTCGTCCAAACCCATACCAATACCAACCACTCGACCAGAGAAGTTACCACAAATAAGGAGGCAACGGATCTCCAGTAGCAATGCCACGAATATACCGACGACGAATAACAGAGCACCAGGCGCTCTGGGCAAAATGCCCCGAATCGGAGTAAGGATCTGGCGCTCGGTCCGATCCAGGGGAGCGACCATGCAAACCCGCTGCGTGAGGAAGCAGATATCCCCCTCCGCATGGCAAGATAGCCCAGAAACGCGTCGTGAAGTCCAATACAAAAAAGAACCAATGCCGTCGTGCCCGTGACCAAGAACATGCTCTTGTTGCTTGTGTGTTTTGGGCGGAATGCCCGGAACACTCGTTCGAACGGATTCCACAATCGTCTTCGGCGACGACTTTGCTGATATTGTTGTTGTTGGCGATGGCTTTGACTGGTGCCATGGGTTCTAGTTGTTGCAGTCGTGCGAGGATGAAGCAAAAGGGTTGGACGAGGCCGTACGTATCCCCTTGACGACGACGGCGATCCCAATCCAACGACATTGTGTGTCGCGACCTTTGGCCGGTCGAAATACCGAAGGTGGCCCTGATTGCTATCGTCTGTGTCGTCTAGTCTCAGAAACAAGGCCTCGGTGGCAGCTCCGCACGATGCCCCCGACACCGATGTTTGCGTTAAACCCGAACGATACGACACCCCGACGGTGTCATTGCTGTTGCTGTTGTCTTCGTCTCCTTCAACCGTAGCCTTGTTGTTAGCATTGCTGATATTTTTGTTGCTGCTACTGCTCTTGTGGTTTCGGAGTAGATTATCGCCGTCCCTAGGTATCGGTGACATTCGCGCCCCCAACCACGACGTGTCCTGCAATTTTGGCAACGTGTTCGGAACTCCTGTTTCTGATGCGGTTTCATCGGTCTCCACAGAGCGAGAGGGCGTGGGAGAGAAATATTGCACAAGCGAAGTTCTTCGTCCCCTGATGGGAGTAAACAATTCGTTCCCCTGATCATCGTCCGAATCGACGCTGCTATCAATGTCAATGTTCATCTGTTCGAGAATGAACGCAAACGAAGCGTACCAGAAGTCGACCGAACCAAAGCCTTCCCCCCTCTGACTGATTCTGATTCTCTCTCTTTCTAGAATTAAAGATTTTCAATTGAAGAATGAGAATGCTTCACTGATGCAAACATGTGACTTTTTTTGTTCAACAGATCGGAATAATAATCGTCCGAGGTAAAAAGGAGGGCATACGAGTACAAGTAACTCGGCGTCTCTTTCGTCGTTGTCGTAATCGGTTGCATGTTCAATTCACGAAGACAATTTTTTAAATTTGAAGAAAAATCACGAACTTTTCTTGCATGAATTTTTGTAAGCTACCTTTGTAGAGTACTCGTACTATGTATTACTCATACGAAGGCAGTGCAGAATTGGTCTGCTTCGGGGGCAGTGGAAGTCGAAGGTGTCATCGAACGCCACCACCAGCAATGAGTTATATATGCTGGCATCTCATTCCCGTAACTTTATTGTTTTACCATGTTTCTTATAGTTCAAAACCCTACCGGCTCTACGACTAAAAACATCCTATTGGAAAGTTTCTGGAAATTCCACCCCCCCAGACCCCCCCTCCGCTTTGCGAACCAATTACAGTCAAAACTGTTTTAGTCTTTTTTTTAATGTTTCGACCTCCATGATTGGCTACGGTGCACTGGTGCACTTCACTATCTCTATCTTTAGTGCGCCTAGCCAGTAACTTTGAAGAATTCTTACTGGGACGTTACGAAACGACTAATAACCAGATACTTTAAGCTACTGGACGTACGGCTCAGCTACTGGGTCACGTATGACTCATATCCGGATACCAACGTGCCTACTTATATCTAAATAGGTAGCTTAAAGGTGGCTTTAATGCGACTTTCAAGTAGCTTTATGGTGGCGTTAAGTAGCTTAAAACCGACTTTTTAAGTAGATTAAAAGCTACTTTTAAGCTACTTTAAAGCTACTTTTAAGCTGCTTTAAAGTAGCTTTTCGGTAGCCGTTAGATTGCGAATTATAATTTATATAAATAAACATTAATTAATAATAATAAATGAATATTGAAAATACACATATATATATAACAATCGACGCTCTAAATTATAAGATCTATGCCCTAAATTATCTTTATTCATCAATGAATATATATATTGGTAATCCAACGGCTACCGAAAAGCTACTTTAAAGCGACTTTTAAGTAGCTTTAAACCGACTTTTAAGTAGCTTTAAACCGACTTTTAAGTAGCTTTAAAGCAGCTTGAAAGTAGCTTTTAAGCTGCTTTAAAGCTACTTTAAAGCTACTTTTAAGCAGCATAAAAGTAGCTTGAAGTCGCGCTCACTATGCTCAGTTCGGCATATATATTTGCAGGCACGTGATTCAGTTGCTGAGATGTAGGTCCAGTAGCTTAAAGTACACGGTTATTAGTAGGAGGCACGTGTCTCAGTAGCTGAGCCGTAGGTCCAGTAGCTTAGTGTAACCGGTAATGAGTCGTTTCGGAAGGTCCCTGCCCTGGACTTACCGAGGAAACAAAAAGAAACTTTTTTTAGTGTAGATTTGTACAAACCCCGGTATATTAATTTTTGCAAATAAATTACTACTAGTACCTTTACCAAAATAAATTATTCATTTTTAACTTCTTGTTGTTAAACATTCAGTCATTATTGTGACAACAAGTCATTCTACTAGCAACAACCTAGTTTTTGCACCATAGTAAGTTTTTTGGCCGCCGCCGTCCTTCAAAAAAAAAAGGCAGCGGCCGCAACTAATTACTACTTTTTGTACTGTACTAAGGAAGTACTATTAGTAGTAGTCAGTAGTATTTCAGTACTTGTACAAAAACTTAGTGCTACTACTACTACTAGCGGTAACATGCAGCAGCGAGCACCTGATGAGAGCCTGAACTCATAACGGCTGGTGGTGGATCCTCTAAGCATCTGGTGGTTCTTGTTCTTGTTGTTCTTGTTCTTCCTCCTCGTCCCCTCTTCTTCGAATTTCTTCATCTTGTTCTTGTCGTTCTTCTTCTTCTTGCAATACTAGTAGGACAATGCATGGTGGTGAGGAGGCACTTGTCCTCAAAGCAGTGCTAAACTACTAGCACCTTCAAATTTGAGAAGAGCAACAAGAATTATTAGGAGTAGTACTTGTTAATGGCAGCAATAACAGTTGATTGTTATGATAGTCTGAATTTGAGGATGCTGCTGATCTGCTTCTGGTACTATCCTTCTTCAGGGGGTTATGGTCATTCTTTTAAAAGATAATTCATTTCTTGTATTTTAGTACTACCTAAAAGAATTCAAATTGGTGTGTCCAGAGTTAGATGGTAAATTTTGAAAGAGATCCAAAATAGAAACTTTTTACAACATGTGGTATTCGTTAGCAGAACTTGTCACCGTATCTTAACATATAATGTCATTACAAATTTTTGATAGTAGGGTCTCTCATTGATTGTAGTCATGTGAAAGTTGATTTGATTCTTAGAAGTTTCAAACATGGTTCCTCTTTCCTTGAAGAGTTCGATCTGGGGCATCTTGCAGCAAGCTTTTCATTCCAACTAGCGATGTGAAATAAAGACACCACATATCCCTTACCCCACCTTCGTAGAAGCATTGCATACTAGTAGTACAAACATTTCTGAGTCACATTCAGGCTGCCAATCTGATGTACTGACAAAATAAAGGCATAGCTTGGAACAGACCTCTCTACATTTTGTCTACTTATTCTTTCGCTTAGCGATTCATCACCTCGAATGGTTTTCCAACTCACTCAAAAACAGGAGAAATTCACTCTTGCTGTCTTGAACTGCACAATAGCTGTGCCAGGACTCCCTGTGACATAAAACAATACTCAACTCCGTGTATTTCTGCTGCTTGACATTTTCGCATTCGGCAAACCGGAATGATGCGAGAGAATACCATTCGTGGGGACGACCCTCGACCCATTCCATTATTTTTCGATGAATGAGGTCTACCTCATCTGTCCCGATTCGGGGCCCGGCGAGCTTCAAGGAAAAACTCAGGTTTGCCCTGTGGGAGTGTTTCCAGTTGACGATTTTCGACTTTTCTAGCAGGGGAGATCCATTGGCTAATGTTCGGGACTCCCCGGTGATTCCATGCCGCACAGTGGTGTTGTACAAATCGAGTGATTCAACAATCCACCCACCACATGGAGGCCCACCAGTTTCAGCTTCCATATCTTCTACACCTCTGAGATTGGCGAAGTGAATCCGATCGCCAATGTCATACGATGTTCGAGTTATGACCCGCAGAATTCCCTGTATATTTCACAGGATAGGGGTGCGATGCAAGAATTAAAAGAGCAACAAATGTTGATTAGAAACACAATGCTTTGTCACCACAGACTTGCATACCGCAAGTGCGCATATACGCACCTTTAGATATTCCTCGTTCTTGAAACAAAAAACGAGCGTGAAGTTGACCAAAACACTTAACGCAGTTAGCAGCAGAATATTCATGTCCACTCCAACTACACTAGGAGCGAAGATAAAGGCCATCGTGTAAAACACAATGTTCACAGTGCCATCCACTGAATTTGCGATTGATTGATAAATATCAGAAAAGAAATTTCCGTGAGTTTCGATTAGTGGTGCACTTCATTTCGTTCTTCAAGCCCCGCCCATATTTCGTACTCACAGCTCTTTTGTATTTGAGAAGCGTTTTCTATCTTTGCAATCAGCAGTATTGCTGTATTGTATACCCTAAGATCAGTTGGCAAATATATCACACTGTTAGTTGCAAAGAGTAAGAAAGGGAACTGTATTGTCACCAAGCTCATAATTCATCTTACCTGTCGGTTGCTTTGATGAAATCAAGTTTCGAGACTTGACCGTGTCGTGAAGGATAAAATAGCTCTGATAGCATCGCAACCTTCGCCTTATCGATCGAGTCATTGGGACGCTTTGCCACTCGGCAAAGACACTCAAAATCGATCTCGTATTGTAATTTCCGCGTTGTGTATTGCGCAAAGATGATCTCAGAAGCCTCAATAAAGTTCTCCCTTGTCGCATCCTGCGCCCCTAGAGCAGAAAAAGGTTTCTGGTCGACCGCACAAAGAAAATACTCAACAATGCGACCGAATTGGCAGATTCCTTCTGCATCCGAATCCTATTAACATGAATTGGATTTGAATAGTACAATCGCCAGTTTTAGCATCAAAGGAAAAAATCTTTTAAAATCAACAACGTGCACTTTCGTCTATTTCTTTGCTTACCGACTCAATTTTGTCCTTCGTCAATCGAGTTGCAATAGCATTGAGCAAGAGTAATTTCTTCCTTAACATTGGCAATTCATCATAATGTTCTTTCAAAACAATTGGCAAGAAGATTCAAATCGTTAGTCGTTGGTGATTTTCAACACGGCTACCCGCCGGGCATTTCTTGTGTACGTACCCATGACTCGCCCATCCAAGAATTCTCGAGACAGCTCTCTTTTGACTTTGACAGCAATTCCTAGAACCAAACAGAAAGTCCCTCCAGCGTAATGTTGTTGGAATAATCCTCTACTAAGGAATTTCAAAATTCCCAAGGCAAGTAGGAAATATGGCCACAAGTTGTGTAGGCAATAGTCTTTGTCGCCGAATTCACTCTTTTTTCGGACTGGAATTATATCTTCAACACCTTTAAGAATCTCTGTCTCCACAGAACTTTCCTTTGTTATGTACAACAGAGTCTTTAGATCGAAACTTGTGTGCCCCGAACCATTCGACCCGAAACTTTTGCTCGGGGAAGTTAATGATATCTTTTGTAAGCTTACAGTAGTGGAAGAGCACCGCGAAGAGGAATAATCGGTTGTTGTTCTTCTTCTCAGAGCGGGCTCTTCGTGATGTGATATTCGATGAAAACTTGAATCGTCATCTTTTTTCTCATCTTGTACGTGAGCCGTGATCGGCACATGCCCTGTTACTGAGGATTTGTGGTTAAGTTTGAAGGAAGACGACTTCTGCAGCTTTTGAATTAGTGGATGTGGGATATTATCAACATTGTGCGGTAAGGGTAAAGTCGTTGAAGATAATTGTTGGAATCTTTGAATGAGAGGGTGTGGATCAGCATCACTATTTTTTGGTGGCAACGGCAACGGAGAAGGTTGAGTAGACGATTTTCTACCACTATGGGAAAGGTTTTGCAGTTTTTGAATCATTGGATGTAGACTCTCTTGCGTTGACAAAGGAACTGGTACAGCTAATTGTCTGGTGCTACTATTTGGCGACGATGACTCAGGATTCGCCATATTTGGCTGTGGTAATGTCGGAGAAGGCCTCCGTAAGTTGGAAGCAGATATCGACATGGGGGGTCTTGATGAAATCTCTTCTTCAGATAGGATTGGCTGGAGAATGCTTCCTGCTGTCGATGGGCCTCCCATCGACTTTGATCCTACAGAAGCTCCTCCTTTTCCATTATTTCCATTGTAATCCCAAGACAACGTTCGACGTCTTGGAGCACTGTATTCTCCTCCCGTTGCCTCTGTCAGAGATGACAAAAACGAGTAATTTGTGGCATCCGTAGGCGTTCGAGTGTGTCCACAACACGTCACCCCAGTTCCTGTCGATGGTTCAGGCCCAGATCCAGTAACTGATCGAGATAGAAGAATGGGACCACTACTCGTATTGTTGATTACTGGGATTGACGACACATGATGAGGTGCCCTGGGTGGCCTCGACCGTGGCTGAGATGGATGCTGTGGTTGTTGCACCAATGGCGATCGCGAGTGTCGCGGTGACAAATGATACTGCTCTTGTGTTGCTAGGACTGATCGAGGTTGAAGCGCGAAGCTCCCTGCTACTGATGCAGATGTCGCTGAACCATGCGAATAAGTTGTCAAACGAGGTGGTGACAGCGACAATATTCCCGGTCCTTGCACGCTTCCGGGTGGCGTGGTGACACAAGTTTCATCTTCCAAAGAGGTCCTTGTTGATGGCGATAATGTATCCATAGCTTCTTCTTCTTCTTCTTCTTCTTCTTCTTCTTCTTCTGTGATCCCACTCGCGCCTGTGTTGATGAACTCCTCATCGGAATCGTCTTCATGGCCCTCCAGTCCAACCAGGCCCACTAAACTATGGCTGCTCTGTACCCGAAGAGGTATCTTTCCTTCCACTGAAGAAACATCTCCATTCCCACGAAGATAACTGGTTGTTTTAGGTGTCACCATTTTTTGATCTTGTGCTTCAAATATTTCTGGTCGACTATCATCCTCTATGCTCGACGCTGATTGTTTAATTGGTTCTTTTCCCTTATTTGCATCAAGATTCTCGTGATAATTTTTCGTCATCGCTCTATGATTCATCGATGGATTTTCTTCAAAGCTGAAAGAACCTTGAGCGAGATGAAGCTCTTTCGTCTCTGAATAATTGGTGTTACGCTGCACGAGTACTGTTCGAATGCTTCTTATTTATTCGTCGTGGAAATGAGAATGTTCAATACGCTCATTCTCTTGCCATCTTAAGAAACGAATAACACTAAAATTAAATGATTCTTGAATTCACATAATCTTATGAAGTAAAGAACTTGTACTCGTACAAAAGTACAACAGCAATCGATGATTGGGGTGTAGCGTAGCGCACAGTTCAAGGTCCCAGAAAAAGGCGCGTCAATCCATGACATGGAACATCGTATTCGTGCGTGTTACAATAATTTTTTTTTGGTGTACTATTCAAGAAATGGTAACTATACTCGTACCGGCTCGTACGGTACGTACTGGCAGTGCCTCCGGAAGCCGCAATTACGAGTCACCCGTAGAAATACTATGTAAAGTACGAACTCGACACTGATGTTTCTAATTGCTGTACCGGTATGTTCCGATTCCACTCCAAAATCAATTGTGCGTGACAACAAGAATACAAAAAGAACAAACACATCATCATCATGGGTCATCGAACTTTTTTCTACTGTACATACCGATACAGAGCGTACGGTACGGCAGGGGTCATAATTTAGACCCCTGCGGTACGGTACATCACGTCGGATTTTATGAACGCGCGACAACAAACAAATTATCATTGAATCGAACGAGTCGGTGACCAATACCAAAACAACAACAAGAATAACATGTCCGAAATACGAAATACGTACAGTACGGAAGTAAAAATAACTGAATGTCGTCCCTAGTTCTGATCACAAAGTGTCCATGGAAGATCATTCCATCGGTATGGTGACATCGGTAAACCTTAGCAGCATTTGATTTCTAAGGGATGGGATTGAATCTGGCAACAAGGTATGGCTTTGTCTATAATCAAGTAGCTAGAAGTACGAGTTTACGGAGGTCTCAAATTCCTTCCTTCCCTTGGAGGCAACATCCTTGGCAAAACAAGTGCCAGCACATTGCTTCGCAAACTGCGTATCAAGATCCTGCTCTTTCCTGGGCTCAAGCGAACCCTCGATTGGCTCAACAATGTTTGAATCCTCCTCCAGTCGATGGTGAAGATCATTTTCCATTGGCAGAACGCAGTTTACAATCTTTCGAGGCCTACTTGGAATGGAGAAAGTGGACATTCCCAAATGAAATATTCCATGAATCAGAAGGCGTAGATTCTGGAGACCAAAGGGAGAATGCCATCGCCATTATCAGTCACTTACTATCAGCCCCTCTAACACTAGCAAGCCAATTCAGAAAATTGATGGAATACTTCAGTCAGTCCTCACCGAATGAGAATGGCGCAAGTGAACGCGTAGGTTTTGATCTTTGCTGTGTAGGAGCGCGGGCTGAAGCCAGCATTCCCGCTGTCTATTGGAGAGAATTCTTAAGGTTGAGCATGGCATCAATGTCGATTCGAAGCGAATTTCCATGTGATGGTAGGGTGTTGCTAGAAAGGAAAAGTCTTGAACTATACTTGGATTTCGTAGGTCCTGATATTCCATCAAAAGTATCGAAACAATCTGTTTGCGTACCCGAAGAAAAACGAAACCACACTGCATCGTCCGCCTCAATTTCTCTGCGTAACTATTATAGAGGGTATTTCCACGATGTTCCAGCGGTGAATGCGTCAAACCAAAAGGGAAAGTTATGGGACGCGTACGTATTTTTCAACCCCGGTTTTGGGCATCCAAATCTTCAGCAATCATGGGAGCCTACACTAAAGCTTCTCTTAGACCAGGGGCGAAGCGGTTTCCATAAAAAGAAATCTATTTTGCTGCTAACTGCCCATTCAGAAAAGGATGCATCAAGAGATTTTTCAATCCTTAGAGATGTGTACGGTTTGAAGACTGTCGAATATAAAGAGAATCCTTTTGCGAGCAGGGTCACATACGAGGATCCATTCGAGAAAGAGCATTTTGTTCGTCCCAACCACTACGTTGCAACCATTCTACTCTAAACATATTTGCTCGGACGTTCTTTCAATTTTCGATCAAAATGTGACATTAAAGAAAATTTTGGAACCAGGAAATCTAGATTCATTTCCTATTTTGTTGTTCGTCACGGAAGAGTATTCGAGATGAAATCGTCTTCACAGGTCTTTTCCTTGACCACAATTTGGGCCGCTGATTGCTCTTCTTCTACTCTCTTTCAAACTATGAAAAGTGAAACAGTTCTCATTATCCTTTATATATATATATATATATAAATGCAGTTTGGAGTGTTTAGAATTTTCTGATGCGATAAATTCAATGCATATTGCTTTATATTCATATAATTTTATTCTTTACCTCGTCATTTTTTGATGAGACTCGCTCCACGCTGCGTGTAGAACCCCGTTTCCCCTTTCTCCTCACAAGAGTCCCGTCAACAGCATTCACGGCTCTGGTAGTGACTTCGTCATCGAACATAACTCGTGATTTACCGCTACTAGCACTACTTGAACTTTGATTTAGATTTCTTGTAGCAACGGATCCGTCGGTGGTACTTTCATGCAATGTGCTTTTTTTGACTTGAGCTAATGGAGTTTCAGTCGTGACAACTTTCTTATCTTCGAATCGAGAACTGCTGTATGGGTGACCGAAGACATCTTCATCACCTCCATCATCACCATCATAGTCATCACCGAGAGTTTTTGCCAATTCATTTGGTGAAACTGCTGACAGTTGGACGGGTAATTTCGGAGCAGTGTAATTCATACCCAACTCTTGCATAAGATGTATTGAATGGACGTAAACTTCGCCTTTGCTGATTTGGATCGTAGCAAAACTTTGCCAAGGTTCTCTGTGCTGTACAATAAGAACAAACTTCATATACTGCTGTTCCGTCTCGACATGTGTACAGCGAAGACTGACGACTTTGATCCATTCTCTTGGTCGGTCTTTGATGAATTCGGTAATCCTCCTACGAAATTCATTTAATTGTTCCGTGGTAAAATCCATGGTAAATTTCAGGAACATATATACATTCGGTTTCTCAGATCTCCTTAAATTGAGGATCCTCAAATTAGCTAGAGAACCGTTTGAGAAGGTAGCGTATTCCCGTGTTGTCCCCAAACGGACTGTTGTTGTATACAAGTCAACACTTTCCACCATCCAACCACCACTTGGGGGACCAACATCATCGACAGGTGCATTTGGTTCCAAGAAACATACTTTATCTCCAATATCATAAGGTTTTCGAACCAAAATAAGAAGTATTCCCTACAAAAAAGCAAATACAATAACATGAAAGTTTCAGATAGGTCCTAAAATTTTGCGAAGCAACATCAAAGGAAAAGGGAGGGGAATATTTACCTCAAGATATTTTGAACTTGCTGAACCAATAATGAAAGCAAAACTAACAGCGATTCCGCTGATCGCTAAAATTACATGCTGTATGTCTACCCCAAAAATGAAAAGTCCAACAACTAGTACGGCAAAGTAGAAAACAAAGTTTGCGATCTTCCCGTCTATACATCAAAGAAAAGAAACAAAGAAGTTGCATAAGAGAGTAATAGTGTAGACTTTGAGGGATTTCTCATGGGCTTTCACAGGTTAAACTTACATGCGCGATCAATTTGAGAAGCACTGTTGATGTTTGCCAATAGAAGTCTGAGTTGTTTGTAGACGCTACAGATTCCCACACAATTAAAACAAAAAATTAGAATTGGAACCAATAGCATCGATGCAACCAAACTCTACCCCTATCTACTTACCTATCGATTGACTTGACGAATTCTAACTTTGTAATCTCGCCTTTACGATTCGGGCGAAACAATCTAACCAATTCCAGGACCTGTTTCCTATCGCTGGTCCCGTCAGGATTTTCCGCAATTTTACATAGATCATCAAAATGAATCACGTTTGATCTTTTGCTTTTTTTCAATAGTTTCTCGAATGTATTTTGAGAGGCTTGAGCACATTCTTCTCTCGTCATAGTCTTCCCAAATGCGGGTGAAAAGGGATATTTAGAGTTGATAAAATTTACTGCTCTTCGAAAGTGGAGCACATCTGTAGTCGAAACCTGTTTGAAACATAAAGGCAATGCAGAAATTTTAGAACGAACCCCCGACGTGTATTAACGTGTATCTCCAGACCAATCTACAGCAAAGAGTGATGATGTTTCTTACAATTTGATTCTTTTCTTGTAGTCCAGGCTCTTCCCATTCATCTAGATTTTCAAAAATATTAGTAATGAACGTACTGCTATGCTTCACAGTACCATTGTCTTCCACCGGTGTACTTGTCATGAACTTTGCATTGCCTATGGATTCGGAGCCCTCTGTTTTTAAATATTCCTCATAATTTATATCAGTGTCATCATCGTTATTAATTTCACTTCCTTCGAGTTCACCAACGACCATTCTTCCAACCGAACTCAGCCTTTGAAAAACGGATTTTCTATGGACCGTTCTGCTATGGAAAGCGATATCATTAGAAAGTTCCGCGACTTCGCCTACTGTGATGAGTTTCTTCATGAGTTTTGAGAGATCATTCTTATAATAAGCTAATACATTCAGGAGGATGAGGAAAGAGAGAGAGAGAGAGCGAAAATGATTGTTGAATATGGCGTTAATGGATTGTTCTGTTGTGCAATCTGATCCATTGTCACTCCAATACATAAACAGACTCACCGACGACGCGCTGTCCAACAAAGTTGGCCATCACTGTACGTTTTAAAGTCACGGCAGCACTTAGCGGAATCGAAAAGAAAATGATTTTCTTGTAGTGTTTGTTATTTGGAATGTCACCGCTTGGATTGTTTGCATTAAACAAATCAATATAATCTTGGTAATACAGCCAGTTGCGGGCAAATCGACTCTTACCAAACAGGAATATCATATCGAAAATGGCCCAAAAGAATAAAATACAGGGCCATCCTTTTGATTGTGCAATGGCCAATGTCAACTCTGTACCCATGAGTTGGGGAAGATACCTCGTTCGAAAAGCAACGAAATCAATGACGATTACCTGCATCACAACAGCGAGACAGAGTGTGATGACTTGACGGACTCCCACGAACAAAAACCACCACGACACTGATGCTTGTTTCAAGGATATCTCTTCGCTTGTGCACAAGGTTTCGTTCTTCTTGTCAACAAAGGTGTAGGTTGGTTTTCTAGTAGGCGACGTGGTTGGAGAAGAGGTGGTTGGTAGGTTTGAAGCTTCGGAAAGCTTTGTTGGGAACTGTGACGGAGTAGGGGTCTTTGTCGGAAATTCAGACGGGATATTTGACGGAGCAACGGTCGGGGGCGGAGGCGTAGGGGATGGAGTCTCCTTCACTTTTTTATTCAATGCATTGGTATTATCAGTTGAATCTTTGCAGGGTGCCAGCGCCACTCCGTTAGGTGGGTTTTCGAACCCATAAAACAAGAGAACGGCCATGAATAAAGAGGGAAGCACGATGTGTGTCGCTATTTTCCTAAAGGACCTCAACAATTTTTTCCTGTGGGGTTTGACAATTTTTTTAAAAATCTCAATGTCAGCTTTCGTGTTCGTCCCCATGTTGGCAAGGCCCCGTTGAAGTCGCATCTTAATTTTAGCACCAAGTTTCTTTTTTTTGGATGGATCGCCTTCGTTATCTCCCTCATCATTCATCGTGCCGACGCCAGTGCCGATTTCAATGTCATTTTTTCTCGACCCGTCAGCATTGTAACCACTTTTGCTACTACTGGTAGAGTATCTCCTTGTAGGAAATATCTTGGCAGCATTTTCGTAATACATGTCGGCTCCGGTCTTTTTTGTAGTAGGAAGTGTCATCGAATCCTCTGAAGATGGACGAAAGGCATTGGTATGATGATGATGATTCATCTTTCCGACAGTAGGAAGCTGTGCCAACTTCATGGTCAACTCCGAAATGTTGCTGCTGCTGTTTTCTTCTTCTGGTCTCCGGCACTCACTGTCAGTTAAGAATAGTTGGCCGACATTTTCTTCGAGCCCATCCTGGGATTGATCTTTGTTAAGCTCCATATTGTCCAGAAATGAGTCGTGGATTCTAGGCAACAAACTTGACGTTGATAAAGTTTGGTTCGGAGGACATTTTTCCAGACTACGAATATGTTCGGACACGTCCACTCCTTCATTGTTAGAATTGATAACGTCATCGAGCGTGTATTCCTTCGAGCTATGCTCGACGTGGATTCCCGAAGGAATATGCAATGCACCGGGATCTCTTTGCAAGAGTGAATCTTCGTCATCATCTTTGGACTGCGCATTTTTATGGTAGCGCTCCATCAAAGCAACAACTGATTTCGTGGTGCCGAGTGGCGATTCGTCGTTGAATTCAGTCGTACATGTGTCATTTTGGCCGACGTCCCTATTATTAACCTGGTGAGGAGTTGATGTTGTCGCGATTCTCGGATCTGGAGTAGGATCGCATGCATTGTAGTTTTGGGGACAAGGCAACACGTTACTGGTCGGAAGCTGCGTTGGTGCACGCTCACTTTGTGGCCTCTGCTCACCAGGACCGGTGGATGACATGTATTTTTGAAATCAAATCGATTCTGTCAGAGAGTACCGAATGAAACCAAACCAACGCCGCAAGCAGCTTGAATATTATCCGTTGCCCCAACAAGAAGAAACAAGCACTATTCCTTCTCTGTTGTAAACAAAAACCAACTCAATTAAACAGGTACTACACAGTACGTGTACGGTAGATGAGGCTGCCAAATCGCTATTTTTGCAGTTCCAGTGTTTAGTTTATGGTGCGAAGGGTTAGCAGACAAAGGAACATGGAATTGCACATTGAGATTCAGATTCTCTACATCCAAAAATGAGGCGCTCGCAAACGGCCCATTTCGAAAAGTACTTTTTTTTAATCCCATGTTTCGCGCCAAAGGTAGAATCAATCTTCATTCTATTGATCAAAGTACGTACTGTACTGTGACGATCCTATTTAGATGTAGATAACGGTACCAATTGCACATAACATGTGAAGGCAATTTTAAATTCTTCGCAACCGACCAAAAGTCTCCGAAATGCATGTGTATCATTGTTTGACTCGACCATGTCTTATCMAACTAAGCTACGAACGATAGGTACCTAAGATACGGTACAGCAAAGACAAGATTCATATGGTATATATAGTACATATATACGTGTACGTACTCTTGAAAGAAGAACAGAACATTTTCTTTGTACCTACCGAGTACGAAGTACCTCGTACGAGTACGAGTAGGACGAAGTCCATTATTTTATTGTTTGTAGTACGGTAATGTACTGGTACTTCTTACAGTACGAGTAGTACTGGTAGTACTTCGTACTTCTAGTCTAGATGCTATGATCCTCGATAGATCAAGAGCGTAAGATTAAGTTGAGCTCTACGTACGGTACCAGGTAACGGTAGATAAAGTATGGGTTCAACGCAACGTGACCAACTCAAAAAACCGATTCGGCAACAATCTCCGTACCAGAAGCTGGTAGGTTCTCGAAAGCACTGTTAAGCAAAAACAGCACTTTTTGCTTTAAACGGCAGTCGTACCGCAGTCCATCATTGGTTCCAAATCATAGCGTTTTGATACTTCGCGTTGTGGATACGGAACGTCAACTTATTACGACGACGAAACACCCTCGTTTTATTCGAAGAAGAGCGCCACATCGCCAAGAACAATACGAGAGTATAGACCAGAGCGCAAGAAGAAACTTTTGAAAAAAGAATAACAGTAAGATGAATACTCGGGATCACTCAACCTCGTCATCGATGCCATCCGCCTCGGGAACCGGACAAGATCTAGAAGATGAAAATCTTCTTGATATTTCAGAGCAAGTCAATCGGCCAGAAAATACTCCCATCCAACAGCAAACCATAAATGCATGGCATCCTATTTTGGATCCAACGTGGGTGATAGTTTCCTACTTCATTTTGGCGGCAATCACGATTCCCTTCGGTACGCATTATTTACTTAACGTGCTATTGAACTTTTGAGTTCGGCATCGTGCAATGTAGATTGGCGCAATGTCTAGAAGCAGGGACACTTGGTTTGCACCTTGCTTAATTGCTACGAGGTTCAATCACACTCGTTTTTCAATATTCTATCAAAGATCGAACAATTTGCATTACGATTGCAAAAAAATGTGTTTGAACGGACAACTTACACCACCTTTCAAATGCTTCCTTTCCAACTCGTTAACTTCATCACTTTGAAACGATCGGCCTAAAACAAACGTTGGCGCCCGCAGGATATTATTTGCAGGGGGAATCGGCTAAAATCGTTGAACTCAGGCAGGTTTACGATGCAGGAAGCACGGCGACGGCAGCATGCCCAAGCATTGGGGAAAACTACAATGCTAACGAGAATTGCACGCTCACGTTTGAAGTTCCAAAGGATATGAAACCTCCTGTGTTGGTCTACTACGAATTGACCAATTTTCATCAGAATTATCGCAAGTATACTACTTCAAGAGACGACTACCAACTTACGGGGAAGGTTGGTGGCCAGAGCGCTGTCGACGCAGCAAATTGTGACCCGATCAACGTTTTGGGAGACACTAGAATCAATCCATGCGGACTGATTGCCAACACCTTTTTCAACGACAAATTCACCCTTCGTGACACTGAGGGCGCTGTTGACGCGAAAGGAAACAAACTCGTGATGAGAGAAGACGGCATTGCCTGGGAATCGGATCTCAAATATCGTTTCGCTATGCCCGATGGCTACCAGCAAAAGCAATGTGGAGAGGGAAAATGCGATTCATCCTGCTGCGAAGACTTTGGATTTTCGTGCAAAGAACCAGCGATTAGCCCCAAGGACGGTTTGTGTTATGCCTATGATTATCCAAACCAAAACACCACTCAGTATTTGTATCAAACATACCCTTCCGTGATTAGCCCGTTGGAACACGTACTCAACGAGCATTTTGTGGTTTGGATGCGTGTAGCAGCGACGCCAAATTTTAAAAAACTATACGGTTACTTTGAAGAAACGATACCCGCCGGCACAAAACTGGAATTCGATGTCAACATGAACTACGTTGTCGAATCGTTCAAAGGCACCAAAGCCCTGACAATGACAACCAACTCAATGTGGGGTACGAAGGATCCAACAATTGGTATCACGATATACTCCATTGGCTATTTCTGCCTTGCTTGCGGACTGTTCTTTGGACTGAAGCACTTGTTCAAACCAAGGAAGATCGCTGACCGCAAATACTTGCACTACAAGGAAGAATAGATCAGTAAGGGTACAGTGATACTACTATTCCAACAGATGTGGACATTCCCTTTAAATCGCGTGGTACCGCATAGACGAACTTACAGGAAACTTGAAGAATGAGGGTTACGATGCCTTGCTTTTGAATAATATCATTGTGGTCACTTCTACAAAAAAATCAAGTGGTAAAATTTTTGAGAATTGGGCCATAGTACATGGAATGAGTCAATAGTATTGTAAACATAAATGGAGGTTATTCAGTTGTAAGCACCAATGAAATTCTTCAGTAAGCTCGATTCAACCGACTACTATTCAATCCATCTAGTCAATCCATCGTCCCAATCAATTGAGTATCATCCAAGCAAGCAGCTGCAAGCTGTTCCAGGGGACTGGAATCCACGCTGGGATTCAACCGACTGCTGTATTCAATCGATTCAACCGACTGTTACTGTATTCAATAGATTTAGTCTATTCGCGAATCGATTGAGCATTCAGCAAGCAAGCTGCTCCAGGGACTGGATTCCAAGCCCCTCCAGTAGGATTGAATTTTGATAGGCCCAGAAGGAGTCGACTCGCCAGCAAGCCAGACCCCAGTGGGTTCCTCCAGTCCATCACAACTACCCCGCGGATCCAGCTCACTTGCTGGAGACCATCGAGGTGCTGTTGTTGCTGTTGCCTAATCATCATAGTTTCCATCCAAACTGTATCCACAGTGATCAAAGGTCGCATCAACGCCTTTAATGGACCTACCAGCTTCCCTGTAGATGGCTGCTTCAAGATCGCTGGTTGTCCAATTAGGCCTGGCCTCTCTAGATACTGCTGAGACAAGATCACAGATCTTGAATTCAACAGGCCCATACTTTGGCTGGTAAGGAGGCCGAGGGATGGATCTTAATAGAGTTGGTTTAGGATCAGGTCTAATGGCAACCTTCAAGCCAACCAAAGTGGATAGATGCGAGCCAAGGTTGTCCCACAGGAAGATCCTTTCCTTATCAGTATCACCAGGGACTGGATTCGCCTCAATGTCCTTGGGCAAAGACTGTAGCAGAGGTGCCCACTTGCTGAATGACATTGATCCATCGCCTTGGATTCTCCACACTTCCTCTAGTTGCTGGAGGCAAACGCGGATCCCCTGCCTCCACAGCAAGGATGATAGTGAGCTTCTGAGTCCTCTGATAAGCTCCAGGAATCCTGGCTCGAAAGCACTTGAGAGCAATCCCCTTCTCCCCCTTGCTGGTCTTGGTCATATCCATACCAAACTCATCCACGTCAATGAACCTCCTCCTAGGAACACCCACCACTCCAAGAGGAGGGGACTTGGTCCAAAAGATCTTAGACCTCCACATACTCTCTGGGGTGAACGCTTGATAGGCTTCCTTAGAGGCGCTCTTCCTTGTAAGCTCCATCTTGTTCAACCTCCTGCTGATTACTGCATTAGAGTAGATGGGTCCTCCCATGTTGAAAATATAAGTAGCGATCTCATCATTGGTTGCATCTGGATAGATCCAAACAAACACGACCATATTAAAGAGGTCCTTCCCCACCAGTTTGCCCTGGCTCCTATTTCCTGTCTTTCTGTATGGATAAAGGCGTCTACTCCATCTGGAAAGAGACGCCTTACTGGCAGAAGTAGGAAGGCCAGCAGCCTTCCTTTCCAGTTCCTGTTCCCTAAAGAAGACAGGATAGCCTTCACTCCCTCCCTTAGAAGGATGAGGCCTTTCAGCTCTTTCTTGTTGTGTTAGGCTTGATAGGCCAGCATTGGCTCTGATCTTTGCAACCCCGTCGGCTGGATCCTTCCTGCTCATGATACTGTCGACGTCGAAAAAGAAGCAGTCGTCGTAAAAAAAAGAAGCTACACTGAACACACTATAAAAATGGGTTACACTTGCTTGTTTGCTACAGTTAAGGGCTTGTTCAATCGACAATCGAAGAGAGCTATCCATTGATACCACTTACATTAGAAAATGTTGAGTGGAAGTGCTTGAAATGGAGCAATTCCCATGGTCGGTTGCTTTGAACCGGTTAGTTTTTCGATAGAATGAAAGAACAGTTTAGCATGCTAATTAATTAGCACGCTAATTAGCACGCACGCAGTATATCAGCGTGCTGGAGGGAAGTTTTTCAGGTCCACGACACTAGGACACAGTACATTTTTGAACGCGTGATAAAAACCCTTCTATTTTGACCAAAATCTCAAGCCATCCAAAACAGCTAATCTTGCTTCTTGCAAGATGCTGAACAGCTGCTGGGCCTGCCGGCGTGCCACCACCGGTTTTAGTACAAATCCTACTCAGCCCTAACTTAACATTGCGTACTTTGAAACTAACATACGGAACGTTAAATTAACGTTCCCAATGCCTTACTTAACGTAATTTCAATTGATGTTTTACGCGTAGTAGTCCCGAGGGAAAAAATACGTTGCGTTTTCCTCCTTTTTATGACCCCTTGTATCTTGGTATAGTACTTGCGTTCAGCATTTTCTCCTACGGTACTACAGTACGATACAATAATTTAAAACTGCCGGAACCGATGGCACGTTAGAATTTGGAATTTGCTCTCTTTGCGTCGGATTGGCTCTCGTTCTCTCATCACCACAAATTATTGATTCGAAGACACCGAGTTCAAAATTCTGTGAAGAAATCGGTCTCGAAAATCTTTTTTGACATCAACCACCAGTCGTTTTCCAAAGACAGCAAAGTCTGCTTTTAAGCTTGGTTGGTGAATTCCCACTCTAATCAACACAAATTATAACGACAGGTTAGCAAAAATAATAAAACCATTAGTTTGTTGTTTCTGAAAAACGAAGAGAATCATGCGATGGCGATCGCATGCCGGCAATCGGAAACGAGTTAGGTATGACAGGAGCATCGGTCTGGTGGGTTTTTGTTGTATCCTGCGGATATGTCTCTGGCATTGGGGCAACAATATATTGGTGGAATGTTTCTCCCTCGCTGTTGGGCGAAGGGGTCCTCCAAAATCTTTGGACACAAAACTATTATTCAAGACCACATCGGCGCCGACTCCTTATTTTGGAGACTTCATAACAGAGGAACTTGCTCCTTATTTTGGAGACGACGACATGCTGAAAAAGGAGAGCGATGACGACGAAGACTTTCCAATTTTCGAGGAAGAAGCCAATCCAAAGAGATCCGACCAAAGAAATCGCAGAGAGGAATATACCGACATCGACCACGGCCGAAAGTTTAATCCCTTTGCTTTCCCTCCCTTCGACGCCAAGAAGTATAATGATGACGGTAGCCCCGCGCAACCAGAAGATGGGATTCTGGATGATGAAATATTGAGCGCAGAGCAAACGCTTGCATTAAAACTCATCACAGAGGGCCGCAACGTCTTTGTCACAGGAGTTGCGGGGACCGGAAAATCACTTGTTCTGAGGAAGACACTTGAATACGTCCAAGAAGTCTACGAACCGAATGAATACGTCGCGATGGCACCCACGGGGTCGACTGCCATTGCCCTAGAAGGACAAACTGTACACTCTTTTGCAGGTATCGGAATTCCAAAGATTTATAAGGACTTCAAAAGAATGAAAACAAACAAGAATATCAGGAAAAGGTGGGAGGAGCTGCAAGTGTTGATTCTAGACGAAGTGTCAATGATCTCAGGAGAATTCTTCGACAGCTTGTCCAAAGTTGTGAGCGATATTCGAAACGACCCAAGGCCTTTTGGAGGGATACAGTTGATCGTTTGTGGAGATTTTTTGCAGCTTCCGCCAATTTCGCCTCGCCAATGGGAGGTAGATCAAACTGTGAAAGCGCTCCAAGAAAGAGAAGGACTAGAAACGCCCGAAGAAGCAAGGGATTGGCTCTTCCTCAATAGAGGATTCTGTTTCCAGTCAGTTGCATGGAAAGAAGCAAACTTTGAGTTGGTAGAATTGAATCATGTCTTTCGACAGCGCAATGAAGACTTTGTTCGTGCTTTGCAAGATATTCGAGTGGGAAACGTTACACCCGAGACCATTCGTTATTTGAGGGAAAATTGCGAACGCCCACTGCCAGAAAATGATTTAGGAATTCAACCAACAATTTTGCACTCAAAAAATATCGACGTTGCACGAGAAAATTTGGTAGATTTGAACAAACTCTCGGGAGATACTGTAAGCTACGAAGCATCGGACGCCGTGGAACCAGAAAAGGGGGTTGGTCCATGGGTCAAGAAAGACCTTGAGAACAATTCATTCTTCAGATCGTGCCTTGCTGAGCGCAAACTCCAACTCAAAATTGGTGCACAGGTCATGCTGATACGGAACTTGAGTCAAAACTCGGGACTCGTCAATGGCTCACGAGGTACTATCGTCGGTTTTCGAGAGGTGAAAAGCTCATCATCTTCAACGGGGCTGAACTTACTACCCGGAGTCACCAAATACCCAGTGGTTCAATTCAAAAACGGTTTGCAGCAAGTAATTACACCCCAAAAATTTCAGTCTCGAATTCTTGGAAAGGGTAAGTGTATTCGGACTGCTATTCCCTTGAAATTGGCCTGGGCTATTACTGCACACAAGGCCCAAGGCCTGACGATGGATTATGTCATCGCCGATGTGGGACAAGTTTTTGCCGAAGCGCAACTGTATGTCGCATTGAGCCGAGCATCGGATGCTACGGGTTTAGAAATAAGAAATTTCTCTCGGAATCGTGTCAGAGCGAATGCATTGGCCCTACGATTTCACGGAGATCCGGAACAAAAGTATCCTTTTTGGTGGGACTCGGATGGTTCCAGACCAATGATATTGATGGAATCGCCATCAGAATCGCTTCCGGAGAAATCAAAAAAAGAAAGGCCTTCTGAAACAGCAGGGTTCGGAATGAAAGCTCAGGTTCGTGGTGTGAAAAAAAAGACGGGATCTAATGCGCCCCGAAAAACTCCCGAAAGAGCAGAATTCATACCGAGGTCTCATAGAACAGGTGTGGATAAGACGGTGATATCAGCTACTTCTAGCAAAACTCCCGAAAAACTCCCGAAAGAGCAGAATTCATACCGAGGTCTCATAGAACAGGTGTGGATAAGACGGTGATATCAGCTACTTCTAGCAAAACTCCTGAAATACCATCACTCGTACCAACACCTCAGAGTCAAGTTGTCGATAAGAAGATCAGATCAAGTAATCTTCGAAAAGAACCCAAGAAAACTTCCGAGTCGCTGGGGATGAAAAGAATCAGCTCTCAAACGGAAATGCCCATCAGATCGAAACCTATAGAGAGTTGCGAGGCACAGCAGGATATGTCCGAGCAACTCCACGAGCCTACGCTGAAGAGTCGAAAAGTCGTAGAGCTCAAGCAAATGCTGCGCGAACGTGGTTTGAAAGTGTCGGGAAGAAAAGCGGAACTGATAGAGCGACTAGTCAAGGCAAACGGCATCGGTGAGACCCATGGTCATGCTTTGGAGAAACGAAGAGTCTTTGAGCTCCAATGCATGCTCCGCGCACAGGGTTTGAAAGTATGGGGGACTAAGGCGGAGCTCATAGAGCGGCTAGTCACTTCAAAATGTATCGAGGACACAAATTCGGGCTCTAACATGAATGGTAAAATGGCTTCCTACTGGGGATCAAGTAGAAAGACAAACACGCAGCCTTCCGAACCACTTCATGAGCATGCATTGGCCGGACGAAAGGTCTTCGAGCTGAAAGGTATGCTCCGTGAACTGGGCTTGAAAGTAACCGGGAGAAAATCAGAACTCATAGATCGGCTCATCGCAGAGAACCAATAGAAAATAATAACAATGAGAGGCATGCTCCGTGAGCGGGGCTTGAAAGYAACGGGGACAAAAGCAGAACTAATACATAGAATCGGCTCATCGCAGAGAATCAATAGAAAAGCATGCTCAGTGAGCGGGGCTTGAAAGTAACGGGGAGAAAAGCAGAACTCATAGATCGGTTCGTCACAGACAATCAATAGAAAAAAATAACAAATAGAGAATTATACAAATATTATTTAATATTAAATACAAGGAACACTAGTGGGGACCGTTGGCCAAGTGTATTGTTTGAGCACGTACTACACGTGCACAACAAATCATGACAAGAGCCTTTTTTCAGTTCAGTTCCTGCCAATTTAATTTCCCAAGAGAAACCAGAGCGGTATCGAAGGAAGATATTATTTTTCGTTCGTCGTTCGAGGCGTAGCAATCTACACCGTTGGCTTTAGTGCATCGCTCGATAAACACCAAGTTTAAAGAGCGAATTCACCCTGTCCTACGGCCTTTTGTTTCAATATCGTTGACGTGTCCTCCGAAGACATTGTTTTCAGTACCTTGTATTTCGAGGAGTCGGAGATAGATCCCGCGGAGGCTGCCACCTGGATTGGGGCGTCAACGGCTTGTTTTGGTTGCACTATTGCAGTGTCTCCTAGAATGGTAGTCACAATCGTGCAAGATCCGTCACGGTGGGTGATTTCCTTGGTGGTTCTTGACCCTAGATCATAGTACTCCGTTCGGATCTTCACGACATCGGAGCTGGGACTGGATTCGATTTCCTTGCCCTCTTCTTTTGGGTATTCGTCGACAATTTGGACTTTGTTCTCTTGTTCGTCGGCTTTCACCCGTCGTCCTCCTTCGTTCAACTCGGTCATTTCGATAAGCTGGCTGATGAAGTTGGCCATTTCCTGGGATTTGGTAGAAAAGTTGCTCGATTTCGAGAGAAGAGAATCCGTATGCATTTCGTCGATGTTGGAGCCCGACGACATTTTGCTTCTTCCACTGGCAACGGATTCGTTGTCCCCGGACTTGCTGTCCTTGGACATGTATTTCGAAACGAAGGGCATGAATTTTGATGCGCTTCGGCCGCTCTTCCCACTCGATACAGATGCACTGTCGGCCGTGGGCACGGCGGTCACACCGGGCACGGGTTTCTTTGATTTCTCGGAAGCAGAAGATTTCAGGCTCTTGGAGCTGACCACGGATCCACTGTCCTTTTTGCCAGTCGAACCGATGGATTGCCTGCCGCTGCCGGCGCTGGAAAGGCCTTTCTCTGCTTTTGACACCGCGTCTTCGTCGTCTAGCGTTTTCGATCGCACAGACCTACGGGATTTCTTCGACATTCGCGATCCCCCGAACAAGGAAACGCTGTCGTTTTCAACGGCCGAGATGCTCGCGCTGTGCCCGGCTTCTCCGAAGGACTTGAACTTTCTCATGACCTCGTCCTCTTCCTCCTCGGTGGATCCGTCGTCGTCAGATTCGTAGTCGGCGTCGCTGCCCCAGCACTGGAAGACCGGGTTGCGTGGGGGGAGCGAGTTGAAGGTCGCGACGACCATTCCGAAGAGCAACACAAAGTTGAACATTCCGACGATCCCGGTCGTCCCGACAAAGCACAGCTGCTCGGTGCCGTCACCGCCTGTGCACAGGTCTGAAGCGAAGACGATGTACATAGCGCCCTGGCTCACCATGGCTCCCAGGTACAAGACCCGCATTACGTTCCAGAGGTGCGACTTTCCGTGCTTGCTGAAGCACTGAAGGCAGGTACAGATGATTGTTGCGAGCACCGTGAAGGCCAGCAAGAGCGCGCTAGCGATGCGGTTCGCCAGGAAGCCAATGTCGTTGCTGGTTTCTTGTTTCCAGAATTCCGAATTGCTGACACAGCCCAGAAAGTTGTTGCTTCCTCCGCCAACCTCTTCGCCGTCGTAGACCGCGAAGTTGAAGGCTCCCAGGCTCTGGGATTGGTCCTCACCAGAAATGGTAACGAACCTGCATCCCATGCTCGCGTTGAATGTCAGCGGTAGGATGACGATCGATCCGAGCAGAATGTACCACCTGTCGTTTTGGAGCACAAAGGAGTGGATAGCACGATGCCATCGAAATCAGGAACAAAACGAGTCCTAACTGTTAGCACATCAGCCCACAGAAAAAGCGAATAAAGAACGCCAAATCAACACCCGAACACTTACAGTACTATTCTCCTCGCCAGTAAGGATTTGCAGCACGCCATGATGATGTGCTTCTTAAAATATTCTTATTCTGATTGCTTCGTTGTTTCTTCCTTCTTTCGGATGGTAAAGAGTTGTAACTCCGTATTTTTTAGTAGGGTCGGCGTCGTGTCAACGTGAGAGATTCCGGTTTTGTTCGATGGGTGTCGATGATTTGTTGGGTTTTGCTTCATACCGTAGCTCCCAAACTACGGTGGAAGAGCCGTCGGAGCAAGCCGCACTAAATCGCTGAAACAAAAATGTGAGGAGAAAAACACTTGGCATCGCAACGATCTTGCCGCCGGGCGGGCCCGCCAAACATAACGGCTTTCGGGTTGTTCGGGACCGAAAGTTTTTGAGTCGTGAACGACCACAACGACTAAATCAAACAACGATTCGATTCCGGGTCACGTGGAAGAAGGAAATCTTTTGTTTTCTTTGATCCCTCCAGTGCGGTGGGTGGCTGCAAGCTGCATTTACCAACTTCATCTGTACTGTAATCTTCTGTCCGTAGTGGTTTCGTACTCAGGATTCAAGATTCGGTAGTACGAACCGAGTTGAATGATGCGTTTCATGCTTCCACCGTAGTCGTACTCGTACGCCTACCCGTACGTACGGTACGTACTGGTAGTTCATCCTGTTTCGAACAAGCTGTCGACTTCTACTGTTTTCGAGAAGGTCTGTGTCAATCAACTAAAGCCACAGTGCATCTCATTCACGTCTCACCGGAAAGTGACGACAATTTGCAATTCAACAGACAACAAGACAGAGCACCGACATCCAGATCGGTCCAAGCAACACCTTCTACAATGAAACGATCTGTGCCGACGATACCGTCCAAGCGGGCGTCGCTTGCAGGCTCGGCAGCAATGATATACCTCTTGTGTGTGGTCCTCGCACAAACCCCAACGAATGCCTTCGTCGTCGTCCCACCGGCGACCACAATGCACCGTGTACCGGCACCGACGGTGGTTCGATCGCCTCCGAAAGCACCTTACTCCTCCTCCCCGTCGCAGCTTTTCTCCTCGTCCATGACGCAGTCTCTGAACGAAAAGGTAATGGAGAAGCTCCCCTCTAAAAAAGTCGTCGATGCGGTCATCGAATCCAAGACCCGATCCATCGTGGCCTCGGACGTGGCCACCCGGGCGGGCGTCAGCATTTCCCAGGCCCGAAAAGACCTCACGACGCTGGCGTCCCTCTCGCAGGGTGACATTGCCGTTTCCGGGGACGGCGAGCTGATCTACGAGTTCCCGAAGGACCTGAACGGGGTTCTGTCGTCGAAGAGCGCCAAGTACAAGGCCCGGCAGGCCTTTGAGAAGGCCTGGCCCTCCATCTTCTGGGGGCTTCGCGTCTCCTTTGGTGTGGCACTCGTCGCCTCGGTGGCCTTGGTCTTTTCGGCCATCGTGGTGCTGCAGTCCAGCAGCAGCGACGACGATCGCCGGGACGACCGGCGGGGCGGGAGCATGGGCTTTGGCGGGGGATTCGGTGGCGGGTTCTGGGGCCCCAGTCCCTTTGACTTCTTTTACTACCGCCCCTACGGGTACTACGGATACTACGGACAAACGATGGACGGAGCCGTTCGGGATCCGGAAGACATGGGCTTTTTGGAATCCGTCTTTTCCTTTGTCTTTGGGGACGGGAACCCCAACGCCGGACTGGAGGAAAAGCGCCTCAGCCTGGCGGCGCAAATGATCCGGGACAACAAGGGTGCGGTCACAGCAGAGCAGCTCGCTCCGTACTGCGACGCTCCCGATTCCCCCTCCTCGGAGTCTTCGTCCTCCTCCTCCTTTGTGGACGAGTCCTTTGTCCTGCCCATCGTTTCGCAGCTGGACGGAGAGCCCCGGGTGACGGAGGAGGGAGACATCATCTACGTCTTCCCCGACCTGCAGATGTCGGCGACGTCCTCCAGCATCCTTCCGCAGGTTTCCGAATCTGCCATGGTGCTGAAGCGTGCCGGACTGCGTTCCGATGCGTCCAGCCGGGACATCCAAAACCTTCTCAACATGAACGGGATTTCCACGAGGGGGGCTCGGGAAAAGTCTGACCTCGTGAAGATTCTAGAGGACGTTCTCCCCGAGATGACGCCAGAAGAAGAGGCCGAGGTCTCCCTCATGGACCCATCGATGCTGCAGGAACGAGAGTACAAGTTCAGCTTGGCCTCTGGCACGAACCAGTTTTTCGCCGGTGCCCTGGGAGTTGCCAACCTCGGAGGAGTCCTCTACCTCGGGAACCTCTTCAAGCAATACCAGTTGTACGGTGTCAAACTACCGGGGTTCCTCGGCCTCGCCCAGACTCTCTACCCGGGACTGGTCGTCTACGCGATCTTGTTCAATCTCATTCCGGTGGCCAGGAATTTCTGGATCTCGAGACAAAACGCCGAAATCCAGGGACGGAACAAGGCCCGCCGAAAGTGGAGGGAGCTCGCCGCCAGCAAGGGGAGCAGCGTGCTGCGAAAGCTCAAGGCCGCCGCCAAGTTTGCCACGAACCGAACGATCCTAAAGGGGGACGACTCACTCTACGATACGAAGAAAACCGCCGCCGACCTGCAATCGAAAAAGGATCGGTCGGACCTCGACGAGTTTGACAAGCTTCTGAACGACGACAAGAACACCTTCCAGTAACCAAAATCGATGGATTGGGTTGGGTTGGTTTTGATTGGTTGCAAACTGGTTTCGCGCAGAATGTGCCGATACACGCGGTAATTGGATTTGTTGCAGCCGATTCGACGACGGTGGTTGTCGTACGATGTCCCGGAAGGGTTGCCCATGGCAGGTTGCGTGCGAGACGAGGGCCTGGTTCCGTCGCACAACCGCGCCACCGTTGATCTGCTTGGTACAGGCACGCATTGCAGCGATCAACTTCTCCTTTTGGCGAGCAGGTTCTCGCACAAGCAAAGGTGCCCGGAGACAAAAGATACGCAGCCAAATGAAGTGGGTATGGATTTGAGTTGAGTTGAGTTGAGTTAACGCCACCGATGCCGATTACACGTAATAAGAATACATAAAAAGAAATTTTCCTCCACGCCATCATTGTTATTTTGCAACCGTGTTCTATAGATTTCCGGAGCAGGTTATAAGTATAAGGTTTCTTTGCTAGGGAAATGAAGCAAGAATGTCTTGCTTTTAAAAGACGGTTTCCTTTCCAATCTTCTTTGAGTTCATGATGAACGAGGTGACGATGCTCTGGAAGCGAGACCGGCCCTCCAACAGGTGCACGGCGTGGTCGGCATCGGAAAGGATGCTCCAGGTCCGATCGGTTCCACGACCGAGGTTCGTGAACAGCGTCGACTGGACGTGGAGGGGGGCGTACGGATCTTGATCGCCAACGACCTGCGGTGGGAACCAAGCAAAACCGGAAGCGGAGGAGGACGGGGTGAGGGGATGGTTCAAATCAGAACGAAGGGGAAGGAATGGAATCGAATCGAATCGAAACGAAACGATTGGTTTGCTCCCCAAGGACAGGCGGTGCGGTCGCACTACTTACCACCAGGGTCGGAACGTGGACCCGCGCCGGGTCGCAATTGTTGAACTGGTACATGTGTTTCCACTGGGCCTTGATCGGGTCCGCCAGCAGGGCCGCATCGGCAAAGTAGGTCGCCGCCTTCGGGGGGATTGTCCCCTCGATGGTAAAGTCCTCGATGGCCGCGTCGAAGGTGTTGCGGAGGGGCTCGACCTCGGGCGGGTTCCGGAGGTAGAGAGGGTCCCGCGGAAAGCGGACCATTGGATCGAAGATGGACCCGTAGAGAATCAACCTCGAAAAGAGGGGCTTGTCGCGCTGGGCCGCGAGCTGGGCCACAAGGGCGCCCTGCGACCATCCCATCAGCGAGACCTTCTCGGGCGTCTTGCATCCGTGGCGCTTCGCGAGCCAGTCAAGGACGGACTCGACGTCCTCCATGCACCGGTTGGGTTCTACCCCGCCGCTTGCATCCGCGGGGGTCCCACCAAAGCCGCGAAAGTCCATGGAGTAGACCCGGATGTTTTTGTCGTGTAGGGCCTCCATCAAACTGCGGCTCTCCAGGCCCTTTTCGGCGTTGAGGGGACCTCCCAGCAAGTGGTAGACGGGGACGCTCGACCAGGTTCTCCCGTGAAGCATCAGGAGGACGTGGTCTTCGCACGTTGGCTCCGACTCGTCCCCTCCGATCCCATAGACGGTCAGGGGATGGCCGTCTTCCCTCGAGGGAACCGTGTAGACGTCCAAGCCATCCAGAAGCTGCTCGCCTTCTTTCGCTTTTCCGAGCGGTGTATCGGCAATGCTCATCCGACAAGCGGTGGCCGAGGACCGAAATCCACGGTGGTTGCCGTCGATGGCGGAAAAGAAATGGTGTCCGATGCCTCCTTTGGTTGCGGTAGCAATGGCATTCCCACTACCGAGGGCTCGAACGCTGTTCTGTCGACGACCGAGAGAATCGATCACCGCACGCCGGATATTGGTTGCGCTCCTGCCGCTACCAATCGGAGCATGTTTGGACAAAAGTGCCGTTGAGGATTTTGCTGCGAGTAGCATTGTGAGGAAAGCGAGTAATGGTGAATAGAAATTGTATCGATGGTTTTTGCTCTGGTTGTTGCGTCTGTGAATAGGGGACGCCGGCGATGATGGTGTGGTTGGTTTCGTTTGACACTTGGTGGAGAAAGACGGCATATCAGTCGGGACTGGTATCGTAGATTTCAACACAGATAGGAGAACGACAATTGCTGTGTACTCCAGGAAGATCTTCGGATCGAGAATGTAGGATGTTTTGTTACTGGTTTGGTCGAGGACTTCGGTACCTTGAAATTTAGGCTCGAAGAGTTGCTTGTTTGCTAATTGGTGTAGGTTTGTGTACGTCCAATGGATTTGATTCTTCCGAAAGACCGTTTAGCTGCAGCATGAGTCGACAGAAGATCATTTTCTTGTTCATTTTTCCGATGGATTTCGAGTTTGCGCTCGCTAAGGTCACGTCTTGATGGGGGAAGTACACGAGTGCGTTGTGAGTACGTGTCGGTTTGTCGAGAAAGACATGGACATTACAGCCGCAGAATCTACCCCTTTTCTGCATCGGCCCCCCTTTTTGTAACGCGCGCATACAAAAGGATGTTCTCTACGAAATTCCCCTACCGGTACTGAAATGAAAGGGTTCCGATTGATGATTCACGCTTGAGTCCGGTGTTTCCCAACCTGACAGAACCGGTACGTAAATGCCTACTGTAACATGTACGGGTAGGAGGTAGTACGATTACTGCATCCTTTCAGAAGAATCATCGATGCCATCGAAAAGGACTCAAGGAAGTCATGCTATGCAGTGAAACGGAAACTTTCGAGAAAGATTCTTTCTGTCGTCAAGAGTCAAGACCACGAGATTAGAGTAAGAGTTTCAGAATTGAGAATACCATAAACTAAATACCGCAAGTGAAACAATATACTGTAACAATAAGCACGGCTACGAAAGAATTTCAGCATAAGTTTATAAAATATCAAAAGAAAGAGCAGCAAATTCAACACTCCTTTCAAAAGATCCAATCTGCACAAACTAGAATACCAAACTACCAAACAGTTGCGTGATGTCGTCGCCTGAAAATCTCCACCCAAACTTGGTGATCTCCTCCTCGAAAGCCCACCGTGCTCTCTTTACGAAAATGAGAAATGCTTCCACCTCCTCGGAAGATTTTGTGAAGTATTCGAAACGAGCCATGAGAATCTTGGCCGAAGATGCGCTGGCAGAATTTCCTTCGACCGATGTGAAAATAACAACTCCCTGTGGGTACGTTCGGTGTCAAAGAAAAGAAAAATAATCCTTTGGTGCATTTCTTTTTGGCTGCCTCTTGAATCAGGGGAATTGTCATGCATCATGGGACACGGTTGGGAAATTACCCAAGTCCATGTTCTTGCTAATTCTTTTTGACTCATTCCTTTTCCTTGTTGGACGTATTGTATGTCGATGCTGCAACGGCACGCAAACTAACAGTCCTTGCGATGGATGTGTCGGTCCCGATCCGACCACTATTTGCGCCGTCTCGATCATAAGGAGCGGGGATGCCCTCTTGGAGGTGGTCCGCGACGTTGAACCAGCATTGCGCGTCGGAAAAATACTCATCCAGAGAGACGAATCCCATCCCGACAAGATCGCGAAGCTCTTTTACAGCAAACTCCCCCCGGCATCTGGAACAGAAGAACTGCCCTATGTTTTGCTCTGCGATCCAATGCTGGCAACGGGAGGATCCGCGCTCAAGGCCATAGAGGTATTGGTAGACAAATACAGCATCGAACCGGGGAAGATCGTCTTTGCCAATATGATCTGTGCACCGGAAGGGTTGAGAGCGATGGCCGAAGCTTATCCACAGATAAAAATAGTCACGGCAGCCATCGACGAGTGCCTTAACGAGGACAAATTCATTGTTCCGGGTTTAGGTACGTATCTAATGACTCATGCAGCGTATGGAGCGTTCAACCGTTCGATGCATGCATAGATTGAGGCAATCAGCTCACACAGATACTTCAAAATTTCACATTTTCATCGCTGCGTTTATTGAACAGGGGATTATGGTGATAGATTTTTCAATTCAATATAAAGTGCTTCCAGAAAAATTTAACGCAAGCACAGCAACGAAACCTCAGTTTTAAGGGATAGGATGTGAAATACGTTCGATGTGATTTGTAAACTCCAGAGAGGAATCTCGTTGCATCCTTTCTTCAAGTCTGGCAGAAATTGAAAGGGTAATTTCAGTACAAATTGCTTATTCATACCTGTCGACTAGATATTTAAAGTGGGGGTAATTTTTGAAAAGCGGCTTCTTTAATTGTCGTTCAAATAATACACAAACTACTAGTTAAAATCGTAATGTACTTATTTCGAAGGGAGTAGTATTTTATCAAGCATAGCAAAATGTTGCTGAACAGAAACCAAGTTGTTGGCGGTGATTGCCCCAGCAGCCGCCGTCGCAGGCACCCCGATGCCAGGGAAAGTAAAATCACCAGTCAGATACAATCCTTCGAGCGGCGTTTTGTGGCCTGGTAGGGTTTGCTTTCCTGCCTCCACTCTCGGCCCATACGCTCCCCGAGATCGGCGCAAAAATCGCTCGTGAGTCAAGGGTGTGCCGATTTGAACTGTTCCTGGTACGGCACGATTTCTCGCATCGGGTACGTATTCCTCGATGGCACTCCACAAAAAGTCGGCAGCTTCGTCTTTCTTCTTCTTGTATTCCTCCGAATCACGGTCCATACCTTCCCACCATTCATAGGGTTCCGTCGCTGGGACATAAGCATGCAAGACATGCTTTCCCTCGGGTGCCAAGCTTGGGTCGATCAGGGACGGCATGCTACAAAGTACAATGTTTCTGGGCGATTCCACGCCTTCTGGCGCGTCCCAATCGCGGACTACTGCCCACTGCGTGGGAAAATCAGCGCTGGCTTCCGTAGGTAGGCCAGTTGCATCGATACCGGCATGGATGTGAATGAAACTCTTCAAATCTGGAATGCCTCCCGTATTTTCGTCAGTGTTGATGAATGAATCCATGTATTCTGCCGCTTTGGTATGGAGCTTTCCTTCCGATCGTGCCTTGGACAGCATTTTGTTTGTAACGTAAGGATCAGCATTGGAAACGACCGCCTGTCTTGCTTTCACTACCTTGCCGTTCTCCAATTTCACTCCAACAACTTTGTCGTCCTCGACAATAATTTCCTCAACGGGAGCATTCAAGCAAACCTTGCCGTTAGCGTTCTTCCGAACACCTCGTACCAGCGCATCGACAATGCTTCCACTACCACCCTTAGGAAAATCCAATACGACACCGGGACGGTACCAGTCGGCCAACATGTAAGCCATTACAGCATTCATAGTTCCACTGGCAGGAAGTCCCTGCAAAAGAAAGCACAACATGTCCAACCAATTTTTGACAAATTTGTCCTTCAATTCCATTTCTTCCATGATGTTGCTAAAGGGGTCGTTCAAGGCTTGACCTTGTCTTAGCGTCGCGAAAAGCTCTTTCGGGTATCGAAGCAGCGTGAAGATAGCTCCCGCATCCTCTCGCAACGCCATCGAGGTGAGTGCCTGTGCAGCGTTCGATAGAGGTTCCATCCGTTCCATGAGCGCTGCAAATTCTTTTTCCGCATTCGGTCCACCGTGCTCCTTCAATACATCGCCGAATTCTTCCGGTCCAATCTTTGCTGCGAACTTCCGTCCGTCGGGCATTACAGTCCCCCACCGATCATATGTAATCCATTCGGCATCTTCCCCGATGATTTGGAATACGTTTTTCAGTGGATTGGGCGATTCGTCCATGCTGAACCCAGAATATAGAGACGGTCCAGACTCAAAATGGAACCCACGTCTCTCCCATCCGTGGGCCTTTTAGTTTATCAGGTCAAAATGCATATATCCAGTTGTGGCATCACGGATTGAGTCCCAATTTCGAGCAACAAAAATTAGTGATCATGTTCATCGAAAAATGGATGCCGTAAAATACAATCCTCCCAAATCACTAGAATCGACTTTCGACTTACAGCTCCACCAGGGGTATCATGAGCTTCAAACACAACCGTTTCTTTATCGCAATGCGACAGCAGTGCGGCACAAGAAAGACCTGCCAGTCCACTTCCGATCACGATAACATCTACTTCGTTGGTAGGAATTTCATCGGAAGTTTTCTTCGCGAAGTGTGGTTGCGACGACGAGATTCTCGTTGTCTTACCCGTCCTCAGGACAAACGCATCCGAAACGACGAGACTAAGAAACAAGGCTGCCGTTTTCATTGTTCGATCTTTCCAGGCGAGTGGTGGAACTTTGGATTAGATAGGGTCAACGTTGCGCTCAAACAATTTCATTTACTATTTCGCTGTGACCAGCGTCGAAGACAATGTTAAATTGTACTTGTACCCGTCGTACGGCAGGATTCAATCATGTTGGCTAAGGTTGTTGGCGTGTTGTTGTTGCGTGTTACTTCCATGCCACTGACGCGTTCAATTGGAGTCGTTTGAATTTCAGTCCCTAATTCCTGCCATGCACGTCTCAACTTAAAGATACTCAAAGCCACGATTCAAAGAAGCAAACGGGGCACAGACTGTGGTATCAGTTTTCTGGCGGTTATTGTATCGTATCGGCGCTAAACAATACTCCGTTAGCACGTACTTCTATTACGTAAGCAGTTACTGGTAGTTAGAATACGTACGATACGTTTGTCGACAAAACGAAAATCCCGGTACGCTCTCATAACTTCCACCTATTTGTTCTAGTGCTGGTGGTACCAGTGTAATCAGTTTGACATGATTGATCCTTTGATGAAAACAAGAAGTATCATGTGTAAAGCTTGCAGCACCAACGTCTAGCAGCATTGCTAAGCAGTGGCATGTGCATGGAAGCGATCTGCAAAGTGTCTTCGTCCCGTTTATTGGTAACTTTATGTTCAAAAATAAGGCTTTTATGATTACACTTTTTTTACAGTATTTGCACAATATTTCTCAAAGATATGCCGCCACATGTCTCGTGATGAGAATTTTTGTCTTTGCTTTATTATCAGGAGTAATCGTTTTCTATCTGGTATTGCATAGAAGATCTGGTCGTTCCCGAATCAGATGGTACAAGACGTCCGGTACCCCAGAAGGCGTTTGATTTGTGTTAGCTTTCCCTAGTACCTCAGCCCATAAACTAGATGGAGAAGGAGTGATGGATTGCAACAGACTCCTCCCACTTTTGTTGCACCGAAGGAAAAAGTCAATATCTTTCTCGATAGGTGAAACGCTGCAGCTACATTGTGACGAGCCCTCGCTAGCCTCGTCGTCGTCGACAGTATAGTCTTCGCATACTGGCAGTTGTACGTAGAGGATAGAAAGCCGAGTGTTGCACTTCAATCCGTTCAAAAGTGAATCAGCCGCAGGAGTGTCGAACAAATCGCCCACGTTTAATTCTTCGAGACCCTTCATTTTCGGTAGACAATCTCCAAACGCCTCGATTCCTTCGTTCCATATACTATTGGAAGGAAAAGAAAGATGCGTCAATGTGTGATTAACAGTCAGCGCTTCGGCCAATGCTTTAGCTCCTTCATTGCCTATATTGTTAAATGATAGAATGAGCTTTTTCAAAGATGTGTTTTGACGGAGAGAAGAGGCCAAAGCAGCAGCACCAACCGAATCGATTCTGTTCCCAAATAGATGCAATTCCTTTAGATAGTTGTTTCTTCGCAGCATCGAGGCGATCGCTCGAGTGCCAAACGTCCCAAAGTCGTTAAAATCCAAACTCAGGAATTCGAGTTTGTCGTTATGACCAAGTGCATTGCAAATCATGGACACCGATGCGTCGGTCAGAGCGTTTCCTTCTAAATCTAATATTGTCAAAGTTCTATTGCTCTTTAATCCTGACGAAATGTGAGAGATGCAGTCATCTCCGATTGAATTTTGCGACAGTCTCAGCTCTGAGAGTGCTCGATTTGATTTCAGCATCATACCGATAGCCTTGGAATTTGCCTCGTCGATGCTGTTCCCTATCAAACAAAGCGATTTTATGGAACTTTCTGGATTGAGTGTAAGAGCCAACGCGGCTGCGTTGGTACCTTCTCCCCCTTGAATCTCTTCCATGTGTAAATTTGTAATTGCATTCGTACTGCTTGCGAGCATAGTTGTCAGAAGCTCAGCAGTTTTTTTATCGATTGTTATGTATCGGAATACGAAACTAGTAACGAATCGATTCCCTTCCATAGCATCTTTCAGAAGTCTCATATCGGTTGCATCGAAGGTGTGCAGTTCTCCGCTGTGATCGATCTCGACTTCGTCGATTGCTGCGTCGTTTCTTTTTACACCATCACACACCTCTTGGAGCCAATGGTCAAAGCATTCGTCCATATCGATGATATGCTTTTGATCTTCAACGAATAATGGCGGACCAGCTGTATCTAAAATCATGTCACTCATCTCTCTGATGTGGATGCATATATTAAAGAAAAGAGCACGCAGATGGAAGAAATACTGAGATGAAATAGCTTCGAATATTCCATACGTCATGATAGAAAACAACTTTGCTTTCTCCGCACAAAGTATGCGTGTGAATTACTTTCCTCTATAAGTTTGAAATCGTATGGTACTGTAAAGTGTCGTAAATTGCGTGAAAATGGTACGAGTACCCGTGAACATATTGGTGCTGGGTGGATGAAGTAATAGAAAAATCAGCGTGTCACATTCTGTCACACAGAATAGATCGACCGTCACGAGTTCACGAGTCCGATCTAGTGTTCTTGTAAAAGTATGTGGCGCTCGATGAGCCGCCATCCGGGATTAAGGATAAGATGAATAGTAAGACAATGCGTGACATGAACGCCGAGCCCGTCAAGTCAGTTCTTGTAGAGAGTTATGATTTCACGACTTTCTGTTGTTCTCAAAGTAAAGTTCCTGCGACCAAACACTGTAAGTATTTTTTTGCTATGTCTGTTCTTTCTCCTCACCAAAAACCCTTATGGTTCAACCGGTCAACCGCATGTTAAAAACGAAAAATACTCGTAGTGAAAATTTTAATTTTACATATCAATTGAGTATCAATTGAAATTTCGTTTTACAGTGCATTCTGAATGTTAGAATTAAGGTTCCCGATGTTAACTTAAAGTTTCCTATGTCAGACTTAAAATTTAGAATGTTAGTATGTCACTGTAGGCCTACATAGATCATGCCATAATCCCCATTCTTCATTTGGTCGTAGCGCCAGCACCAGCATCCACCAAAAACCAATTCTTGTTGTTTCCTAGTAAAAAACAAGAGGAAGAAGAGGACACCTCGTCCCATGCTAACATTCAGAATGTTACTACATGCAGAGCATTCATGCAGAACCTTATATTCAAGCAAAAACTGCAGTTCTCATTTCTACACAGACCTACAGTATGGTGGTGGTGCTAGTAACATTATTTGGTGGAATGTCCTCATTAACAACAAGTTAACATTCAGAATGCCCTGTGAAACATAATTTGGTATGGGGTGATGGGAGGATGCAAACAACTTGTTTTGGTGAGTGGAAAAGCCAAAAAAGGACCAGCCAAAATGACAACAATACAATGATACAACCTCATTGAGGAGCCAAAAAGGACCAGTGCAAACAACAATGATACAACCTTGACTAGGACAGTTCCCATGGTCAACAACCTACCAATTTCAATCAACACAGCAGCACAACTAAGCAAATTTAAACCAATTCATCTCAGCAGAGTGAGCTAGGACTGAGAAGGAGGAACAAAGAGCAAAACTACTCAATATTTTAAAGTTTGACATGGTCTGTTGAAGCGTTAGTAAGATGTTATAAGAAAAATGTGTGATGTTACTACATAAACAAATGATCACAAAACTCAATAATAAGGCAGCAAGAAGGCAATGCATTGAAATCAATAGTAACAAGAAATATACATTTTGATTATTCAATAAATGTAATTCATGTTGGAGTGTTCTTTGATGTCAAATTGAAATCAATAAGAAATATTCATTTTGCATTGTAAGACATGATTCTAAATACTTTGTAGAGATAGTACAACAAGGAACAACACAGTAAGAAAACGTGTACTAGTTGCTATATTTAATTCACTTTTGCCTCCCATAATGCAGCAGTCACTATGGAGCAAACTAAAGATTTCAATTACTAGTAATGAATAAGATAAATTAAATGTAGAATAAAAAGTGTGACAATGGGATTTGTCACCTCATGTAATCGGAATCTGATGCAGGATCATTGCTACTGCCACTGTGGCAGCCCTTCTTGTTGTGATTTCTGGCTTTGGTGGGACTGAAGTGCTGCATGGCAATGGTTAGTGTATACTACTAGTAAGGGATCCAATAGTGCTTCCAATTGCCTTGTAACAAGCTTCCTTCCTTTCTGCCTTGGCTCTCTCAGCAGCTAGTGTGTGCTGACTAATAACTTGCTCCAAGGCATTCACAATGCCGCCATACTTTGATCTGGAAGTATTGTAGTATGAGCAGAGTCAGGGTGACCTGCCTTGAGGATGTGGTCATGACACTTGTTGTTGATACTCCAGCCCTTCTTGCAGTCACACTTGCATCAACTACAACTGCAACAGCTGTGATAATAATTCCTACAGATAGAGCTGGTGACGTCCCTATTGGCATGAGGATAGTTCTGAGCATGGGTTGCTTTTACTTCCTTCCACTGATCATTCCCAATAGGAAGCCTTGTCAAGATGGCATGCATCAAGGCAATTGTTTCCTGAGTGGTATACTAGTAGTTGCTTCTTGTTCTCAACCTCCTGCCTCCTCTGGTTGGTGCTACTAGTTCTTGCTGCTGTCTTGTTAAAACCCTTTTTTTGTGTCAGAAACTAGTACACAGGGATTTTTTGATTTTGCACCACATTCTAAGGAGGGTTCTGGGTTCTCAGGATTCTCAACTTTTAAATCCTATTGACATGAGTCCATCAGGGTTCTTCCAGTGCAGAGTAGCTTGTTAATTGTGGGGAAACCATTGGTGTTGACAATTCACCTAGCATCTTGGATTTGTTTTGGTGGGCTTGCTGGCACGATGTTTTCTCAATACTCAGTGTTTTGTTGGTTTGCTCACTGGTGGCACCATGTGTTCTCAATATTTGGCAAGAGTGCAGCTATTTTCTGTGAATCTCAAGCAAATCTGTATGTTCCAAATTAAGCACATGTAGTGCAACACAATTCAATATCTAGTATTCCATGTGGTTACATAGTAGATCTTGTTCCTGTATTCAAAATCATAGAATGTGTGTCAGCATAGATTCAATGTTATGAGGAATGACCCAATATCATTCTAGTAATGGAGGAAGAACTCCTCTTCTTTTTACTACTGTTCTACCAAATAGGGCAAAATTGCACTGGCAGTACTAACAGCTAAAACGAGGATGAAGATTTTTTGGATTCAGCATATGCAGTAAATGCACAAGAAAGAAACTCCCCCTTGGCAAATTCAAGTGGTCAACTCACCAGCCCTTTGTTTGTTTTTGAGGAAGACACTGCTGGTCAACCAAGATCAGATTTTCCCATAGGTTTTCTCTAGTATGTTCAAACAAATAGAAACAAAGAGAGTATTACCCAAGCAATATTCTTCTCTTTATATAAACATCACACAATCAAAGAAAAACAAGAGGAAGAGGCAATATTATCTTTGTTTCTCATTGTCTAAACATAAAGAAACAAAGAGAATCTTAGTACCCCATTGTGATTGGGGTGGATTTGGATGCAAATCAATTTTCCAAACAGGATCCCCCCTATTTTCAATGGCTACTACTTTGTTATGGAATTGCTGTCTGTGTAAAACAAGAGGGGGATATACACAACCAGTACTGGATTCTATATATTGAGTTTTTGATCCATGGAAACAGTGTTTGTTGTGAGACCACTACTAAAACTGCTTTGGTGGCTTGAATGGCCTCTCATACATGATGTTTGGTCATAGTGTTGGGGCAGGAGGTGTCTGTGTGCAAGCACCAGTGTCCTGCTAGTACCAGTCATCAGGAACCCATAGGAGGATACTTTACTAGAGGTCTAGTAGGTCACAACAGTTACAGTAGCTTTTTGTGGTCAAGTCAAAAGGGCAAAAAAAATCTATTTTATACTTGTATATCATATTGTACTAAATCCTTCTTGCATTACTACTACTACTGTTGAGTCCTGTGCTGATTCATAATTTGTTTTTCATAGTCAACAAAGAATCACTGCAAAAGGACTACTACTAATACTAAAAAACTTTATAATATTTAAACTCATGAACTAGAAGAGGTGCTGTGTTGGCCAGAACCATAATTTCTGGGGGGAGAATAATGAACCTCCTAGTATTAGTACTACTAGTAGTAGCTGCTCAGATGGATGGTGCCTCCCTCCAAGGAGGTGTTGTGGAGGAGGAACCAAAAGTATGAGTAATACTGCTACTACTACAAGTAGTATGGTTCATTGACAGTACTACCACCACTATAACTAATACCAGTACTTCAAAAAAGAAAAGGGATGAGCAAAAAGGATTACAGTCATTCTGTACTGCTGGATCAACAATGAAGCAAGAAGGTTTGAGGGTCTTTCTTCTTGTCCTTGAAACAAGAAGAAATGAACAAGAAGGGAACAAGAACATGAACACAAACATGAACATGCTTCCACAAAACTTCCAAACTCCTACATTCTAGTATGACAACATCTGGTGTGCATCCTCACTAATATTTGTAGGAGTACTATATAATATGATCACAACAAGAACAACTGGAGTTTGTGTGTATCCATTGCACAACAATCATTTTGAGCACTGTATGAGGGAAGCGACTCAATTTGTGTAGTGATACTAATGGTGAGAGAAAGAAGAATTGCCGATGTTTTTGGATTCTACTAAGGGAGCAATTGCAACCACACCAGCACAATGGGCTACTATTACCACTAGACCTATTGGTGACACTAACAGTAATGATTGCATGTAATACTTGTTTACTGTTTGTTTAGGGTGATAAAGTGAATTATTGTTCAGTGATTCTTGCAACAGCAGCAAGAAAAAGCATCACCAAAAGCTAAAAACTACTACGAGTCATAAACAAAAAGTTTGGGATAGGTGTTCTATATTATTACTATTATTACTAGTAATACCCTTGTTGCTTGTATCACAGTGTTGGGCAGAGGAAGAACAAAGAACAAGAAGTAAGACAGATTAGTGCTGCTGCTGATGTTGGTGAGAAATCAAATGTTTGGCTTGAAATGCTTGCGCTGGAATAGTTGCTACTGTTGACCCATCCCTTCCTTCTTCCCATATTCCTTGCTCTCTTCCCCCCCTGCTTTTCTTCACAAAATCAAGCAACATCAGTACTGGTACAAATTAAGAAATTACACCATGTTAACAACAATAACAACAAGAAACAAGCAAGAAACATACTACTAGGTAGCTATGGGCTCATTGAATGAGAGCAACAATGAGGTTGTTCTTCCTGATAGCTTCCAAATGATTGGAAGGAAAGGTCCATGCAGTACAACTGGCTAACTAGGCATCAGTATCTTATAACATATGTAAATTGCGTAGAGGCATTGAGCTGGTTCTAAGTCTGTTGGCTTTTGACAGTATTTAAATTTATGCCGGATAGCCCTCCAATTAATCCAAGTAGATGACTACTTGTGTTTCCTCAAAGAAGTTGTAATGATTATGTTGAGAGTGATATTAAAATTTGGCGATCCTTTGGCCATTCATTTTTACAGTGATAATAGTACAACACATTTTTAATTTTTGAGTACTTCGGTAATTTGGTAGCATTAGTATTCGGTAATTTGGTAGCATTAGTATTATTCATCAAGATCATGTCATGTTAGCTGTCGAACAGGAGTTTGTCAGAGCAGCAAGCATCGCTTTCTATTTGCATCATGCGATGCGGTGTACGTGCCACATCCCCTAGATTTCCCCATTTATGAAAGGAGAAACGTTAATTCATTCTTTCGTTTATTCCGAAAAATCCGAGCTCCACATTTTCTTCATACGCTCCTTGTCACGTGCCTTCTTTTCAATGGCACGTCGTTTGGCTTCCTCCTCTAAAGCCTTTCGCTCCGCAAGCTTCTTCGCCAGAGCTGCTTTTCGTGCCTCTTCTGCCTTCCTCATCGCAGCGGCTTGTTTTTCCTTCTCGTCGGATCCCGGATCAGTCATCATGGCGTCCCCGGATTCACCTAGAGTGGCGATTTTGCCTTTCTTGACGTAAGACTCGCTTCCTTCTCCGAACCCGCTCATTTTTGTGTCGTAAGTAGGCAAAGAAAAATCGAGGGAAGTTTCGGCGAAAGAGACCATGGGTGCTGCCACTAAGCTTGCCGAAGCCGAGTAGAAAACGGCAGCTACAGCAGATCGTCTGGAAACGACACCTCCATTTTCATCGTTTTCCGCATGTTCTGAGTTCGCAGCCGGCAAAAATACAGCGGTGTTTCTGGCTTTGCCACTCGTGCTGAAACAATCGCAGTCCTTGGTAAATAGTGCTACCACAAAGATGGTTGGGATTGACAATTTCATGGTTCGCGTAATAACTTGTTCTTTCCAACTTGACAAACTGATCAATGAATCAATGAAAGGGTGGAAATCCCAAACTCAATCCTAAATCGGAACTAAAACCGACTCATGCAGCGGTTCGGTTTTCCCCATGAGTTCATTGATGTCTGACAGGATGTTTCTGATGACGTAACTTGATAATCTAACGCTGAGTTTGTGCCTGTGCCGATGATTCGCACCGTAACTCGAGACTCAAAACTCGGATTTATTACCGGGACTGAAGAAACGAGCGCACTAAGAAATGGAGAAGAAACTTCGAACGCAAAAATTGAGATGTTTTCACATTTTCAACCTGCTTTACGTACGGTACGGTACGACACCGGAATGTACTCACCTGTAGCAGATGGTCTTCTTTTTGTTACTGTTTTAGAGTTTGTTGTGTAACGGATGAAAAAGCGGTAATGACAGCGTACAATGACTTTTTTATTTTTTAGCCTTTACCCTTGTAGTTACAGTACTGTATGTACCTACGACTTCTGTACAACAATTACTGTACAACTCAGGATATTACCCGAAGCGGGAACCCTACCAAAAAGCATCACACAGTGATTACGACGGAAATAATAGAACAGAAATTTTTCTCCGAAGATTCCCGTCCCATATCTCCTTTAGAACTAGCAAGACAAATACGATACGGAAACTAATGCATCACGAAATAAATCAAGGACCTATCGTACCGAGTATTTCAGTTAAAAAGTTGAGAGAAGGCGGCGAGTAGCTTAATCATGAATAGCAGCGCAAGAACCATTGGAACAGTTGCCGCCCTTGGCACGGGAACCGCATACTTGGCGTATCGGTCAATTCCGACGCTCATGACCGCCATTATGAAACTCCAAATGAATCCACCCGACGAGAAACTTGGGCAGCTCATCCAAGAAATGGGAGCCCCGTCCTCCGATGAGATCGCGGCGCTAGGTATTGTCGCAGGAAAATCCGCGTTGGTCGTTGGAGGAACGAGAGGTGTAGGATATGGGACTGCTCTAGCTCTGGCGAAGTCAGGGTCAGCAAAGGTGACCATAGTAGGACGCAGTATAGCGAGTGGAGACAAGGCAGTTTCTAGCATAGAGAACGAGCTGTCAAACGAGTTTTCTAACAGCACAAAAATCGACTTCTTGCAAGGTGACATTGGAACCGTGGCCTCGACCCAACGCCTGGTCGATGAGCTTGCCAAAGGGAAGACCCGTTATGATTACTTGATAGTTACGGCAGCAATCTTTCCAAAACCCAAAAGTCAAAATCCCAAACCTTTGAACGAGGATGGAATTGAGAAATCTTTTGGCATTGGTGTGGTAGGTAGGTTTCTATTGTATCGCAATGCATACAAATTCATGGAGAAATGTGACGATGATACAGACCCAATGAGGGTCGAATCGCCCATGATTTTAAATGTATTAGCTGCGGGAGGCTCGTTGCCTCTTCGATTCAACCGAGAATTAGTTCATTCCTTGCCATACATTCATTTCAAAAACATTTTAAACTTCGCGATTGGCAACGAACTCATGCTCCACAAATTGGTAGAAAAGGACGATGGGAACTCTGATGGCACGAAATTCAACATTCCAATTATCACCACACATCCAGGCTTTTTGAAGACCGACTTGCATCGGGGACAGGGACTATTCATGGATTTGCAAGAAGCATTTCTTGTCCATTTCATGGGATACACCGAATATGAGTGTGGCCGTAGGGAAGTTTCCCTGTTGTGCGCAGTCGGAAGCAAGCATCAAGAGGGAAACGATGATTTTTCTTTGTTGAGTATTGTTGATAACTTTGGGCACGGCCGCCTTATTGGCCATGACATGGAACAGGATTTGAAAGAGCACGGCGATTGGCTTTGGAACTTATTGTTGACGCTGGAAGCCGATAACTAATCACCACCAGAAATGAATTTACGTCTCGATACAAATGCTGGGACACGAAAACTTCGACACTATTTCTTGATCATTTATATACTCTAAAATTGTGATTGTAGCCGAATAAGATATTCCATTTGTATGTGCACAGCTTTCTGCAAGTAGAGCCTAATTATTTCTATTGAGAAGGGTTAAAATCAAATATCAAAATGTTACTTTGCAACAAATCATCTCCTGTCTTTCGCTTCGGCATCATTTTGTGTCTTACCAAAAGGCATCCTTTTTTGATTAAAAATGTTGCCTTGCTCAGCACGATTAGAGCATCACGTGAAAATTCAACACATTTTCTACTTTTTAGAGAACCGAATTTTCAGCCTCACAAAGCCAGTTTTCAGGATGGGCTGAAATAATGGATTGGGCAAACTGGAAAAGAATGATAAAGATTGGTTTTGACTTCACATAAATCACAAACACAGAGAAGTTCTTCATAAACGATAGCATCAGCAGTTCCCAGGGATGAATGCTCTTCGGTTATCTCAAAATAATTCACCATCTTTTCTTCATCGTATATATACTTCTGAACTCTTTATGTATGTCTCGGGCCCCAACCAAGGGACCAGTGCCCCCAAAAGCCTCTTCTTGCCGCGCGGCAAGCAGATGCGTGTCAAAGAAACATTTCTTGCACAAACGCACGGGCGCCTCTTCATCCTCTGATGGGAAAATGTTGCAATCCCTGCAGCCGCCCGATGTTGGTACCACCCGTAGATGACGCCCCGCCTTTTCGTACTGTTCTCTTTCGGCATCCGAAAGCTTGAAAATGCAAACTTGACAACCTTGTACGTCGGGATGCAGGTTGGGGATGTATTTATTTTCGCACACTTCACAACCTGGGTCTCGCAGAGGCAAGAAGGGTGACGGAGGAATGGAAGAAATGGTGCACTGAGATCCCATCGAATCTATTGAAGGCAACGAGGGTGACGGTTTCTCCGCGCTCGTTTTCTGTTTTCCAGGAACGCGTTGTCTAAATACGCTTGAATCTGGTTTTGGACGTGAAGAAGGCGCCTTATCCGGTGATCTTGGTGTAGTGTTTACGATCCTCTGTGTGGATTTTGGTTTTACGGTGCGCTTTGGTGGTGCTGTTGGACGAGGTTCTGGCTTTGGCCGTGATCTCGGACGAGGCTTTGGCTTTGGTGGAGCAACCTTGCGAGGCTTTGGCTTTGGTGGAGCAACCTTGCGAGGCTTTGGCTTCGGTGGAGCAACCTTGCGAGGCTTCGGCTTCGTTGCCCGCTGGGCTGATGTTGTGGCAAGAGGTTTTCTCTTTGGTGGTGGCGATGGTTTGATAAGTTCCTTATAGCGAGACTTTGCCAGATCCGCTTTTGGTTCCTTGGGTTTGCGGTCGGCATTCTTCTTGTTCTGGCTCTTCGATTCCACCTTCTCGGGAGAATTGCTCGACGTGTGTTCGCTTCCGTCCACGAACGCATCATCGTCGAGATCGTCCAGCAAGGCATCCAGGTTGGGCACACTCGAGCGGGGGGTATCGAGCAACTCGTCCAAAAGCGCGCTCGAGCGAGTCGAGCGAGGGGTATTGCCATCGTCGATCACGTCCCCAAGATCTTCAACTACTTGATCGTCGTCTGGAGTGGTTTCCACAGTGACAAATTGCTGGAGCGCTTTGAGAGCTTCTTCTGCTTTCCTTTTTTCCTCCTCTTCTCGGGCTTTGTCGTCTTCTGCATTCTTCAGTCGCTCGGCGTCTTCTTTCAGNGAGCTTCTTCTGCTTTCCTTTTTTCCTCCTCTTCTCGGGCTTTGTCGTCTTCTGCATTCTTCAGTCGCTCGGCGTCTTCTTTCAGTTCGGCTTCGAGCTTGGCCATCTCTTCCTTTCTGACCCGCTGGGCCTCTGCTTTGGCCAATCGTTTCTCCGCTTCCACCTGTTCCTTTCTCTCCCGCTCGGCCTCCAGTTTCGCAAATCGAGCCTCTGCTTCTGCCTCTAATTTGGCAAATCGCTTTTCCGCCTTTGCTCTGAGCCTTTCCGATATTTCCTCTCTGGCCTTTTCGGCTCGAATCTCTGCTTCGTCCCCATCTTCCTCGCTGCCTACCGTCTCGACCTGCACCACGTAGGCTTCTTGTTCCGCGGAACCGTTCGGTGACAGTTTCGCTGCGATCTTCTTGGCCTCTTCTTCCTCCCGCTTCAGTTCTTCTTCCAGTGCCCGCATCTCCGCCTCCTCTCGGCGCAGCTCCTCTTCCTCGGCCTTGCGCTTCTCGGCTTCCGCGGCCTCGAGCATCCTGGCCCGCTGCTCGGACGCCAGGCGCTTCTCGCTTTGTTGCTTCTGGATCTTCGCCTCTTCGTTCTCGACCACAACCGGCGGGAGGGCAGGAGCCTTTTTGCCGGAGGGCTTGCGGGCCTTTCGTGCCGCAACCGCCTCGCGGGCCTTGCGCTTGCGTTCTTCCACCGCCAGCCGGGCCCGGGCCTTGCGATCCAGTTCCGGTTCGACGAAAGGCGCCGGTTCTTCTTCGGCTTCGAATTCGTCCTCGCTGACCACCTGGGGGGAAGACTCGTACTCCGCCTCGGCGGTGCCTCGCTGGTAGCCGAACTCGTCGTCCATGCCACTGGAGTGGTCGATGTCGGCGTCGAGGTCGACATTCCTTTCCGAGCCATCGTTCGATCCCGGTGGAAATTCCGGCAGGCCGGTCTCGTAGTCGTAGTCGTTTGCGGCTTCCTGAGGTTCTTCCTCGTACCGTTGCTTGTTCTTGTTGGCCTTGCGGAACATGCGGCCCTTCTTTTTCCTCTCCGGGGTGGCGGCGGAGGAGGACCCCTCCGACTTTTTCTTTCCCCGGCGAAACATGAGGAAGGCAGAGGTAGAGGTGCGTGTGTAGTAGTGCGAACGCGTGCCGTATAGACCGTCTTCGTCGTTCGCTTCTTCGTGGGCACAGCTGTGGCTCTTTACGGCGTCGATACAGTTGTATACGGTACACTATATGTATCGTAACGAAGGTGTTGCTATCGAGTTTCTACAAGCCAACAACGAATGGTCTTTGCAGCTTACGACGTGTCTCTGCTGTCTGTATCGTAACGCTAGAGCACTTCCAATCTCCACAGCTTCGGTTACACCCGGTACCATACGGTACCGTACCAGGAATCAGATGTACCGTACCGTGGCCATGATTTTTCTACGTATTTCCAGTGACGAACTAGAATCCTGCCCCCCTGCTAGCAGAGTGCTGTACCGGAGGTAACGATAACTGTACCCGTTTCGCACTCTCCGAGGTACATCAAGTACAGTACAGTACGTACCCTACGGTACGGATCATGTGCTCCCGGACGGAAACGGTGCCGTGAATCTTAAAGGTTATGCATGCGTGCAAGTCGTATTTCTAGTCCTACCTAGCGGTAGGATACGACTTTTCGTCGGTTGTAAGGCAGGCCGGTGGCGAATGCAACAAAATTTCTTCCGTTTGTTCGTGTCACATAAAAGAAGACATCGTTGTGACCGGCCGGCAGGCGCCAACCTACATATTTGCTTTCAGGCCCGGTTCAATAATATCACAAGGGAGTATGGTACCGTACGTACCTACCGTGCGGGTACGAGTACGAGTACGACTAGTACGACCACGAGTATTGGAACGCAACGTAGAAGATATATTTTCGGAGAAAAAATTTTCAAAATTTGGCGTGCAACTGGTCGCAGAGAAGGGGTCATAATTATGACCCCTGTCGCAGAGATCGTACGGTACGGGAAACCAATAGTTTCTCCCACATCACACTTCGATCAACCACGTACGTACCGTACGGTATGGTAGGTAAGGTACGTCACATAGGGTTGGGGTTTACTCGTACTAAACTCTCATGGTCGATCGTTGCTTGCCAAATCGCAGTCAACTTCGTTCATTGCATTCTATGTTGCTATGTACTGGTACGAGTACGAGTAGAAAATTCTTTACTAGACATTCACGAACCGGTGGATTGTGTTCGCCTGACTCTCTGGCTTTCCCGTACTAAAATGTAGTACTTGCACTGTGACTTCTCGACGAGAGCCTTCGCGCGCTCTCATCGTCATAAAGGTACCAAGAAAGACCGATCCAATTCGCTTTGGCAGCACCACACAGACAATAGATATTGATACCGGTACGCCATTTGGTATTCCCCAACTTACCATTGCATTCCGTCAAGAAACAAGCAGATTTTCTTTGTTAGCATCATTGAGCAATACGATTTTTGTTGGAGGGAGGTCAATCATGAATTCCAACAATATCATGAACCGAAGCGGACACGCCGTCCGACGAATCGCGAGCAATGGCTATCACGATGAGAAAAAAATGGATTCTTCTCCGCAGCTGAATCACAGAAAAGTTTCTTCTTCGAGCGTACCATTCCACTCTTCCTTGCCCATGGGGGGGGGAGGTTCGCCACAAAAGGTTTACGAGAACAACAACAGCAGCATCAAAACGAGCCCACAGACAGTCTTTGACGACGAGAACCCGTACCCCAAGCGCACAAAGACCGTCCCTCGCAAACGTCGCGGGGGATCGTGCTCTTTCTTGCTCTTTGTGATCTTCGCTGCCGGAGCCGGTTACTTGTTCGTCTCGTACCGCGAGCGCGAACTGATGGGGAGACAGCTGAAAGAGCAAGAGGAAGCCATGCGCGAACTGGAGGTCGAACTGTCCATTAAATTTGATAGGAGACTCGAGACTCTAGCAAAGGAGAAGGCAGATCTCGAAAAGAATGAGCAACTCCACAAAGCTTCGCTGGTGGAAACCCAGCAGTGGAAGGACAAGTACCACCGGTTGGAAGGAGAAATGCACGAGATCACCGAGAAGCACAAAAATGATCCGGAGCACATTCGAGAATTGGAATGGCAGGTCCAAAAGCTAGAATCTTACAACACACAGCTGCAGGAACGGAGACAAAAAATGAAAGAGCACGTCGAGCTCATGTCCAGGAGGGCCTTGCTGGAAAAATACGGACCCGGGCCCCACGAGGTCGAGATGTTTGTGCGGTTCGATTCTAATACCGAGGGGGAAGAAGTCGATGGCGGCTACATCACCCTGGAATTGGCTCCCGTCGACGAGATGCCCCATGCCGTGTATTGGTTCCTCGAGCAGGTCGAACACGGACTCTACGACGGGTGTTCGTTCCATCGCAACGCCGGTCACGTCGTCCAGGGAGGGCCCGTCCGGAATTTTTTGAGTCCCCCGGAGGGCGACGGGCCGACACTCGAACAGCGATTCACGGACTCGGGATTCCGCTCGATCCTCTTCCAAGAATATTCTCCCAATTATCCGCACGTAAAATACACCGCGGGATATGCGGGACGGCCCGGAGGACCCGACTTTTATATATCGACCCAGGACAACACCGAAGCCCATGGTCCGGGAGGACAGGGCCACTACGAGGATGCAGCGGAGGCCGACCCCTGCTTTGCAAGAGTAGTTCATGGGTTTGACGTCGTCGACCGGATGAGCGAAAGCCCCGTCCTACCTGGGGATGATCGCGCGATGGAAAGAAATGTCGCCATCGTGTTCATGAAACGACTACTCAGGGACGAACACTAGTGCAGAAAAAAGCAGGACGAGAATGCGTTAATTTAAAAACTCAAAATTAGGAAAATGCATCGCATTGCACTTCGTTCATCATGCTTCCTTCGAGTAGCTTTGGCCGAACCAAAGTTGTTGCGACGAGTTCTTTTTTCGACCGCGAGAAACAATACCGTTGTCGACCATTGGAATGAAGATCTGTTTCGTACAACTCATTCATATTGGTGCTGGCTATTGCCGTCCTGCAGCGTCTTCATATAACTATTACGTATAGAAGTATCTACTCAAAATAGTTCCAAAATGACAAGATAGCTAAAATTATCACTAGAAGTACAGGCAAGTGAAAGGAAGAAGACATATCCCCTCGCTGATGGTATTCTTCTTCTCTTCACCATTGTTCCTTTCTTGGTAGCATGACATGAGCTCAAAAAAGGTACTAGTAGTACTATACTAACTACAAAGTACCTCAGGAACTATAAGAAGCTTTAGATGCTGTGTTGAAATTGTTAAGCAATTTGATCATCCAATTGATTTCATTATTTAACAACTGTACTACTACCACAACTAATATGTTGTACTACTCGTGGTACTACCAGTAAATGGCCTAGTTTGTTTATATGGCACTATGATGACCATGATGATGTGGATATGGCTCTGGGGAAAGTCAGCTGGGTCAAGTTGAGGCAAGGCGCACTTGGGAAGAATTCATCTGTGTGCATGATGGAGAGCTCCCAGCAAGGACTTTTCTGCTGCCCACCCACAGTGCAGAACTATGACCCAATGAGAGGAGGCTCAACAGAAATGGTTTGATTGCAGTTGCATAATGGGATCAGCACCAAAGAAGCCCCAATAATTCTCACCAACTTGCCTGTTTGGCAATGACATCCAGTCTATGCATAGTAGTAGGACCTGGCTGAAAGCTCCTACTACTTGGGAAGTCCTTGCACTTTTGCACAACCTCTTGACCCACAATTATTACAGAAGAGCAATTTTGATCTGGGATCATCACCAATTGAGGTAGTAGTCTTGGCTTCAAGCACACTTAAAAAGCCGTCAAAATCATTTTCCATTGCTGATACATGATTTCTTGCGTTACCCTCATAAGTAAAAGTATCTTATTGCTTTTCTTGCTCTCTTATGGCTTATCTAATTGATACAGTGGAAGAATAACGCTTGTAAAATATATACCTTTGGATCTGGGCACAGAATGCAGCTCCTCTTCAACGTCCGAGAACAATGTTGTCCACACGTCAGGTTCTTCATCTTCAGAAGCCTTCAATACCTTTCAACCACAAGTAATGGAATCAAGTCCTACAATGGACCATCCCTCTTAAAGCTGAGTGAGAATTTTTTCTCAAGATTTGCATTTGAGACACCACCAGATGCCACAGTCTGATCACAATTTTTTGTGATCAATTTTGATCACGTTATTGTTTTTCCGAAAAAAAATTGAAATCGAAATGGTTCCAGCATTTCACAATTCAATTGTGAATCCTGCATTTCAATCATGAATGCCATTCAGTCATTTCCAAAAACTACCTCTAACGTAGTAGAAGCACAGGACTTCACTTCACTTCGTACAAGTTCTGAACTATTTATGACCCCTGCTATTTATTTTGCTAGGGTATGTACGGTACCAAAACTAGAAGAATTGCTGTCGGGACAAAAAAGGACTGACTAGAAGTCGCCGCTAGTACGAGTATCCACGGGGTACTATTCAAACTTCACGTTTGAAATGACTATTTTATGTCCCTTAGGTTTAGTGCTCGTACTCGTACTAATGTTAATGTTGTATGTACGTTACCTACTCTACAGTAACATAGAAAACTTATGACTATTTCCAATTACTGTATCCTGTTTCTTTCTAGATTGGATTTATTCCTCACGAAAGGCCATCCTACAGAATGTTCTACTTGATTCTAGGACCTCAGAGTGTTACTCGTCCTCACATGGAAATAGTTTTCGTTCAGTGCATCTCTTGCAGATCGACACAGCAGTTCCTTCTCGCCCTATCTCTTCTATCAGACAAACAGATAGTCCAACAATGGGTCAATTCATTAGCAAGATAAAAGCGGCCTTCGATGGTGTCCGCGAAAAACTCCCGAGGCGTGTCTGGGAGCAGCAGTCTTTAATAGACAAACGCAACTCACGAGTTAGCGGCATTGACCTATCGTTGATCCAAGACGAGTTTAAAGACGTCTCGAAGGACAAATTTCGATTTAAGGAAACAAAATTCAACGGACATTATAAAGCCACAAGCGAAGGCAAGAAGGAAAAGCTTGAGGGAAAACCGATCGAATACGGCATCCGGAAATTCAAGAAATATCCGAATCTATACTATGCCATGTTCTACCCCGACGAGGCCTTAACATGGCCCGAAAATGAACAGCAGTATGTTTATCTCCACAGAGCTGGATTGGAAGGGCTGAAGCCAAGTGGTGTCTCGCCGAAAGCTAATGTTACCATTCTCACTCACGAATTCCAGCCCCTAAAGCCTTTCAAAGGAGACATCCTTCCCAAAAGGTTTTGTGATAAGTATACCGACACCGTACTGTCACAGTACAAAGGAACTAAAATACATTCCAAGAAGAACTTACCACTTTTGCCTGGGAGAGGCATGGGATATTGTGACGAACCTCACCTAAAACTGATCGCAGATATTGACCCTTCTTCGATTGAGCAAGGGAAAATAGGAGATTGCTGGTTGTTATCAGGGATTTCCTCCCTTGCAGAATACGATGGGGCGATCGAGAGGTTGTTTCGAAAGACGAAAAATCTTAGTGAGCTGCCAAAAGATAGTGCCAATAAGTATACCGTGACGTTGTATGATTTGACGACATGGACAGAAGTGGATGTTGTGGTCGACGAACGCTTGTGCTCTCGCTTGGATGGGTCCAGGCGACCTCTTGGTGCCAAAACCACTGTAGACGCACAGCTCTGGGTTCCATACCTGGAAAAGGCCATAGCAGCTCACTGTGGCGGGTGGGATAAGATTGATGGGGGAAATTGTACTCATGCCTGGGCATTGCTCACTGGAGTCAAAGAGCAATATATAATTCAGAAACAGGAGGCCACCGGCAAATTCATTTGCAATGCACGCTACGATCCCGACAAGAAAGAATGGCTTGAACATGGAAATTCACCCCACGATGGACCACAAGGTATGTTCCAGATACCATGGCCAAGTATCGGCAAAAAGAAAGGTGGCAAGAAACCATTGAGTGAAAAGGCACTGTTCCAGAGAATTTGTCAATGGGACGAAGCGAATTATTTGATCGGAGCAGCTTCCAAAGGAAGCTCAGACAAGAACTCCACAGACGGGATTGTAGACAATCACGCGTATTCGGTGGTAGATTGTCGGAGCAATGTGGCCGGCACTGGCATTGATATGATCCAGGTTCGCAACCCTTGGGGTTATGGAGGAAATGAGAAAGCAAAATTCCGCCACAAGGGACCTGGTTGGAAAAAATATCCTGAAATTAAGAAGGAACTCAGACCGATATTCAACAAGTCCGATGGTCTATTCTGGCTGACTCGACAAGAATTCTTCAAGTACTATGATTCAGTCTTTGTTGGAGCGTGCGATATGAAGAAATTCCTAGGTAAATAGCGACAGAAAAACAAAACCAAAAGACGAACAATTCACGTATGGTCCTTTCCGTGATGTTGAGCATCAAATGTGCAGGAGGAGGAAATAATCTTGTCTATATTGGAACTCGCACTACCAGATGCTACAGGCAAATTAAAAAAATCGTTCCGTGTCTACACACTGTCGAGAGCTCCAAAAATTTTGCTCTACGGCGTAAATTGATCTTTTTCTAATTCTGGATTGATGATTGAAGCTCGCAATCGATAATCATTTCTGATCAGCCATTTGCGTAGTTCACTTGCATCAATCGTACAAGTTATCCTTGTTCCGCACACGAAGTCAATCGCTCGTAGAGATTTCTATCGATTTCGTTTCTGCTCCAAATCAATTCTCTGGTTTCGTTCGAAATTCTCGGGGGAGCCAAGTTGTTGGCGTACTTGGATTCCTGGTCGCAAAAGGAAGGTGTTTTGTCGTGTAGGCCGTGTATGCCTGCAAAGATGCCCTCAATGTGGTGCACATACTCCGGATCCTTCAGCCATTCCAACACGATGATGAGGTCGTACCGCAACAAGATTTTCAGGGCCTCTTCTGTTAGAGTTTTTCCAAAGTCCGTCAGTTCTTGCTCTTCATTACTCGATTGGGTTTCCTCTTGGTCGCCATCGTTTCCAATCATTTCCGACATCTTTCGGAGCAACCACGGACGATTTTTATTGCCTTTTTGCTTGTAATAATAATTACTGAATGGGTAGGTTCGATTATATTCGGCTCTGGATGGGAACGAGCTTTCATATATTTGGTCGGGGTGGTACATCCCCGTCGCCCACCGAGCGTAGCAATTTGTGGAGCAGTGCCACAATTTGTCCCGTTTCGGTCGGTACGCAAGATCCATGTGGTTGCCTCTCCCCTTCTTGTCTTTAAAGATGGGAAAGAGCTCCGTCGCCCATTCTTCGATCTCCATCTTTTGGTTCTCCGAAGACGGCACGAAATAAGTTTTATTGGTGGCCCGGGATGGCGCGTAAAAGGTAAATTTGTCGTGTTTCGTTGAATTATTTGCCCTCGCAAGTTCTCTGGTGACGTGCCTCGAGATATTCATATACCTCAGCGAGTTCCTCGATTCACTTATGTCGCACGACCACCGCTGGTCGTATTTGTAGTGCGAGATCGCTCTCGCAATGGGCTCGCGGAGGTGTGTCACGTAAAAGGTCGACCCCGAATCGTCCCAGTTCAAAGACGGAAACGGTCGGGGATACGGTATTTCGTTTCTATTCTTCCACAGCATGGTGGCGTTCCGTTCGTCATCGTTGTATTTATGAAAGCCGTCTTCGTAGTTATTGAGTTCCAGGCAGTCCTTAAACCCTTCGCATGCAATGAACTCTTTCAGTGTTGTTCTTCTCGAATTGGTAACCTTTTTCAGATAACTGTACAACGTGGTTCCGCCTGCTTTTCTCATGTGTAGAAAGACAAGTCTTGTGTAGTTTTTCTGTCCCGGATTGTGGATTCCAAAAAGGTCCATGGTCTTTTTGTGCGAGTTGGGGTAGTCGTCTGTTTTGAATTTCTGGAGCGGAAGGCACGCCGGTGATGCACCATTCTTTGTATGTGATGAAGACGGCGATTCGGAAAACACAATTTTCCTTGCAGTTGCAGCAGCAGCAGCTTTGGTGCTCGTTCGTGGCGTCGCTGACACCGACAACCGAGACTCCATGGAATATCTTGGAGGAGGTGCAACGTCCATCGGTCCGCCAGGTTCCGCTGAGAAAGAGTTGCTACATGCCACTATCGCATGGTGTTGATTGACAACCGTAAAGACGACAACGACCACGGCCACGAGAATGATAACCAGGATCCCATCACGGTGACGCAGGGTAATTGTGCGCTGCAGCATCCCGTCGCGATGGTTCTTCCGAGATGGCGGCGAAAGCATGCCGCTGCCGAAACTTTACGACGAAGCGAAACTCGGTATTTGTTCTCGGCTTCTTGCTTCTAGCTCCTACTACGGTTTCGGATTCGATAGAAATGATTACTTTTTGTTGTCTTTTGATCCAAGCGATTTGGAATGGAGTAGGTTCACTCAATAAGAGAGGTAGGTTGTGAATAAATAACTTGGTACTGGAACCATGTCGATTTCGATTTTCTGGAAAAAATAGAGATTCCCGGAACCCCCTATCGATTATCTGGAAAAATAACAAATAAATGTAGATTCCCGAATACCCCTTTTCCCAAAATGTGATCACGATTGATCACAGTTTTTTGTGATCAGATTTGATCACAAAATCGCTGAATTTCTTGATCACAATTTTTTGTGATCAATTCTGATCACATTTTTTCGCCAAAAAACTCAACGGATGCAACGGACGAGAATTCTCTTATTTTACGATACAAGAAATCTCTCTTAAGGACCTTTTTCCGGGACTAGGAAGAAGAAATCTCGTATGGTACGATACAAGAAATCTCTCTTAAGGACCTTTTTCCGGGACTAGAAAGAAGAAATCTCGTAGGAAACCTCTTAGCTAGGAAACCTCTTAGGAACCCTCTTAGGAAACCTCTTAGGAAACCTCTTAGGAACCCTCTTAGGAACCCTCTTAGGAACCCTCTTACGAACCCTCTTACGAACCCTCTTAGGAACCCTCTTCCGAAATTTTCTTATTTGGCCTCGTACGCTACTACAAGAAATTTCGTATCACCAGCATGCCTAATCGTTGCCGGACCGATACTATTCACGCAGGACCGCTGTTCATGGAGCTAACTATTTTGCGCTAATCAATACTAGAACGCTTGGGGGGACCGTTGTGGCAACTGATTTCTTAAGCGGGATCAGGACAATGAGCTTCACCAGCATACAAGAAACAATGTCTCTTTGATGACAAGAAAGTTCGCCATTGCCATGGTTACTGTGATTGGAAGAAATGAACCACGTTCGACACCAATTGATCTAGATGCATTTGCATCAAAGGTTGCCCAAAGTGTGGCAAACTGGAGTGGTGATGATCGAAAAGGATCAGAAGAAATAAATCAAAATGGATCACGAAAAACAGCAGGACATCTGTCAAGCGCAGCAAGAAGAGGAGCTGATTCAAGAACGTTACAGACAACCAACACTCCTCCTAGTCGCTGCAGTCTCGCCACGACAGCAACATCCACGACAACCACAGCCCCATCAAGGGAAGCAAAGGAGACCGAAACAAAATGGAATAAAAGTGAGGCAAAGGAAGTCCTTATTACTCTCCTAAGAGACAGAGCTTCTTGGGTGAATCAAATTATAGACGCCGATCCAACTTTCATGGTGCATCGAAGCCGAAGTACATCAAAAACAATTGAAGATATCCACAAACGGCACAAACTCTTCCGTGCATATCCACTCAGGAACTTCATCACAAATTTCAGAAACTTGAAGAAAAGCCTCGATTCAGAACGCAAGAATTCAGAATTTGACCAAGAAGCATACAACAAAGAAAACGAGAAGTACCCAATCCTGCAGACGTTGAAAGCTGGATACCCACGTTGGAATCATCCTTTGAACAAAGCAAAAGCGTTGTTGTTGCAGGATACGAAGGCAGATGGTATCTACCACAAAGAAAACCTAAGGCCAAAAGAATTGAAAGCACTACGCAATGAATACAAGAGCTTTCCAGATGAAGTTTTCAGGGATCGATTGAAAAAATCGAAAGCGGCGCATATAGAGAAACCATATTGGCAAAACGAAAGGAACAAATCAATGAGAAAAGAGAAGGTTCTTGAACGAGATACCCTTCAGCAGGAGCATTTATAATTCGATTTGATACATCATAATAGAAAGCTACGAAGCGAACAAGATACAAGTGATTCATAGTCATTAGTTAGAAAGTACGTTAATTCTCCTTTGCCTTCTCGTTTCCTTTCTCCTTGCACGACCTGCAATGCATTGTAAAACCTTTTCGATTGTAGTACTTTCCACAGAAAGGGCAACGCAACTCGTTTTTTTCATTACCATTTAAAAAAAAGGCATTCCTACTGTTCGTGCCATTCTTCGAACCAATGAGGAAATACCCTTCAACTTGTTTTCCGTCTTCTGTCTTCAGAGACATATTAACAACTTGATTTTCTTTTTCAGTGGCATCCTGGATGGAATATTGTTCTGCAAAAAACTTTGTCCTCAACTTCGGTTTGACCAAACTGGGGGATTGTTGCTCGTGTCTGGAACCCCCCGTTGGGTCGGCTGCGGAGGCTCCGGTTTGTGACAACGGCAAGAATTCTTTCAGAAGCCCATTGAACTTATCTTGAAGACTCTGTGCAATAATGTGCACAGCAGTATCGGAATCATTAAATGTCATGGCATTTGTGAATATCAAATTCATCAAGCGTAAGAATTCATCAACAGAAACGATTTCATCGTTGTCCATCTTCTGCTTCAGGGTACCCAGGTCCATTGGGCTCTTGATAACATCGAAGTAAGTCGGGATGTTCAATTTTTTTGGATCCACTGGTTTTCCAAAGTATTTACCCGCTTTTGCATCACTTTCAATAATTGCCTGCAGAATTTTCATGCATTTCTCCTTATCTTCAGCCGCAAGTACACTCTTCTTCTTCTTCTTCTTGCCACTGCCCTTCTTAATGCCACCGCCTTCATCATCCTGTGAACGTTTGCGCTTCGTAGTAGAATCTCTCTTCCTAAAAGCTTCGATCAATGCAGTCTTTTCAGTTATTACCTCTTCCAATTCGGTTATTTTGTCTCTCTTTTTTTGTAGCTTCCTCTCCAATTTCTCTATTGCTTCATCCTGATGCTCTAGCTCTTTTACATTTTCCTCTTCATTAGTGAACAAAGTTGAAAGCTTCAAATTTTTTTCTTGGATCTCTTGCTTCAGTTCTTGTAATCTACGATTCTTTGATTCGATCTCTGTCTTCATTTCCTTGATTCGATGAACATCTTTTTCCAGTTCATCAATTCGTTCCTGCTTTTTGTTGATTACATATGCAGCGTCCATGACCTTTCCATCTAGTTCTTTCTTGTCGTCCCGAAGTATTTTTGAAGCTGCCATCTCTAGGTTTATTCTACTAATTGCTCCCTCTTTTTCCTCCTCTAAGGTCTGCACTTGAGCATCCCTGGTCTTCAGTTTTTGGATAAGGTCTGAAATCTTTTCATTCGCTGAGGTCTGCACTTGAGCATCCTTTTTCTTCAGTTCGTTGAGTTTTGAAATCGCTTTGTTTTTTTGCTCCACTGAAGTAAGCACTTCAGAATCCTTGAGCTCCAGTCGTCTGCGAAGTTGCTCAATTGTTTTTTCTTTTTCTTTCACCGAGGTCTGCACTTCAGCATCCTTTGTCTTCAGTTCTTTGAGTTCTTTTTCAATCATCGAGATCTTTGCAAGCTTTGAAATTGCTTGGTCTTTTTCCTCCTCCAATGTCTTTGCTTCGGCTTCCTTGGCGTCCAGTGCTTTGCGAAGGTCCATCGCTCTGTTCTTTTCCATTTCCAAATTCGTCTCCTTTTCTTTTATTTCTGCATCGAGTTTAGTGATTGTATTTTCTTTTTCCTTGATCAAGTCCATCAGCTCTTCTCGAACTTTTTCAGTCTCTACCGAGGTCTTGGCACTTGCGACTTTTGTTTCAGCAGCCTTGCCGTTCTTCAGTTCAGCAATCGTTGTGTCTTTTTCAGTCATCAAGGAATTCAGTTCTTCTATTTTCTTCTCAGCTTCACGTAGTTTTTCCTCATCATGGCTGATGGTAGCAGCATCCACCTTCAAGTCAGAAAGTTCTTCGTTTTTCTTTTCCAACGTGGTAGTTAGTACTTCCAAATTGGCTTTCAATGCTTCCAGTTCTTTGCGAAGTTTTTCAATCTCTTTCTCTTTTCCAACCATTCGAGAAGTCATGCTGTTTAGTTGACCAGAAATTTCGTCTTTTTCCGACAACGCTTTCTTTGTCTCAATACTCTTGGTTTGCATTGCTATAGTAAGAATTTCAATCGCTTTATCCTTGTTCTCCATCAAGGTCTGCACTCCTGCATTATTGGCCTTCAGTTCTTCGCAAAGTTCTGCAATCGTATCATCTTTCTCCGATGCTGAAATCTCCGCTTTTATCATGTCGGCGAGAGCTTCGACTTTCTCTTTGTTTTCTGTAGTCGTCTGCTTCTTGTAAAATTCAGCAAGTCCTGTAAGTCCTGCGATTGTTGCATCCTTTACAATGACTTGTTTCTCTAGTGTAGTAATGGTGTGGGCCTGCTTCATGAAGCCAGCAGCTTGTGCAAAGAATACAAACTTTGGAGCGTCGGCTTTGAGTTTCTTGTCACAAGATTCACACCATTTGCACCAGGGGTAAACACGTTTGGTGACTGCATTGCAATTTATGCACTCTTGAAGGCTGTTGCCATCGTTAGAAGAATTCATCTTCGTAGTATTGTCTGTCAAAAAAATCTTCGTAGTGTTGTTTTTGAAAAACAATGAACTCTGAGCAAGCAGCAACAAGCTGTAAGGAAGGCGCCATGCCGACTTGTAACTGTACCATGACTGTAGCGTATACTTTGAACAAAGACAAGGTGATCTGCATCACGATACAGTATTTTTCTTTTGCCATCGTGGAAAACATTTTTTCTGTTGAGATTGGTTTCCGTTTCGAGAGTATGAGTACGTACGGACATGTGCGTTTTAAGAGAACTAAAGTACTGTGGATAACTTACAAAACCACGTACGATCTTACAGTATGAGTACGTACCAGCACTAGGGCGTCCTTATTTAGAGGATCCTTATTTAGAGGATAACGCACTTGTCTTCTGCACAGTATTTGGCGCGCCCGGATTCCGACCATGCCAAGAAAATGCCAAACGTCTCACAACAAGAAGACATCAACAACATCAACGACTAGTATCTCAATCCTATGAACACGACTATCAGTCAATGATACCGACACAACAACAGTATCAACGACATCAGCGGAAGCTATCCTCGCCAAAGGTCTAAATGAGAAAAGTTCGCGGGTAAGAAGACAAATCATGATTTCATAAAAACACAGCTTCAAAAAAATAAACCATCAGAAGATAATCATGATGAGCGTTTCTGACCTCGCTGCACTCCTTGCACTTATCTACGTCATCTTA